AAAAAAAGTTAGTTTTTAAAATCTTTTTAACTAAATAAGTCGATATTTTTATTATAAAACTTTTTATTTTTTATTAAAATTAGTAAATTTAAGTCTTAATAATATTATAAATATTAAAAAATATTTATATTTCTTACTATATTAAAAGTTTTACGTTATTATAAAATTTTAAATATATACTATTTAGATTTAAGTATACTATTTAAATCGCGATACTACTAAATATATATAATTTTATATTTATTCTATAATTAAATAAATATTTAAATAATTTAGAAAATAAAATTAAAATATAGATAATTTAATAATTTATTAAAATAAAAATTAAAATATAGATAATTTAGTAATTTACTATTTTTAATATTTTAATAATTAATTTTAAAAAATCTAATATTTAAGTAATTTACTAAAAAAATATTACGTTCTAGTATATTTTATTTACTAAATAAATAATTAACGATTATAGTTAACTAGTATAATATTTTTACTAGTTTAATAACTAAATATATAGTAGATAAATATTACTTTTAGTTAATAACTTTATCGCTTATATTACTACTATTATAAAACTAAAGTTTTATTATTAAACTAGCTACTTTAAAACTATATAAAAAAGTAAATATAACTTTTATATTTAATAATATTTTAGTAGATAGTCTAGCTAGTAAGCTAAAAATATATTTAAATATTTTAAATTTTTTAAATATTAAATAAGCGTATAATAGTTATAAAGTAGTTTTAAAACTAGTTATTACGTAATATATATATTAAATCTTTAACTATATATATATCTTTATTAGCTAATAGACTAAAACTAGTAAATTTAGCTTATAATAGACGTTAAATTATTTATATCTAAAGTAAAATTCTAGTTAAAAGAAATAAATATAAAATTATATATATTTAGTAGCTACTCGGTTTAAATAGTATATATCTAAAATTTTATAATAACGTAAAACCCTTAACGTAATAAAAAATATAAAATTTTTTTAGTATTTATAATACTATTAAAGCTTAAATTTACTAATTCTAATAAAAAATAAAAAGTTTTATAATAAAAATATTGACTTATTTAGTTAAAAAGATTTTAAAAATCGACTTTTTTTTCGCGTAAAAAAACGTTAATAAAGAACTAAATTTAATTATTTTTTATCTTTTTATAATAGTAGAGAGACTTAAAATATTATTTATTATAAAAAAATTAATTTCTAGATAGAAACGTTCACGTTTTAGAAATAAAAATTTAGATATATGCTGTTTGGGTTCGGGTGTGCTGTTTAGACCGCGATGCTACCGAATATATACGATTTTGTATTTACCCCTAGTCGAAACCATACGCAATTATTAGAAGCAGTCGACACTACTAGGCCTCGTGGCAAAGGCGGCACGCCTAGAAATAACCTAGTTATTGAAGAGATAAAGCAAAAGGCACTACAGTTAAGGATTCACGGCCAGATGGACCTTGCAAAGCTGCTGGAGGTCCCCAAACGACAGATAAGGTGCTTGAATACGTAGTAGACGCTTTCACCAGCAAAGAGTAGGAGGAATAGCAGTAGCAGATCAAGGCATCTAAGGCGTTGCGAGCGCTTGCAACGTTCAGAGCGCGGGAGGAACAGCAGGACGGCTCATTGGAGGTCCTCTCGCTCCTGGCGACGCGCGAGAGGGTCCTCATGCGCAAGAGACTCGAAGAAAACACTAAACAAATCTAGAGTTTCCTTACCCGATGTATTAAAAACCATTGGATTGACGATCTGGCTGTAAGGATCAAGGCGATGAACTGCACCGATTGCACTACCCAGCATTCACTGCAGTCGAACTTCCGTACGCTGCGCATTGCTTCAAACAAACTAGAACTGAGATGAAATGTGCAAGGATTGTTCGATTATGTGGTATCATTCCTTGATTCAATGTGACTTGCTTGACCCTCCGTCGAACTCCATATGCCGTATGATACAACAAAGCCCATAAACCCAGCCTGACCCATCCGGCGAAAAAGGCTTCATATCGTGCCTAGCCAGGCCGATGTAGAAGATTCGTGAAAAACATGCAGAAAAAACAATTGCTTAACCGCCGAAACCGTAGAGGGTACGGCCTTGCCTCTTGAGGGCGTAGACGACGTCGAGGGAGGTGACGGTCTTGCGCTTGGCGTGCTCGGTGTAGGTGACGGCGTCACGGATGACACCCTCGAGGAAGGTCTTAAGGACACCACGGGTCTCCTCGTAGATCACTAAGGACTGTCAGCAGGAGGATCGACGGCGGCGGGACGGAGCGGGGGTACGTACTAGCAGAGATACGCTTGACACCGCCACGGCGAGCGAGACGACGGATGGCGGGCTTGGTGATACCCTGGATGTTGTCGCGCAAGATCTTCCTGTGGCGCTTGGCACCGCCCTTTCCAAGGCCCTTGCCACCCTTGCCACCTGGAGAGAGTCAGTATGGAAGGCATTGGAGTTGCAGCGGGGGAGGGGACGCACGGCCAGTCATGATGGAGGTTGAGTCGTAAGTGGGTTTCGAAAGTGTGGGGTAGAAGCGGGCGTGGAGACGCAAGTGGCTGGTCGAATGGTCGAGGCAGAGAGGGCGAGCGGCGCTATGAATTTATCAAATGCGGCGGAGAGACGCGTCGGCGCGCTCATCAACATGGACGGCGGCGCGGGTGCAGGGGCCAGCGGAGCCGCGGGCGCGGGCGTCATCGCTCGCTAAGGTGATCTTGCAGCGGGCCCCGTTCCGGCTTAGCGCGTGCTGGGTTATTTTCAGCCAATCGCATTTGCGCTAGCAATCGCTCTGAATCCAGCACTTGGTAAGGACGTTCAAAGCGCGCTAAATCGGCTGCGAAAACAGTCAGGGCGCCGCTGCCTGATCATCCGCCGCCCGCCCGCCTTCCATATAAGCGCCTCTCCCACTCCCGCTCCTCCAACTCCTAACAACACCCATCGGCGACTCCACCCGTCATCGACAACTCCACATCGCCATCCACAAAAACCATCAAAACACCGCACATCAACTGCAACGATGGCCCGTACCAAGCAGACTGCCCGTAAGTGCCCACACCACCTCACCGTCGCTGCGCCTGTTGTTGCACGCGTGCCGGTCGCGTTTCGCTCGGTCGCGCGCTGCGACAACATCGCCACACCACCTCACCTCTTGCTCATGCTGACTCATCCGCACAGGTAAGTCCACTGGTGGCAAGGCTCCTCGCAAGGCTCTCGCCTCTAAGGCTGCCCGCAAGTCCGCCCCCTCGACCGGTGGCGTCAAGAAGCCCCACCGCTACAAGCCCGGCACCGTCGCTCTCCGTGAGATCCGTCGCTACCAGAAGTCGACTGAGCTCCTCATCCGCAAGCTCCCCTTCCAGCGTCTGGTCCGTGAGATCGCCCAGGACTTCAAGTCGGACCTCCGCTTCCAGTCGTCGGCCATCGGCGCCCTCCAGGAGTCCGTCGAGGCCTACCTCGTCTCCCTCTTCGAGGACACCAACCTGTGCGCCATCCACGCCAAGCGTGTCACCATCCGTAAGTCGCCTCGCTCTCCGCATTCACTTCCAGATGCTAACGTATCGCGACAGAGTCCAAGGACATCCAGCTGGCCCGCCGCCTCCGTGGCGAGCGCTCTTAGAGAGCTTCCTTCTTCGCGTCACCCCCAGATACCATAAGTCGATGACCAACATCAATCGACGGGGTCGGTGATTGCTCTCTGGTTTTGCGGACGGGATGCCTGGCGTTTATCGGAACTGCTTTACAAATCAAATGGATGATGGGCTCGGGTTTCTGACTTTTCTTCGGTGGAGCAAGGGATGGTAGCCCACAGCGATGCTTGTACATTAATACCACGGGCATTGAGATGATCTCATGAAAGTCTTCAAGACATCGATTCTTGCCAAAAATTCTCCCAATACCGTGACGTGCATGCGGTGTAACTGAATACATGTGTGACATCCACTTGCTGGTGTGCAACTGCGTCCAAGTCTAATTCTAATCTAAATCTATCAATTGCATGTCCAAGTCTCAAACGCATCCATGTCTATGCATATTCACGTGGTGCAGGCTGCGAAATGTTAAAGTGTTCTTGGTGTTTCGCATGCTCGGCCTTTTCCTGCGCCGCCGCCCGCTGGTTGAGGAGGGTCAGCCAACTCTGCCAGCCGATCGCAATGAAGCCTTCGGACGAGTCAGCATGCCGCAACAACTAGATGAGCACCGATCCTACCTGCAAAAATACTTCGGAACTGTGGTGGAATAAACGTAAAGCTAAAGGCAGTGACGGCCGGCCAGACTTATTCTCGGTCAGCATCTCAGGTGTGAATGATGGCGAGGGGACCAACGCTTGCAGGAGTTCACCCATGAAACCGGAACGGCAATCCTGACCCTCTCGACGAGTTCTTCAAAGGTCGCCCCGCCCAACAAAGAATGCATGGAGAAGAAATAAGTGTTGAAAACGGGCGTAAACACCAGTTGATTCACGACGATTTTGGTGGCCAGGCTCAGCAGCTTCGAGCTGTAGTTGAAGGACTGGCCCAGGAACATGAACCATCGATAGTTGGGGATGGACGTGAGACTGCCGATGAAGACGGAACGCAGCGCCCTGGACGGCGAGTAGGAATCCTCCTCGGAGGCAGAAATCATCTGGGCGGAAAGGTCGCCAAAGAACCAAATCTTCAACCGTCAGCGCGGCATTTCGGTCGAGAGTGGGGACTATACATACCGTGATGGTGCTTAGCAACTGGACCACATAGGGACGGCGGGCCTGTGCTCGACTGTAGGCGCGAAAGGGTCTCCCCACAGGCTCAAGCCACACCCATGACGGCCCTTGAACGGTCACGGTCGTCGGCTCCGACTCAGGAGACTTCTCGACGGCCTGGCCGCTCTTGGACTTGGTGCATCCGTGCCGAGCGCCAGACGGACGGCCTACGGCACGCGACAACACGGGCCCGCGACGGACGAGCGCACGGGCAGAAGTCGTGGGAGTCATGGTGCGGATGCCGTTGTGGCAGTCTTGGGCACGTAAGACGGCATCTTTGGGGTGAAGATTGAGGTATTTCAGCCCGGCGGCGATCAGCGGGTGCGGGTGGACCGCGGCGGGAGCGCGAGTAGTGATTAAGCCGCAGAGCCGAGAGGGACTGCCGCACCGACACAGCGCCACAACGCGCCTGCCTCAGGCCGTGTCGCGTCGAGGGCGCATGGACAGGTCGCGCGCGTCTATGACGCCGCCGCCACCGACATGACTTTGGACTTCGGCCGCAGTCAAACAATGGCGACCCGTGCTTCGTCCCCGCCTCTACCCGTGAATCCGACCAGCGACTCTGATTATGGCAGCGACCTGGATAGCGAGCTAGTGCTCGAGGTCCTCTCCGGTCTAGAAACCGCGCCTGTTGCGTCCTTGGCCTTGGAAAGCCTCGAGGACGATGCGCCTCACACTGCCGCCGTCCGCCTTGCGGTCCTGCCCTCGTCGAACCCAGGCGGCGAGTCGCCGTCACATATCAAGATCGGCTGCAGCTCAGGCTCAAGGAACTGTGAGACGCGCCTCTACTGGGCCGGCCGAATGCTGACGTGCTGACAGCGCCTAGCTGCCCGGGAAGAGAACGTCGTTGAGCGTCCTGTGGTGGTGGAGGTCGAGCGCAATCGCCCCGACGAGAGGTCTCCGCTGGAGCGCTTTCGAACCCCGCCCAAGAAGCCGCTTTCCGTCACGGACATTGTTTCTCCAGCATGGTGCGAGCTGCAGTACTGGTACACGCTGACGAAGCACGGTCGAAAGAGACAGACCCCTGCCATGAAGCAAGGCTCCAAGGTCCACAAGAAGCTCGAGGATCAGGTTCACACAACCGTCCAGGTCACGGTCCAGTCGAGAGAAGATGCCTGGGGTCTGAAAATCTGGAACATCATCCAGGGCTTGCGAACTTTGAGACAGACGGGCCACACGCGCGAGCTCGAAGTGTGGGGGGTCATCGACGGCCAAGTCGTAAACGGTATCATCGACGAACTGTCGTACACGTGCCCAGATGAGGGGCTGGAGGAACTCGCTCTCGCTCGGCTCAACAGGCTGAAAAGCCGGCCTCCAGACCAGACGGCGATCTCGCAGTTCTTCCAGCCTCAAGGAGCGGTAGACCTCGGCGAGCCGCATACGCAGAGCAAGGTCTGGATAACTGATGTCAAGACCCGAGGCACCAAGACCCTTCCTCAAGGCTCGTCGATGAGACCCACAATCATGCAGCTGATGATGTACCGCAAGCTCCTGGTAGACCTGGCAGCCGGCTTGGTCGACGCGGAAGTCATTTTCAAACGTTATCGACTCCGATCGAACGAAAGGTTCACGGACGCCTTTGTGGCAGAAGTCGGCGGCGTGGGCTTCGGTTCCCAAGGTAGCCCGTCCGACGGTCGCGATGCGCTTTCCAGCAGCCAGCAAGATGCCTTGTCGGAGTTGTTGGCTCACAATTCGCTTACACAGCTCTGGGGCTTGATGATCCAAGAGTTTCGCAGGACCATTTCAGGGATCGGTCAAGTTCTCCGGGCAGAGTTTCGCCACCAGCAAACCGGCGACGTCCTCGGATCGAAGACGCTCGTCTATGAGGAGAGCACGCTCGACGGCTATCTCGCCGAAGAGATGGAGTGGTGGCGCGGCAAGCGGAAAGCAAGAGGCGTCGATATTGAAGAAGCGTTCAAATGTCGCATCTGCGAATTTGCAGAAGAGTGCGAGTGGCGTATAGAGAAGGTTGAAGAAATCACGAAAAGACAACCTAAGAAAAGAGGATCTAGGTCGAAATCGGCGGTCTAAGCAGAGATGAAAGCGAGGCAGGAGGGGTACGACCAGACTTGTGCTTTGGAATTGTATTATGGTAGCAACTACAGGTAGACATGAGCAAGATTTCCAGGAAACGATGTTCCCATCACTGACATGCAGCCGCCTGCTGCTCGATCTCGAATCTTCCGTTACTGTGTGCAATATGAAAGAACTGTAGTGGTATGTAAACTGCTGAAACGCTGAAAAGTAGTCGACAAGTGAAGAGGAGCGCGGATTTCCCTTTTCAGTAAAGTAATGTCCTGCTGCAGAGGAATTTCACTCATCCGTAAAGCGATCTCCTGTTTATTGTTCAGCAAACCTTCCGTCCACCCTGAACGAATCGTGTCGACTGACCTGTATCCACCCGAGTCCCGCCTGCTCCGATGGCGTCTGGGTGGGCTGTGCTCCTCAATGACCTCCACAATGTCGTCGCCATCGACTCTCCGCTCAGCGCTGATTCTCTCCTCGACCAGCACGGAGCGACTGCGCGGACGCGGCTGCGAGGGCGGGGGTGGCGGAACACTTGTACGGTGTTCTTCAACGATTATGTGGTGTGGGCGCGGACTCCTGCTGACTTCGCGAATCTCATGCCTGGAGTTGCGGCGACTGCGGCGGGAGCGCGGGGAGCGAGGCGGGCGTTCGCGCACGACTATCTCCTCTTCGCCAGCGATGGCGCTGCGGCCCCCGAGGTTGGCAACCGTAAGAAGCAGCCAGGCGATGAGCAAGAAGCCGGCGACGGAGCCCAAGACGATTCCAGCCACGGTCCCCGGGGCGGGACCGGAATTGAGACCCTGGTACGAGAGAGGAATGTAACCGCCGCTCGAATCGGAGCCCTGGCGCGGGATGAGACGGTCGTATGAGTTGGCAGGAAGCGAGTCGGCGGCGGGAGCGGAACGCGGCTGGAAGCCGGCGGCGTCGAGCGTGGCGCCGTCGAGAACTCGAGCGTGGCGTATCGCAGGCATGGTCGTGTCCCCCCGCTAGCGGATCTTTGGAGAGACGGTGGTGGAGGTAGCCACGGGTCGGTAATAGCCGGGCGCGGTCCCTATCAGGTCGCGGAATCTGGACTTTCAATGGGAAGTAACACGAAGCCGTACGGTGTAGCACGCCGACGGGAAGAGCGACGCGCTTTTGCGCGCGGAACTGGCGAAGGCAGTAGCGGAGGGCGGTGGTGTTTAGGGCAGCGGCGCGGGCGGAGGAAGCAAGTGCTACGAGTGCAGTGACGCAATGATTGGTGGCTGGGAGTCGCGAAAAGCGTGGCTGCAGAACCATCTCCCCATCCTGTTTCCCTTTCAGTATCCGCACGAACCCGGACGACCCATGCAGGCTTCTGCACACGATGGCCTCGGCCTCAAACCCCACGTGGTTGACAGCGTTAGAAAGCTGCACCTGCGATCTTCCTTCCCGCCTCCGGATCGGCCCCGTCTCCGCAGGAACAGCGGGCACTGACCCTCTGGCGCCGCCGATCCTGCCCTACCATCTTGACTTTCCGCACTACGGAGGCTTATTGTCTTTTCGCGTCTACATGAATTTCTCTTTTCTGGACAATTCCTTCCTTAGACCATGCCTCATCAAGCAAGCTGTCTTCAAAGCTCGTATCTAGGAGTGGGCTGGAAGCTGTACGAAAGCAAGCACAAAACATTTCCAGTACACAGGAAAGCAGAGACGTGGGTGAATTTGTCTTTGACGGGTATGATGAGACGAGTCATTTCGCGTTGGCCATGACCTAGGCTGAATGCTGTCCAATCCATTTGCTTGCCTGTATGTACAAAGATGGATAGCTGGAGATGGTGGCGACATGAACCGAAAAATAGCCATAGCTGTGATAGGATAAAACGAATGCAGTGGGGTACATGGGGTTATTGTAGCCGACGGCTAGCGTGAATTTATTTTTCGCTCATACCATGGGTAGTTGAGGCTATCATCTGGATGTAAATGTGGAATTGATAGTTGTGCATTCACTGAGGCATACTTACGCTATGTTCTAGGACCCTGCTATTCTTCGCGCTAGCCATCGGCTGCAGTACTTCTCTGTATGCAGCTAAAAGCTATCGTGAATTTATTTTTGCTCATATCATAAAAAGTTGTCATCCGAACAGGAGTGTAGGTATAATTGTTAATTCCACTTTCAACTCGTAAGAATAATTGCTGGGGCTCTGCTATTCTTCGGATTAGCCTTTGCGAAATCCCTCTGTAGCAGCATAGCATTCCATGGAAAGGACAGCTGATATGTGACGGTCGTAACGGCGTTGGCCGATATTGGCCACCGGTGTTGTGTGGCGCACCAAGGCACCACCGCAAGCCTCTGACCCAAAGTCAGGGGCTGTCCGTCCAGAGGATTGAGGTGGCACGCGAGGGAAATGCCTCTGGACTGCAGACGCTCGCTAAAGGACACAATGTCCGCGCAGGCTTGGCGCTCCTCCGGATGCTTGGCTCCGCGTTGCCGCCCCGAGAGGCGACTCGACGATGCAGGGCGATGCCGTCAGATCCGGCTTCTGGCTCGCTAGAGGCGCGGCCGCAGGCTGCCCTGGGGGAACGTCGCGCGGTACCACGGGTGGTCACTGAGCCAAGGCGCGTCCGGAGCAGTCGAGCCCCAAGAGCTGCTTGACCGCAAGCGGCTAGTGGCACGCGCATTCCATGTCCGCTCCGCCGCAATGCCGAGAGATTGTGACACTCCCCCCCATCTTGCGACGCGTTAGCTCGCCGCTGTCCACTTCTCGTGCTCGCTTTCTCGACGCTCCTCGCTCCTCTTATCCGGCGCTGCTCTCTGTTCTCCTTCTGGCACTGCTTTCACGACTCCCGCTGCGCCGCAACCACAGCAAAGACCTAGCGTTGTCGCATACCCGACTGCCGCCAGATTCCGTACCAGCTGCGCGTCGCATACCACCAGTAACGAGAGTCTTTGGGGCGCTTTTTCCCCCTCCCGCAGAACATCGTTTAATCCCAAGGCGCAATGTCGCAAAAATTTGTGGGCACCCTCTCGCAACGCCCTGCAACCAAACGAGACCATTTATATTGATCGTGAACAGGACGCTCCTCCCCCTGGCTATCCCCAACAGCCGCCGCCAGCTGCTTATGGACCTCCGCCCTCCAACTACTCGACGCCCCCACCCCAGGGCGCTTACGGCTCGCCTCCGCCTCAAGGGTATTATGGAGCACCTCCGCCCCAAGGATACTACCCTCCCGACCAGCAGCAGCAGATGTACGGTCCGCCGCCGGGTCAGATGCAGTACCAGCAAGGATATCCGCCTCAGACGGTCTACGTGGAGGAGAAGAAGAGCGGCTCAGACGGCATCTTCACCGGTCTATTAGCCGGTCTGGCCTGCTGCTGTTGCTTGGACTGTCTCTTCTAAATCAGGAAACGGCAGGTTGGTTGGTTAGGGGCAAATGGTGAAATTGGCGTTGGCTATTTGTTATTACGCTCCGGCCGGCGTGCCCGAGTCGATGTTGCTAAACAAGGCTTCTTCAACAAACTCATTGGATGAAACGTTGGGATATCTTTCATAATCTGTAATGTCATTGCTGCAGCCGGACAGAGATCCCGGCTCACCGTTACGCCGGCCATTTCAAAAAACTCCAGACGCCCCATCGCATGCTGCTTCGTACTTGGGGCCGCGGTTCTAAGAGACGTCCATCTTCTCACCGGGGGTATTTTCTTCGGCTTCGCCCTCTTCCATTTCACTTTCGTTCCCGACCTCGCCAGACTCCATCATATCAGCATCCCGCTCTCTGCCTTCGTTCTGGCTGTCGTCGTCCCTCCTGGCGGGACTGCCAGCGCCCCCGAAGCTAGCAGCCGGGCTCGGAGCAGAAAGCAGGCCTTTATGCACGGCGAGCTGGCTTCCTTGGGCTGGGTTTGGCGTTTGACCCCCGACGTCTGGCCGCGGGGTGCCGACGGCGCTCGTCTCTCCCTTTGCACTGCTGCCCTCGCCGCCTTCGTCCAGACCTTCTTCGCCCCCCTCCATGCCCTCCTTGCGCTCGGCCTCCTCCTTTTCGTCGCGGATGAGCCGGAGCATCTGGCGGCCTTCCTCGACGATCCTGCCAAACTGCTCCCTCCTCTCCGCCCACGTCTGGGCATAGACCCTGCTCTCTTGCTCCAGCTCGGCGATCTCGGATTCCAGCTTGTGGAGCTGCGTCGTCTGGTCTTCGCGCGGGCGCAGCATGCGGTTGCTCGTTATGCGTTCGGCCAGCTCGTCGTACGTCTTCCTGCGGGCCAAGGTCGCGCGTGCGGCGTCCAATTGCACCCGTAGCGAGGCGGTGCTCTCGCGGATCGCGGCGGCCGTCGCTTCGATCTTGGCCTTTTCCGCGGCGTAGCGTTTCCTCTCGGCCTCGTTGCTGTTGCGCAGGAGCTGGATGCGGACGACGCTGTCGGCCAGAGCGGCAAAGTCGAGTAGCATGTCGGTGCGCCAAGCCTCCCGCTCGGCGGCCTGGCCCGCGCGCGCAGCATTTTGGTCCTCATCGGCCGGAGTGGCATCTGGTGGGGGGGTCGGGAGGGTGGCGGGAGGGGTGTATATGGGCGAGTCGGGCGTGAGGAGACGTTTGGTGATGCGCTGGAACGGGCGCTCTTCGATGCGCAAGAGTCGCGACTTGTGGATTTGATCTGCGCGTGGTCAGGAGCCGTCAATGGCGCAGCGGGAGCCAGGGGGAGGTACCCTCGTCGGCCTGGTCGAGCAGGCCATAGTCTTGCGACGACATGGTGGAAAACGCGGGGGTGGGCGAGTGGACGGATGCTGCGCAGCAGTCGCGCAAGCTGCAGTAGGTAGGTTCAGCCGGAATAACGTCGGGGGTGCGGGCCCGCCTAGTATTTAAAGACGTCACCCGTCCCCTTTGGCATCCGTTCGTGCCTGCTTGGCCGTGGGAAAGGCTTTGTGTGCCCGCATTCTGCTGCAACCGTCCACCGGGAGCTCCTTTGAAACACGCTCTTGACTGCTGCCAAATATCAACCGTTGGCCCTCCCGCGCCGGCACGCCGCTTCCACATGGAGCTTGCTGCCGCACCACTCGGCCGCGAAATCCGCCCACGCTACATAGCTACGACGCCTTGAACCGCCAGTCCACCTTCGCCGCACCCGACATCATCTCTCAGTCCCGCTGGCCGCCATGCCCGCCCCCTCCCTGCTGGATATGGTCAAGCGGCGCTTGCAGCGCAGTGTCGACCTCGTCGTCGACGTCGGCGACATTCCGTTCCACGTGCTGGAGACCGTCTTGAAGAAGATCGAGAATCCCAAACAGCTCCGCGAAATCGAGGCCAACAGCCCCCACATCGCCGAGGACACCGGTCCGTTGTGGTTGAACTTTATCAAACGCGACATACAGAATTGGGAGCAGAAGCCGCACAAGCCGCGCAACCCCACTTTATGGTGCAAGGTCTACTACAAGCTGCGGCGCGAGCAGGAGGAGGAGATTGTGAGGCAACAGGAAGCCTTGAGGGCTGCCCTAGCCAAGACGGAGCAGGAGCGCAAGAAGAACACCAGCACGCTGCTTAACGCTGCCTTCGATCCGGTCCAGCATCGCCGCACGCACACGACGTCGGGCCCGTCGCTGACGAGGGATCCGCGCAACTATACGTACATGCCTGGAGAGTCGAAGAAGAGGCTCACCGGTCGCGGCATCATGGCCAAGATTCAGCATCAGGCCCAGGCCAGCCTGACGGCCAAGAAGAGCAATTCGCCGATGAACGTGCCGACTCACCTCCTCGGCAGCCGGACCAAGACGATGACTGCGCCACCAAGCATGATAGCACAGAAGACTCGAGCTCCGCAGCCCATCGATCGGGGCAAGCAGGCGCCCTCCAGAACTCCCTTCCCGCCACGTTCAGCATCCACGCCTGGCGACACGGTTCGAAAGCAGAGAGAAGAAGCCGAGGCGAGGCTGAGGGCGCTGACGAGCGGAACCACTCTTCCCCCCTCGGCCAAGAAGATGGATGGTGCGGGTGGTAACGTGACGACGGGAGCTCAGGCGACCGCCCCAGCAGCAGCCGGAAGCATCGCGCGCCCCTTGAAACGGAAGGCGGAGATCAACTGCCTAAGGCCCTCGAAGAAGAAGTAGGATATTCTTTTTGCGCACTTGAATCATTTATCGGGACGAGCATGGCGTTGGCGGGTTATCAAGCATTTACGGGTCAGTAGTTACACGGCAAAGTTTTCTGGCGCAATGGGAAAGGATACCCCGATTTCAAAGGATAAAACCGGCGTTTGCAGAGAGCTTTAGATGGGGGAAGAGTCATGAAACTTGTTCGATTAGACCGGGGAGAAAAGAGCAGACCTGCCATGTGCTTTTGGCGACCGTCTATCTGAAAATGTGGATCGTGCTCGCTGTCCGTGCTCGTGCATAACTGAAGGTTACCCTCCGCGCGAGTCGAAGCTGGTATGGAGCCCCACACCGAAAGGTTTCCCGGCAGCACCATCTTCCTTCAAGAGCTCGTGTGGTCCATCCTACGCTCGTTTGTCGCCGACGAGATGCGACTTCATGCGGTGCCGCCGCGCAGGGCGAGGACAAGGTGCAGCGTGGCGCCGCCCTCGAGGTTGTACTCGGCGGCCGTCTTGTCGTCGCTCCTGCAGCAGATTGTCAGTCGCGAACGCGCGGGCATACGGCGAAGTTACGCACATTTGCTTGCCGCCGAAGATCAGACGCTGCTGAACCGGGGGAATGCCTTCCTTCTCTTCGACACGCTCCTTTATGCGCGAGACCTGTGAAAGGCAGCGCGATCAGCGCGACGCCGCATCCGAAGCATACGTGATGACGGTACCTTGTAGTCGGGCTCGATGTCGAGCTCGATCTCCTTGCCGGTCAGAGTTCGCACCCTGTAGGCGCGGTTAGCCAGCGTAGTGGGGGCGGGGCAGCGACCTACTTAATCTGCATGGTGGCGGCGACGTCGGTGTGTGTATGGGGGCACGCGGCGGACGAGGGTGGATGAGCGCGTGCAGCGGGCGCGACGGCACGGTGATTCGAGTGTGGTGGTAGGTGTTGCGGTAGGAGAGGCAGCGGGTGCTTGGTAGTTTGAGCGCAGGCAGCACGTCAAGCTTGTGTCCGAGCGTCAATGCTGGCGGGGTTCCATTCCGCTCGCTCTCCGCTCGGCCACTCACCGTCACCTCCGCCGCCCGCTGCTGTGACCACCTCGGGTTCCGCGCTTTCGCTTGTCATTCCGGCGGGCTCGCTTTGTCTTTGGTTTGGTGATATTCTTCAGTATTCTTGAGCTGCCAAGGCAAGGCTGCCAAAGCATCACTCGGGGATTTTCGCGCATTCATTCGTGGTCTTCCGCCTTGTCCTTGAGCTGATCGTCACCAGCTTGCCCATCCATCTCATAGTCCCCTCTCGCGGGCGATGGCTAGTGAAGAAGAGCAAGGGTTCATAACTAAGGTTGGCTGTGCCCGTGTGAATGATGTGATGGGCTACGACTAGGCATAGGTTCCAGGGCTTGTTGCCTGTCATAGCATTTAGTCCATGCCAGAGGTCCGCGAAGAGACCTAAAGAATTGTAATCCCACAACCAGTCTGAAAGAAGAGTTCGCTTTGAGATTGATTGTCTAAAATGCGAACCTGGTACTCCCACCGAAATGCTACTGATGCGGCAGAACGGCCCTTCTCTACTGCTCTGATAAGCATCGTCTCACACTTCACCGCACCATTGCGTACGCCGGCTCGATGGAGATATATTGAGTAACTGGTCATGCTCCGCGATGGGAACTTGGTCGGGACCAGTGCTGGGAAATCAAAAGGAGTAAAGCCTTAATATTGTCAGGATACTCAAACGCAGCTCTTACGTCGTGTAGGTCGAGTTTTTAGATCAAAGTGTTTACTTTTTACGTTGACCGGTATCTAGAAGCTCGACGACTCGTATTAATAGAACTAAGCTTGGACTTATCTTTGCGTGTAATTTTTAACTCCGCTACGGAATATTAATACTAATTCGTCTCTTTCGCTACCGAGTAGTAAAGGATTTATAGACTCTAGAGATCGCTAGTCGTAGCAGTCTAAGTAAAATTATTGATTTTAGCACGTTATAGTTACTCGCGTTACTAATAATCTGCAAGGCACACCTTACCACTAGATCAAAAGAGATGGCTACGACTGCTGCTATCGCAGGCAGTTTCTGGCCAGTTGACTCATAACTGGCAGTGCTGCCCCAGCATGCGACCCAGCTGGACTCCAACACTAGTGGATCACCTAAGCTACGCCGAAGACTAGGTAGCGGGCCGCTGGAGGTACGCTAAAGCCGGCAGGCTTGGAAGTCTAGCATAATCTTACCAGTAATAGTACTCTCAAGTATTTTTAGAATAATTTATATATAGATAACGATCTATATGCTCCCGAATAATAGACGGTTTTAATTTTTTTCAACTAAATTTTAACGGATAGAAATGCATCTTGTGTAAGGATTATTTATGCTTTATTTTTCAATTTAAGATTTACTTAAGAGCAGAGAAATACTCCTTAGAATAGAAGGCTTTTCGACCGGTAAACCGAAGGTATCAAAAAGTCATGTCGATGGCACACCTACCGAAAACTTGCGGTCGTTGCGACGAAAGGAAAGAGCTGAGACGGTTTTGAAATGATGGCAGTCAATATGATCGCTCATCGAGTAGCAGGGAGATTTTCGGAGTCGCTTCGGCTGGGCAGCTGCAGCTTGCGGGGAACGACATCCATGAGGGATGAGCCTTCTTCCCTAACATAAGGGAATGGCAGCAATTGAAGTGTAAAATGGCTACTACCATCTTCATTGCAACCCAGGAAGCAAGGCCGAACCACCACTATCGACTGCCTCAAGCCTAGATTCCAAGAGAAGAGTGCAGAGCTGAAAAGGCTAGTGACAGGGGTGCGGGATCTCTTGAACCCCTGCGGGGGGACTCGGCTCGCTGGGCATCCAGTTGATCTCGGAGGACGAGAGATGCGCATTCGCCTAGGCGACGGTGTCCTGGGTTACCTTCCGCATCGACTCAATCTAAATTTAGGGTTTAAATGGTGCGACAATGCGGTGTGTCCATGGATTCGTTACCGCCCTCCGTCTCACGCGCAGCAAAAGAAAAGAAGCAAAAGACTGTATGGACTAGAGAGGCAGAGCGTACAACCAGGTCACCTCTGCTGTGTGGCAGGATGCAGTGTGCGTTTGTTGGGTGCAGGTTTCGCGCACAAGAGCTGAGTAGAAGGACGGCAACGAGTAATGGTTCGGACTCCGAAGCTCTTTCTGCGTTGGCCGGGCTTCCCGGCACTCGGGGAACCCACTAGCCCCCACCGTGGCCCTGCGCGCTGCCAGCGGCCGTCCAATGGGCAGCGACGCGACACGAAGCTTTTGTAATACGGCACCGTGAGTGGACTGGCGGCTGGAGCTGTCAGGAGCTTGGGCCCGGCTGCCATGTCGTCAACACGTCCCTCCCCGGCGCCATGTCCACCCCGCCTTTGTAGCGTATAATAATTCGTCGCTCCCGTCGCATTGCCAGGCCAGAGAGCTCCGCCAGCTTCCCAAGCTTCCCGTCTCGAACAATGGCCTCCGCCACCGGAATCCCCGAGCAGCATCTCAGCTCCGCCAACAACGGCCACGGTGAGCAGGAACCGCTGCTCGGCCGTCCTGGCGATGCCTCGCAAAAGGAGGGCAAATCGCTGGCCTGGAATCTGATCCTCGGCACCGGCATCATCGCGCAAGCCGGCATCTGGATCGTGAGCTCCCCAAACCGGTGCCGTCGTCCTGTGCCAACCTTGCTGACACTTCCAGCTCACTGCCATTGTATGGGCCGGCATTCTGTCCCACGACTTGATACTCTTCTCTGCTCATCCGGTAATTGGTCCCCCCTCGTCGTTTCGTTTCTGGCCACGCGCTGATGACTGCTTAGCTGCTCAACTCTGCTGGGGTGTTGCTCATCACCCAAGCCGCCCTCATCTTGCAACCCACACACACGCCTGACCAGAAGCGCCAAGGCACCTACGTCCATTCCGTCCTGAACCACGTTGGCGTTCTCGCATTGCTCTCTGGTCTCGTCGTCATTGAGGTGAACAAGGAGCGCGGTGGCCTGGATCATCTGGAGTCTCCACATGCCATCCTCGGTATCATCACCTACGTCTTCCTGGTGCTGCAGGTCATCGTCGGCTTCACTCAGTTCTTCACACCTGGAGTCTACCGGGGCGTCGACAGGGCGAAGAAGATCTACAAGTACCACCGATTCTTCGGCTATGTGACATTCGTGCTCGCACTCGTGACCATTGCAGCTGCGACCCGGACCACCTTCAACGTCAACGTCTTGCACATCCAACTCTGGGCTGTCATCGTTGCATCTCTCATCACTCTTGCCGGCATTATTCCGAGGATCAAGAGACAGAAACTCGGCGTGTAGAGGCATTTATGCTTCCCAGACTGTCCGATAAAAGTTGTCGGATAGTTTTATGTTCCATGGACCAGATCAGCTACCATGACTTCCGCAGACTTCAATCTCATGCGAGGAGGTTAAAATGATGGAGTCATAGAATCAAAAATATTTCTGCGCTTATTCACTGGATATCACGTCATTTTTGGTTGTGTGAAATGCCTCCGGAACGCAAAGTTGTAGAATGGTCACGACTTTTCTTTCTTGGTGCTATGATTTACATGTGGCTTTTGTCAAGCACGAGAAAATTTCCCTGGACGGCTCTGCTCAGTAGTTTCAGCGTGGACATTACGATTTTATTTATATTTCACCTACTCTTCTATGGATTCGCTCTCTGTATATTGATATCGTAGCCGAAGGCTGACGTAAAGATAGAGGCCTTAAAACAAGGCGTAATTCCAACACCTTCTTACCGCTGATTACTAGCGCGGAGAATGGTAGGGCCTGAATAACTATGTCTAAGTAGAAAGTATCAGGTTAAATATATCAGCACACGCAAGAAATAAATTCACACTAGCTAATTATGTAGGGGTTCTATATCCCTTAAGAGCTTTCGAGTAATTAAAGTAACAGTAGAGGATAATTTAATACGAACAGTTACATTTTTAAAGCGCTGTAAAATTTAATGATAGTAGCTTACGTATCGTAAAGCGTAGAAGTTAAATTTACGATAAATAATTCAGTAGGGTTTTATAATGGATTTCCCCCCCCATCTCATCGGAGTCTGTTAGGGTGACGAGTTGAATTGTTTCTATGGTATATATTGTCGATGTTGCCTTAGTACAAGAGAAACGGTAGCATCGTAAAGAGATACGCAAAGCTTCAGGGCCTCACTGTTTCAAAGAGAAAGAGCTTGGGAGTTGCGACCGCGTGTCACCCAGCCCTACAACTGGTTGCACCAATCTATACTCTTCGAAGCGTCATAAACCATCAGAAATAGAATCCGAGCATGTTTGTATTCAGTAGATATGTATCAAGGTAAATAATATCCTGTCCTACATGCTGGTGTTTTTCACACGATATGGATTGTTTCTGACAATTGCTCTTTACGATGAACGACACATTACCCACGCAACTCGAATACGATCGTGGCTATCGTTCGGACTTGAACTCAACTCTACATTCACGCCCGACAACTGCTTCAACTACTCAACGTTGGAGTACGAAGAGCCGTACATCATAATTACCCAGAATACAAGGCCTATTTGGGCTTAGTCCCACCTCTTGAGTGTACATAATTTCTGCTAGTTGCACGCCCCCCAGAGGGCAATCCATTATGGTTTCAACACCCATGATACTAGAAATATCAGCTAGCCTTCGGCTGACGTCCAGAATTCGTGGTATTCCTTGATATCATCGTGCCAACCACTGCAAGAGAACCTCTTCTCGAAACTTGCTGCAGGCGGAGGCAACGAATCATGCCGGTGGCTCAGTCGGATTCTTCGCCATTGCTCTCGATGAGACCCTCCAAGTCTTTGAGCCCCTTGGCGAGTCTCCTTCTGGGTCGGTCGCCGTTGTCTTCATCTGACTCCGAGTGGCCCCAGCGCTTCGCACCTTCCTGGACGGCCTCGAGATCGGCAGCCAACTCTCTACGCTCTTTGATCTGGCGGGCCTTTTCGACTGAGTAGCGCCCCTCCATGCCGACATCTTTCAGCATCTCCTTCAAGTGGTTGATCTTGGCCTTGGGCGTCTCGAAAGGCTTCAGTTCTTTCCCCCAAACCTTGCGGACGCCACACTTGAGTAGCCAGTCCTTTAGCCGCTTGATTTCGGCTTCATGCGGGTCAATTTCTTTGGCATCCTTGGTTTTACTCTTGCTGGTGGTAGGCTTGGAGCCTTTGGCAGAAGTCCCTCTTTTTTGCTGCTTCTTTTTGGGCGGCTCATCTATCAAAACAGACATGTCACTGTCAGAGTCGGAAGCTTTGGCCTCCTTGGTCGAGCTTATCGACTTGCCGTTGCCAACGTGGGCTGACGTGGGCTGCGAGCTTCCTTCATGGCTGGAAGACGGGCGCGGCGCCGGAGAGGTGTCACCTTGGTCGTCCGAATCATCTTCAACGATGCGAGGCTTCTTGGAGAGCCTCTTGGGCGCGGGCTCCGGGGACTTTGTCGCGTCGCTGTGAAGAGCTTCCTCCTCGTCGGACGAATTGGCCGTCTTTTGACGCTTCCGCGCCTTGGGCTTGCTAGTGGAATTGGCCTTCTTGGTCGAAGGCTTGCGTTTCTGAGGGGCGGCGGCGGCGGCGGGCTTGGGGGCTTTCGCACGTGGCGCCTCAGGCTCCGCAGGCTCTTCGCGTTCCTGCACGCTCTGCGCGGCCGGGTCAGGGCGTGAGTGGCGCGGAATGAGGAGGATAATTCACGTACGACTTGATCGGTGATGATATTCTCGCTGCGGCCTTTCCAAGCCGGATCGTTCTTGAGGAAGCAGTCGGGTAGGCTTAAGCGGTCTTCGACGGACTTGCGCACGCGTCTGAGAGTCAGGTTTTGATGGTCGCCAGAAAGCCAGAGATCGCGCACCGCGCTGCGCAGGGCGTGTTCGATCTCGGCATCGGGCGCGATGGCCGGTACCGGCTCAGCATCGCTGTCTGACATGGGGGGGAACCGCGGAAGCTGCGACGCGTGAGGCAGATGTAGTGCGGAGACGGACGGGGTCTCGAGGTAAGATCGCCCACGGAGCCCGATGCGGGTTAGCGCAACGTGCAGGCGACGCGCAGGTCCAAGGCACGGCGCGCGCGGGTGCTTGGTGGAGGTGCAGAAGGAAGATGGCATTTGCTAAGTTGCGCATCCGCCGCCATCGCCGATTGCTTGGTACCGTCAGGCACTGCCGTCGTGGACCCGCACTCGCTACCTGTCGCAGAAGCAGCCTTGGCCGCTGCGCAAACAATGGCTCGTCGCCCGGGCTGCGTCATCGCCCGCGCGCCAGGTGCAACCTCCGTCGGCGTCGCCCAGTGGTCGCGGCCACGAGGGGTCTTGCCTGTTGTTGCTGAAAATAAAAGTGGGCGCGGGCCTCGGGCTTGTGCGCCGCGCAGACGTCAACCGGCATCACACCGCGTTGTTGCCTCTTCAGGTTCCCTAGGAAGTCAGCGCGCGCGCCGGACTCGTGTGCCCTTGCCCTGGCTTGCTTGCTGCGGCCCTTATTAGCATCATCCCGCCTCCCACTCCGGAATCCAGAGCCCAAGCTACCCCAGACCGTCGACGCTCGTGGAAGTTGCGAGAAAATCGAGAAAGACCGTGACGCTTGGTCTTCGCCCCAAGCTCCAGACCCGCGCCCAGCCAAATATCACTCTGACGACACTCGCCTGTTTCCCACCCCCCGCCCAACAACGTCTTCGCCCCGACTGCTGCAAAAACCCCCCGCCGTCCGCCCTCCAGCGCCGAATTCTCGAGCGACCCCGCCTCCCTCCATTTGCGCGCATCCCGCACCACCGTCATGCCGTCGGCCAGCGAAGAGCCCAGGTCGGACAACGGCCGTCTGCTGCTCGTCTCCAACCGCCTGCCCATCACCATCAAGCGCTCCGACGAGGGCAAATATGACTTCTCCATGTCGTCGGGCGGCCTGGTCAGTGGCCTGAGCGGCCTGTCCAAGTCCACCACCTTCCAATGGTACGGATGGCCGGGTCTCGAGGTGCCCGAGAACGAAACCCCCACACTCAAGAAGCGGTTGAAGGAGGAGTACAATGCTATCCCGGTCATGCTAGACGACGATCTGGCCGACAGGCATTACAATGGCTTCTCGAGTGGGTCCTCTTCGCCCCTGCGCTGACCATCACCACATCCCAGCCGCTGACCCCCCGCCGATCAGATTCCATCCTCTGGCCCCTCTTCCACTACCATCCCGGTGAGATCACATTCGACGAATCGGCTTGGAATGCGTACACCGAAGCCAATCGCCTGTTCGCCAAGGCAATCGCCGCGGACGTCCAGGACAACGACCTCGTGTGGGTCCACGACTACCACCTCATGCTCTTGCCTGCCATGCTCCGCGAGGAGATTGGTAAGACAAAAAAGAATGTCAAACTCGGCTTTTTTCTGCACACTCCGTTCCCCAGCAGCGAAATTTACCGCATACTGCCCGTCCGTAACGAGATCCTGCTCGGCGTCTTGCACTGTGATCTGATCGGCTTCCACACTTACGATTACGCCCGCCATTTCCTCAGCAGTTGCTCAAGGATACTGTAAGCCCGCTCAGCCTGAGAGTGATTGGATGTGAACCGCCGTGCTAATTGTTTGACTTTCCCAGCGGCTTGGCCACGACTCCCAATGGCGTCGAGTTCCAGGGCAAGGTCGTCACAGTCGGTGCATTCCCGATCGGCATCGACCCGGAAAAGTTTGAAGAGGGCCTCAAGAAACCCAAGGTCCAGGAACGCATTGCCACTCTGGAGCGCAAGTTTCAGGGAGTCAAGTTGATCGTGGGCGTAGACCGTCTCGACTACATCAAGGGTGTTCCCCAGAAGCTGCACGCGCTCGAAGTGTTCTTGACGGAGCATCCCGAGTGGATCGGCAAGGTGGTGTTGGTCCAGGTCGCCGTGCCCAGCCGCCAGGACGTCGAGGAATATCAGAATCTGCGGGCGGTCGTCAACGAGCTGGTCGGACGGATCAATGGCAAATTCGGTGAGTAGACCTCCTGTCCTCGAATCGATCGAGTCCATTCGCTGATGACGCAGGCACCATCGAGTTCATGCCCATCCACTTCATGCACAAGTCGGTGTCGTTCGACGAGCTCATCGCGCTGTACGCCGTGTCCGACGTGTGCCTGGTCTCGTCGACTCGCGACGGTATGAACCTGGTATCGTACGAGTACATTGCCACCCAACAGAAGCGCCACGGCGTCATGATACTCTCCGAATTCGCCGGCGCCGCCCAGAGTTTGAACGGCAGCATCATCGTCAATCCGTGGAACACCGAGGAACTCGCAGACGCCATTCACGACGCGGTGACCATGGGCGCGGAACAGCGCGCCCTGAACTACCAGAAGCTGGCCAAATATGTCAACAAGTACACCAGGTAAGTCGCGCGAACTGTCGATTCGGTCCGAGCGGAATGACTGACAAAAGTACGCAGCGCTTGGTGGGGCCAATCGTTCGTCAGCGAACTCACCAGGATCTCCGAGCAGGCTGAGAAGAAGTTGAACGTGCGCCGAGGGTCTCTGCTTGACAATGCTCCCGAAAACGGCGAGGACGGCGCGGCAAAGACGGAGCCTGTCCAAGCCGAATCTTGATAATTGCTGACGGATATGGATGCGGGACCGGTTGAGCATGCATAAGGGCGTACGGATAGAAAATGTGGCACGATTGCATGAAGCTTGCACAGCACAGGATAGGGTTTAGGAGGACATCCCCTCTCATGATATAGCTGCCCGTTGCAGGCGCTGGCGTCAAATTGTGGTATACAGTAATTAGACCGTGCAAGCGACCTTTCTTTTCTTTGAACGCTGCACGAAATCGTATGGACAATTACAGGATTGGTGATTCCTGTGCATCGTTTCAATTGACAGGGCGATTCGGAGGTGCCAGGGTGCCAGCGGAAAGCACGGGCCACATTCACGCTCCCGGCGCGCCGTTCTGATGTCGAAAAGTGCATCTGAAGCTTGTCACTCCAACCGCCGCCTTCTCCGCGAACGCCGCAATCGCGCCATCGTCGAAGCGAAATCGAAATCGATTGCGCCCGCGCTCCGCCCTTTCGACGCCGTCACCACCCTTCTCGTCGCGCTCCTGCTTGTACGATGCCGACGCCCGGGAACGCATATCGCCAATTCACCGGCGTTGTCGTGTCGGCCGGCAAGATGATGAGGACGGTGAAGGTGCGCATACCGGGTCAGAAATGGGACAAGCACATCCGCAAGGTGGGGCACCTCTACGTTCCTTTGCCACTTCAGTTCCTGGTGCTGACAGCTCACTAAAGGACTTTCCTGCGCCTTACCACGTCCTCGTTTCGGATCCTACCGAATCCGCCAGGGAAGGAGATGTTGTCACTCTGCGGAACGGGTGGAGGACATCAAAACAGGTGCACCATGTCGTCACGAGCATTGTGGCTCCGTTCGGGCCCGCGATTTCCGAACGACCACCCATACCGACCGAGCAAGAGCGGCAGCAGCAGCTCCTCCGGGCGCAGCTAGAGAAGGACCTCAGAAAGGCGGCATCGGGCAGGAGTGTGTCAAAACAGCGCATTCGGGAGATTGCTCGGGATGAGACGCGGTTGCAGGAGCTTCCGGAGAGCCTTGTGGCGGCCATAATGGAGACCGGAGGGCCTCGCCCCGCCGAGAGAGGTGAAGAGCAGACGCAGATGCCTCCGATCAACGTTCGGGCAGGGCAGAACGTGGCCGCCGCCGCGAAGTACACGGAAAAGGGTCTCGAGAACGAGAAGCAATTGGAGCAAGTTCAAAAGGCGGCCGGATCCGTGGCCGAGGACGTAGCGAGAGGCGGCAAGGCCATCTAGAGGGGACCAAGAGCGGAAAATATGGCTCGAACAGTGTACTACTACGAACCGGATGGATGGAGACAAAGGTTTACATGGAACTATGAGATGGTGGGGCGGCGGATCACGCCGTGGACAGACGGGAAGCAATTCATATCATAAAATGTGACCAACAGCCACCCCAAACGACTCTCTCACCAAATCTACACTTTTCAAGACACTACAGAGTTTGAAACGAAACCTTAGCTTGTTTATTACAGTAGATACCGATTAAGAAGATAAAAACGAATACATTAACGTCCCGGTTCAAGACAGTGTTTGTACTAGATCGGTGTACATCAGGGCAATTACAAGCAACCCATTTGAAATAAGCAGCGGACAAGACATCAGCTAAAGTGGTAGATCAGAACGCTACGCAAACCACGGGAGCTAGCCGTGGAGCAAAGTGAGCGTGAAGGAGATACGTTTGGGCGTTTGCCCATATCATGACTGATTCTTGCATGAATCAATAGCAAACTGGTGTGATTGGCTTTGTCCATTGGTTTCACAATAAAATCGTGCCGTGGTCAGGTTTCCCGAGTAACGTTACTTAAGCGAAGAAGGGAATGATGTCTTTGGGCCAGCAGGCAGGACACCACTTTCTGCGCACGCTGTAGCCTGCGCGCCAAACGGTGCCTTGACCCGTGCCTTCGTCTTCAGCACAAAGCACTTTCGCATCCTCGCCGCGCACGCTGCGCAGCCGCCGCCGACATGTTCATGCTACGGAATGGTATGCACGCCTGCACCTGCCCCACCGCACCCCTCCTTCACCTGGGCAACCGAGAGTTTGCGATGCGATCGCCTGCTAACCCTCTTGGGCCACAGTCAGCAAGTACCTCTTCGGCGACAGCTCCAAAGAGTCCATCGTCGAGGTCCCCCAGGGCCAGCTCTATCTCGTGCGCCCGCTTTCCGTCAAAGGCTACTCCGAGCTCATCTTCAAGGACGCCGCCGCCTCGATCCGCCGCACCGGCCAAGACTTCCAGTACCAGCTCGTCATCCAGCGCGCATACGAAGAGGGCGAGCGCGAGCTGCTCGGCGAGGACGAGGAAGAAGACGGCGCCGCGGAGGGCCTGGGCGCGGAGAAGGACGAGCGCACTTTCCTGCTCGACGAGGCCCTGCGCTTCCGAACCGACGTGAGGCAGACGGGCGAGAAGGTATTCGCCTGGAAGGACCTCAGCGGCGACGAGGGAGACCTCTGGGAGTTTGTCTGCGACAGCTCCGTCCAAGCCCCGACCATCGCGACGTTCGAAGTCGTCGCCGTTCAGTGCCAGTACGAGCGCAAGTACCGGAGGAGCCACCAACAAGCCACCGAGCAGGACCTCCAGCAGTTTTCCTTCGAGGAAGAAGCCATTCCCGACGCGAGCCCGGTGTCCAGCCCCAGGATACGCTCCCCCCTCGCGTCGCCCGACATCGCAAGGTCCAGCTTCAGCCTCGACCCGCCGACCACCATCGACACGATGGTTTCCAAGCCTGCGCCCCAGCCCGCCACCCCGTCCAAGGCCGCAAAGGCCACCGCCGCCCCCGCGGCCCGCGCGCAGCCCGAGAGTCGCGAGGTGCTCGCGAACGAGACTGCCGAACTGCACCTGTTCGACTTCGAATCCGGCGCCTTCATCCTCCAGGACCCCAGCGTCAAGGTCACCGTTTCCGAGATCGGCAACTGGAAGTACTGGCTGCAGATCAGCGGCGAAGGAAAGGAATGGCTCGGCCAGGCCATCGTGCCGGACATCAACCCAGTCTTCAATTTCGAATACCTCTCATTCATCTTCAACCACTACACCGAGGACGGGTCCGCCTACTCCTGGCTCCTTCGCTTCAGGGACAACGAGACGGAGGAGAGGTTCCAGGGCGGCCTCATGCAGGCCCTGTGGGAGCACCTCAACGAGACCAAATGGCACAAGGCCAAGGATGAAGAGCGCGATTACGTCACGGATGCCTTCCAAGACTTGACGATGGAGGACTACGACGAAAAGGCCGAAGAAGAAGAAGACGAAGAGGAGGCGCAACAGTCGGATGATGATGACGAAGACAGCGCGAGGCGCAGCGAGCACTACGACTCGGACGAAGAGCAGGACGACGTCGTCACGAAAGACAGCGACGGCAACATCAACTCCCAGCTCGCAGTCGGCTACAAGCACGACAGGACGTTCGTCGTGCGCGGCTCCAAGATTGGCGTTTTCAAGCACACGGAAGACAATCAGCTGGAGTTTGACACCAGCATCTCAAAAGTCGAGACCCCGAAGGGCAAGCTCTTCAGTCCCAAGAAGGTCATGCTCCACATGGAGGACCGGGACATGATCCTGCAGAATCCCGACAATCCCAACTCGCTCTACCGCCTGGATCTCGAGCGGGGTGCGGTCGTGGATGAGTGGAAGGTGCACGACGACATTCCCGTCAGCATTTTCGCGCCGGAAAAGGTGAGCGACGTCTTCCACCAGAGTTGATTTACCAAAAGCTGACTGGCGCAACAGAAATACTCTCAGATGACCGGCGAGCAAACCCTCCTGGGCCTGTCGCACAACGCGCTGTACCGCATAGATCCCCGTCTGTCGGGCAACAAGTTGGTCGACTCGAATCTCAAGCAATACACGGTCAAGAACGACTTCTCGGCCGCGGCCACCACCGAGAAGGGCTACATCGCCGTGGCATCCAACAAGGGCGACATCCGGATGTTCGACCGTCTCGGTATCAACGCGAAGACGGCTCTGCCGGCCATTGGCGATCCCATCATCGGCGTCGATGTTTCCGCAGACGGTCGTTGGATCCTCGCGACGACACGCACCTATCTCCTCCTGATCGACGCTCTCCAGAAGGAGGGCAAGAACGAGGGAAAGCTTGGGTTCGAAAAGGCGTTCCCCAAGGACACGAAGCCACAGCCGCGCCGGCTGGCGCTGACGCCCAGCCACGTGGCGCAGTTCCAGCACGAGACAAAGGCACCCATCTCGTTCACGCCGGCCCGGTTCAACACGGGTGTTGACAGCACCGAGACGACCATCGTCTCGGCCACGGGACCGTTCGTCGTGTCGTGGAGCATGAAGAAGGTGCTGGCGAACCGCAAGGACCCGTACAGCATCAAGCGCTACTCGGACGAGGTCAAGGCCGACAACTTCCGATACGGATCGGACAAGAACTTGATCGTGACGCTTCCCAACGAGGTCAACATGGTGCGCCGGCGCGAGCTTCGGCGGCCGACGCGCGAAAGCATCGCCATGCCGTCGCGCATCGGCACGCCGCGAAAGGGCGGTAGGGGGAGCTATCTCTCGCGCAACGACATCGTGAACAGCCCGTATTAGGTAGGTCGAGCGCGCGGCCTCCCTATTTCAGATTTGCGTTTCTTCTCCTAGATTGTATTCCCCAGCGGCAGGTTCTCGTGATGGAGGAGGGAATGTGGCGTTTGATGATATATCCAGCACGCGGCAGTGGGCCGTCTGCCAGCAGCGTCGATCAATTGATTCCATTCGACATGAACTCCGGCGTGAATTTCAACATATCTTTCCACGTGGTCTGCTGTGGCGTCTCAGACAAGCGACATGGCGTTTCAATTGCTTGCGGTAAGGCGGACGCACAGATTGGCGTCAGCCCTAAGCACGCATGCACATACATATGATGGATCCGTTTCTGCACGCTCTCCTAAGCAGTAGGCAGCAGCCGCTAAGCGCGTCTAGTCAGCGGGTGAGGCTCGGTAGGCGGGACCTAGAGGGCGAGAGCGGGCGGCGGCGGGCGCGCAGACCATGCACGACGCGAGGCGAGGTGGTAGTGGGATGTGGTCGTTGCTGATCTACGCTGCAGCGTCCTCGCAGCACGGGGTCCCGTAGGGCAGACGAGGACGTCACCTCTCCGAGAGCATACGGCCGCAGGCTCGACGTGCGGTGAGGCGCTCGTCGGCCGCGAAGCCTTGCTGCGGTGAAGCGGGGAGGCGGGATCGGGCCTCACCTCTCTGCCTGTATACGACGACGACAAATTTGCGGCTCTTGCCACGCGCAGTGCCGACGCTGATGAGTCGTGGTGACCACACACCGCCATGCGCTTGATCTGCAGGAGATCCCTGGCCGTTTCACTGGCCCCGTCCGCACGCTAGCTCTGCTTCGCTGCAGCTTCGATGCGGATGCGCAAATGAGCCAGGCCTGCCGCCCACCGCCCAGGCCCGCGTCCTCAAATCATCGCGACACGCCCTCTTGCTGCTCCCATCCTCTCGGGCCCCCACATGCTCCAAGCACGCACGTGTCGCCCGCTAGCAGACCGACGCACCTCACTCCAGTTCTTCCTATTATTAACTTTTGACGCTGACGACTGACGGTGGGTTATCTTTTCCGTCGTCCCCTCTCCCTCCTCTAATACCGCCCTTCCCCTTCCCTCATCCTCGCTCTCCGCCCGCCAATTCTCCTGCTCCCCGCTCACAATGGACCCTGCAGCGTCCGGAAGCGGCATTGGACCATCCCCGCACCCGCCGCCGCCGGGGAAAGCTCCGGACTCTGACGCGCGCCGAGTGATGGCATCCATCCAGAATGACGACGAGCGGCTGCTTGCCCGCATCGGCTACAACCAGGTACCGGACGCTGGGCAGTCCCGCCGCCCCTCGACCTGTTACTGACGCTCGCCTCTTCAGGAATTGAGACGCGAGTTCAACAAGTGGTCAACCGTTTCCTATGCCATCTCCATTCTCGGTGTCCTGGGCTCCGTCCCGGCAACCTTTGGCAGCCCCATCGCCGCCGGCGGTCCTGCCACGGCCGTATGGGCCTGGTTCATTGGCAGCGTCATGGCCATGTGCATAGCGAGTTCCGGTACCGCTGCCCACGCCCCGTCCTGCACGCCCCTCGACTGACCTTACGCAGTGGCCGAGCTGGTATCGGCCTACCCGACTGCTGGAGGCATGTATTTCGTCACCAAGCACGTCGTGCCCCCCGAGCATGTGGCCATATGGGCCTGGGTCATCGGCTGGTGCAACTTCCTCGGCCAGGCCGCCGGTGTCGCCAGTCTCGCCTACACAATCTCGCAGATGATCTTCGCCGCCGCCGTCATGAACGCCACTGCCGAAGACGGCTCCTCGTCGTTTACGCCCTCGGCCCTGCAGACGGTCCTGCTCGCGATACTGATCCTCTGCCTCTTCGGCATCATCTGCTCGCTCACCACCCGAGCCTTGCACAAGATCATCCTGTGGTTTGCCCCGATCAACATTCTGGCCTCTATCAGCATCTGCGTCGCTCTGCTCGTCCTCACGCCCAACAAGCGCAGCGCCGAATGGGTTTTTACCGAAGTCACGGACGGCTCCGGCTGGGGGAGCAAAGGCTTCTCATTTCTGCTAGGGTGTGTATTTTCGCCGTGTCTAGCGACGCTGGGGACGCCATTGAGCTGACCGTTTGAACAGATTCCTTTCCGTGGCCTGGACGATGACCGATTACGACGGGACGACACAGTGAGGATCGCGTTCCTGGTACAATATACAGCCCAGCTGACTTGGAAATGCAGCATGTCCGAGGAGACGCACGACGCCGCCATCCGAGGACCGGTTGCCATCCGATCGGCAATTCTCGTCTCGGGACTCACTGGTTGGATGCTCACTGTCACGTTCTGCTTCTGCCTGACCGACTACGACGGCATCGTCAACTCGCCAACCGGCCTTCCAGTGGCGCAGATATTTCTCAACGCCGGTGGAAGGGCAGGGGGGACGGTCATGTGGTTTTTTGTCATCCTGGTCCAATTCTTCACCGGATGCTCCGCCATGCTGGCAAATGCGCGCATGTGTTATGCATTTGCTCGGGACGATGCTCTGCCGTTTTCGAGGTGCGTGAATCGAGTGGTGGCTATGCCTGTGGGCGGACGTTTTGCTGACGCGCAACAGCTTCTGGAGCACCATCAACAAGTACACCGGCACCCCGGTCAACGCCGTGTGGCTCGTCGTGGTCTTCTGCACCTGCCTCGACCTCATTGGCATCGGCAGCACGCTCACGATTGTCGCAATCTTCAATGTTTGCGCGCCGGCGCTGGACCTCAGCTACGTGGCCGTCATCATCGCGCATCGGGTGTACGAGAAGCGGGTGCAGTTCATTCCGGGGCCGTACACGATGGGTATCTGGAGCAAGCCGATCAACCTCGTTGCCTGCACGTGGGTCGTGTTCATCAGCGTCATCTTGTTCTTCCCGACCACGAAGCCGGTCACGGCCACGAACATGAACTACGCCATCTGTGTGGCTGGCTTCGTCGGGCTCTTCAGTCTGAGCTGGTGGTGGATCGGGGCGAGAAAGTACGTCATTGGCGCCCTCACCGTCTGTTTTGATGCTAATCGGGTTCGCGGCACAGGAAGTACACGGGGCCCCGTACCAAGGACATTATCGACATGCTTCCGACCGATGACCCGGACGAAGAAAACTTTCCGTAATGACGATCTCCCCCCCCGGTCTCGTTTCGCCTTTTCTCTTTTTACTTTTTTTTTCTCTTCTCATTTACCCCATTGGGATCTGGCATTGCAGGCGTTCAAGCAAGCGAGCATTTTGGAGCAATCTATATACCACGTCCATCGTTTGCAAAGGCAAAAAGGGAGAGCTGTTGGGGTTGGCATGAAAACGATCTGTATCAAGGTGTTTTACTCGGCGAAAACGGGAAAAAAAAGGACTAGGATAGAGCTGCAGCACAGGCATGGCAGCAAGATATGCACGGCTTCACCGCCGTTTCGCAGTCATCTCCCAGCGTCCGTGAGTGAGGCGAGAGCAGGTCGAGGTTTCACCGAGCCGGCACGTCGGATCGCAATGGTGCCTCTGGAGCAGCGTTGAGGCTCGTTCGCAAGACACCGCAGGGGCCGGGCTGTGGCGTCGTCCAACGATGATGGGCAGACGCTGGTAACGGGACGCGCCACGCGTGAAATTAACGAGATTGATCCTTCATCAACGGCGAGCATGTGGGTTAGCGGTAGACTCCACAACGTCTACCGCTGACGGATCGCTGGCGGCCAGTCAAACCTCCGCCCCCGCAAGGATTGTGCGTTGTCCCGGTCAGCTGTGACTCTTTGCTTCTGGTCATCTGAGCATCCCCGTCCCGTCTCCCCTGCAAGCAAAGTGCAGCTCTGGGAGGAGCTTGCAGCACGGTAGTGGAAAACACCACGACTAGCGAAGCGAGGTGGTCCCGTCACCATGCGAGACGACCTGCGCCGGAGCGACGGGATTAAAGGGCCTGCGGCTAGCGCTGCAAGGGCCCCGTCACACACAGCGGCTACGGCACTCCACCACGTTGATCTGCTGCAGGGATGGCCGTGTGCCGCGTCCCAACGTCATCCAGCGTCTCCGCTGACCGTTTTTGTCGGTGTGCGAAGACACCCAACCGCCTGCTTGGCGCCTTGGGTTCACGACGGGCGGTCAGTCTGATCGGCCTGCATCAAACGTGGAATCCGGATCTGCCGACCCAAGTATGGGGCAAGCAAGCACATGTTGCACGTGTGAATCAAGGCATATCCTGCAATGTTCGGCCCTTTGATTCCTACAGTCACACTGCAGGTTATCAGGCTCGATACGGGTTCAAGAGCTAGAAAATTTCTGCATGCAGTCTCCAATGAGTGCAACATCGTGCGGGACGTGACTGCAAAGGGCCGAGTTCTTTGGATCCACCGTGAATCCTGGACCGACGTCACTCGTTGTATCATCTTTGAGCGGTGTAGAGAGAACTTCGTGCCCGCTCGATTAGATATGTTATGTGCTTGACTTGGCCATACGGCGGTAAGTCCGCCACGACCATCAAACTTTCACCAGGCCACCGGACGTTATTGCCGTTCTCGAGCTGGTATAATTGTATGACCTCGTAATAAGTGCTACGAAGCTCCTTTACTTGGCACCGGTGTGTGTTTAGATTATCCTCTAAGAGCCTTCCGAGGAGTAGTTTTTAACGCTAAGAACATTTCGCATTGGTCTGTTTTCCGGATGCTTTCGACTTCATACAGTGCGAGATGTTTAAGTCTGGCTTGGGCTGTTAGTAATTTATATAGAGATACTAGCTTTTGTCGTTAAGGCGGTTATCTTGAAAGATTGTTTAGAGAAGTTTAGTACTTGGCGGTTGCACTTTACTCCATCGATGATACTTTAACAAATACGGTAAGTCCTATTTGTTTAGTGCGAAAGATCGAGGCAAGCAAGAGCATGACCAGTCAAAAAGCGGTAGTATCAACTTGTAGCAAGCTACTGTGTACTCGTTAGGTCAGCCGTAGTTGACCACTCCTGAACGCCATGCACGACTCAACCACAAAAGGCAAGACGATTCGAATGCATTCCTTCCCAAACAAGATTGTTCTGATTACGATGCGTTCCCGCGAAAACAATTCCCTCGTAACAGATGGGTCACCCCGGCTCCGCAAATTCCGCCAGCCGATACAACGCCCGCTATAATGCTCATCATCTCGTCAGACTCGTAAGGACATCAGACCCCCACAAATGAAAATCCCAGTGTTGTACAGCAACGTGCCAAGGCCCGAAAGAATCTCGAAAATAGAAAGGGCCCGAATGACAAGCCATGGCCCAAAGAACCTACAAAACAGAATTGATCCGAACGACAAAGCCTCTCCACTACTGAGAGCTCACCAGGTCCACGTCGTCCTCCTCGGCATCGTCGTGCTCGACCTCGTCTAACTGAAGGATGAAAGGGTGCTGCAATGCCTCCTCGGCCGTGATCCTCTTGTTGGGATCGCACTCTAGGCATCGGTGCAGAAAGTCTATCGCCTCCCTCTCCTCACTCGATAGGCCGATGCGCCTCCCATTCTCGTCCTTCTGGTTTCGGTTCGTGCACCACAGAATGATCTTCTCGAAGCCGTGGCCGGCTTCGCTGTAGCTCGGGATGTTGGTCTCGAACACTTGGCCGTGCAGCAGAGCGGCCTCACGCATGCGAGCCTTGCCGAAAATGGCCGTGAGCTCGAGCAGAGCGTCAATGTCGTCGGCACTGTGGAAGAATGGGAAGCGGCGCGAGAGCAGGGTCAGCAAGATGACGCCAGCACTCCACATGTCGATGGAAGTGGTCTGGGCAGTGCACTTGAGCAGAACCTCGGGAGCGCGGAACCCACGGGTGCCGGCACGGTTGGCGCGCCTGCTGGGGCGCGAGTCACTCTTGGGAAACGCGGGCGCGTGGTTGGGATTCGATGCGATGGTGTTCGCGTACACGCTATGCTCTATCTTGTGCTGGCGCTCGTTGGGGCGTAGTTGGCAGGTGCAGAGATGCCAATCGGTGCCCTCACGCTCCGCAAGGCCGAAATCGACAAGGACGCCGCGGGCGTGCTCCGGAGCGTATAGAAAGTTGGTCGGCTTGATGTCACGGTGCAGGATGCGGTGCTCGTGGACGGCCTTGAGGGCGGTGAACAGGCTGCGGAAGTACAGGCGCATGTCGTGCACCTTCATGTCGCGATAGTAATCCCTAAAGTCGCGGTGCTGGAAGTATGGCAGGATGGCGACCACCTGGTCCTGATGGCGGAACGCCGTGATCAGCGGGCAGACCGAGTCCGAGTCGCGTAGGTCGTGCAGGAGTTCGAGCTCGTTGAGGATGCGTAGCGGGCTGCTGGTCACGTAGATTTTTTTGATGGCGACGTAGCGGGCCTTGCGTCTGCCATTGCGGCGCGAGTCCCGCTCCGGGTGCTCCTTTGCCTCAACGTCCCAATCGTTCCGGTACAGGTCGTACTGCAGGTCCTCGGCCTTGTAGACGGTGGAAAAGGTTCCTGCCGGCAGTTAGCTGTGAGCTGCAGGCGGGAGCCGGACGGCGCGGACCTTCGCCGATGCGATTGATGAGACGGTAGCGCTTGGTGATGCCCTCAAATGACTCCTCGAATCGGTCCATGTCTTCGGCGACCGACTCCTCGACGACCTCTTCCTCGTCGCTGCCATCGTGGGTGCAGCCGCTCTCCTCGAGCGGGTCGCGGCTCTCGTCTGAGTTGGCGCCATCGTCGTCGTCGTCGGGACCGAGGTGGGCGGGCGCGTCGTCGGTCGCCATTCGCGGCGGACGGGCCCTTGCCATCGCAGCAGACATTGGCGTCGAGCGCAGAAATGTTGTGCAGACAGCGTGTGCCTGGAGTGCGGCGGTCCGCTTTAGCGCGCGCCGGCCCGATGGTGTTTTGTTTTGGCAGCAGGTAAACAGCTCCGCGCCTGCTCCTCCGCGCCGCCGCCGCCTCCGCCGCAACACCACCACCGTCGACGACGTACTCCCGCCAGAGCAACACATGCGCCGCGCCGCGCCCGCGTCTCCGTCACCATGGGCGACCGCGTAGAGTTCGACATCAACGATGCGCTCAAGAATTACCTCAGCGATCCCTCCGCCATCGCCACGCCTGAAGCGCCCGCGGACCTGCAGGACTGCGAAAATGATCCCGACTCGCTCACCGCGCCCACCGTCAATGCCGCCCTCAATCCTGTCGTCGATGCCGTGGCCGACAGTCCGGACGCCATCACGCGCAGTGAAGTCTTCGACACCTTGCAATGCCTGCTAAAGTACGCCACTCCTCCCTCCCAGAAAAACGCCGCTTTCTGATCGTTGTCCAGGCACGCGTCCTTCCTGCCGCCCACCGCTCTCAGCAAAATCCTCGATCTCGTGACATCTGGCCTCTCCGCTGAAGCCGACGCCGTCCACGCCGACCTCGAAGCCGACGAACAAGAGACGATCCAGCACCACAAGCAGCTGCTCGAGCTCTTCGGCTTCCTTTTGCAATGGACAATCTCCGCCGTCGAAGCCAAGGCGGCCGAGAAGCCGGCCTCGACCAGTGGCGTCGCCAAAGGACGTAAGGGAACGAAGCCCAAGTCTGGCGTCGGCAAGGACGGCAGCTGGGACTCTTCCGCCCAACTGAACACGGCGATGGAGATTATGAGCAAGGTCTTGAAGCTCAAGCTGTCTAGGATTTTTGTTACGACCTCCGAGCGCGACACCTTCGTCAGCCTCTTCACTCGTCCGGTTTACCTGATCCTCGAAAGCGAAGCTAGAGTCAAGAGCACCGTCATTCGCATGCACACGTTCAAGGTGCTGTGCATCGCCGTCAAACACCACGGCCACGCTTTCGGTATGTTCTCTCGCGCCTCGCGTTTCGCCGACTCTTCTTCTGACCGTCTTCCGCAGGAGCCCAGACCTCCATCATCCAGAACCTGTCGTACTTTGAGCATCTGTCCGAGCCCATGGCCGAGTTCCTCCACATTCTAGCCGACCAATACGATTACCCGCAGCTGACGGAAGAAGTCCTCCGGGAGCTGAGCAACAAAGAATTCAACAGCAACGACCTCAGAGGGCCCAAGTCCGTTTCCACCTTCGTGACCAAGATCTCGGAGCTCGCCCCGCGCCTAGTCATCAAACAGATGACCCTGCTCGCGAAACTCCTGGACAGCGAGTCTTACACGCTCAGATGTGCGATAATAGAGGTTTGTGGCAATTTGATTGCAATGCTGAGCAAGCAAGAGGGTGAAGAACGCAGCGAACACACCGAAGGCCAGATCAACGTTTTTTTCGACGTGCTCGAGGAGCGCTTCCTGGACGTGAACCCGTACTGCAGGTGCCGTGCCATCCAGGTCTACGCGAGGCTTTGCGATCTCGAGACGAAATATCCTCAGCGGAGACAGGCGGCAGCGGAACTCGCGGCGAGGAGCCTCGAGGACAGGAGCAGCCACGTCCGGAGGAACGCAATCAAGCTGCTGGGAAAATTGGTGACGACCCATCCTTTTAGCGTGCTCCACGGAGGCCAGCTTTCGTTCGACGACTGGAACGCCCGCCTGCAGAAGGTCGAGGACGAGATCAACGCCCTCAAGCCACCGACGGAGCTGCAGGAGAAGACGACGGTCGACGCCACCGTGGACGAGAGCCTGCTGGACGACGCAACCGTCGCCGAGAACCAACCAGCTCCCCCCGAGCCGGCTCCCATGACCGAGGAGGAGAAGAAGGCGGCCGTCGAGAAGGCGGTGGCCGAGGCTGCTACGGCCGAGGCTCTGAACAAGCTCCAGCTGACCAGAAAGTACTACCTCGACGCGATTCGGTTCATCGAAATCATCCACGTCGCCTCGGCTCTCGTCATGCAGCTGCTTTCCTCCAAGAACAAGAGCGAGGTCATCGAGGCCATGGACTTCTTCGTTATCATCGACGCGTATAAGATCCGCGCTTCCAGGGGTGGCATCCGGCGGATGTTGCGTCTCATTTGGACCAAGGGGAATAGCGACGAGGGCAAGGGTGTCCAGTCGCACCTGATCGACTGCTACAAGGGCCTCTTCTTCGACGCCCCAGATTCTTTCGACACCAACACCGCCGCTAACTACGTCGCTCGGAACATGGTCAGCCTGACATTTGGTGCCACCCCGGCAGAGCTCACGTCGCTCGAACAGCTCCTGAGCACCATGATGAAGCAGGGAAATGTGAGCGAGTACGTGGTCGCCAAGCTCTGGCAGATTTACGGCGCCCAGAAGAAGGGGAGGGAAACTTCCAAGACGCAGCGCCGGGGCGCCATCATCGTCCTCGGAATGCTGGCCCTCGCCGATCCCAACATCATTGTCAAAGAAATGGAGACGTGCTTACGAATAGGGTTGGGCGAGCTCGGCCGCAGAGACCTCGGGCTCGCCCGGTACACCTGCGTGGCTCTAAGTCGTATCAACGCCGCCGAAAAGGCGAGCAAAGGCACCGTGTCCGCGGCGTCCGCCAAGTTACCCAACGACCACGCCATCCTAGTCCGCCTAGCCGCCACGATGGACATCGTTGCGGACAGTTATGAATGGTTCGGCGTCGCCGAGCAAGCTCTGGATGCCATCTACGCCCTCTCGAAGCATCCGGACACCCTCTGCTCCCAGATCATCAGGAAGAAGACTAAGGAAGTCTTCGCCCCGCATGTGAAGAGACCCGGCACGGCGGATTCGCACAAGACGGACCCGGACAAGATGGAGGTCGAAGAGCGGCCGGCCAGCCGCGATTCGCAGCACAGCTCTCGCAACGGCGACGGGCCGCAAAACCCCGCTCTCGCCCTGTCGCAGTTGCTATTCATCGTCGGACACGTGGCGATCAAGCAGATTGTCCACTTGGAGCTGTGTGAGCAGGACTTCAAGAGAAGAAAGGCCGAAAAGGAAAAGGCCAGCGGCGGTGGCGATAAGCGGAAATCAGTAGGGCCCAACCAGTCGGCAACCAAGAAAGGCGCGAAGCGAGCGTCGGCGGCGCAGGAGGAACAGGACGAGCTCGATCTCATCGCGGGCACGACCGAAGACGACTTCACAGAAGCTCTCGCGCACATCCGGGAGCGAGAACTGCTCTACGGACCGCAATCGCTCCTCTCAAATTTCGGACCGCTCGTGGCTGAAGTGTGCGCGAACAACACGACGTACGCGGACAGCATGCTGCAGTCTCAGGCGGCTCTCTGCCTAGCCAAACTAATGTGCGTCAGCTCAGAGTACTGCGAGAAGAACCTCGGTCTCCTCCTCACCATCCTGGAACGCAGCAAGGATCCCGTGGTGCGTAGCAACCTGGTGGTCGCTCTCGGCGACATGGCCGTCTGTTTCAACCATCTGATCGACGAGAACACGGACTTCCTGTACCGTCGCCTGAACGACGGGGAGGCCTCTGTGAAGCGGACGTGCCTCATGACGCTGACCTTCCTGATCCTCGCGGGGCAAGTCAAGGTCAAGGGCCAGCTCAGCGAAATGGCAAAGTGCCTGGAGGACGACGACAAGAGGATTGCGGACATGTCCCGCATGTTCTTCAGCGAGCTGGCCACAAAGGACAATGCGGTGTACAACCAGTTTGTGGACATGTTCAGCGTGCTCAGTGCGGACCCGTCGCTCGAGGAAGAGTCCTTCCGGCGCATCATCAAGTTCCTCGCGGGCTTCATCGAAAAGGTAGTTTCAATTTCGAATATGATTCCGAAGAAGCACTAACACGATACAGGACAAGCATGCAAAACAGCTTTCGATCAAGCTTGCGGCGCGGTTGCCCAGGTGCGAGAACCAGCGACAGTGGAACGATGTGGCCTTCACCTTGGGGCTGCTTCAGTACAAGGACGAAGAGATTCAAAAGCAAATCACGGAAGGGTTCAAGGTTGTGCAGGCTGTGGGGTAAAACGACCACTGAGGAAGGACTCGAGAAGATTCCCAACACGCGGCGTTACGGTAGAGGTTCACGGTTGGGCATGTATAGTCGGGGGAGTTTTGGCACGGGCGGTCGATTGCTCTTACGCTTTAAGCCTCGCGAGAGGATGACATGAATGATTGGTTGCTATCATGATGCTCGACTCTTCCGGCGCTTCATCCAGAGCCTTCCTGAACCGCGGTGGGCTGATGGCCGTGGTCAAAGGGCTGTGGGCGCTTGAGACCAGTGCCCTCTTTGAGGTACAGGACCAGGCGGAAGGCGGTGTTGCCGTTGAGGTAGTACCTGTGGAGGCGTTTACTACGCAAGAAGCCGAGACGCTCGTACAGGCGCAGCGAAGCGGCGTTGTCAGTCTCGGTCTCGAGCACAATCTCGTCGGCGTCGCGCGCGGTCATGGCGTCGATGGCCAGCTTGACCAGCTTGCTCGCGATGCCCTGGCCGCGGTAGGGCTCCTGGACGGCGAGCATGGCGATGTAGCCGCGAAAGGTGCCGCTGCGGTGCGGCTCGAGCTTGGAGACGACGACGCCGATGAGGTTCTCGTCGTCATCCAGGGCCTGCGCGCGGGTTAGCGGCGGGACTGGGTGCGGCGACGGGGCGGGGGCGAGTGACCATGTAGCAGAGATGGCCCCATTGGTAGAGAAAGTAGCGGTAGACGTATATGCTGTACGGCTCGGAGAGGTCCTTGGAGATCAGCTGGCGGATGGCCGGCAGGTACCGCTCCTCGTTGAGGCCGTCATACTGGACGTAGCGAAGGGAGTCAGGCTTGGACCGGGGCATAGGCTTCGCGGGGTGGGGAGGAGTGATGTGGGATGGGCACGCGATGGGCGGCGCGTCGTCTGGTGCCCCGCCGCCCTAGCTCCCCGGGCCCCGGCGCAGCACTCAGCTTCCGCGACGCGCCGAATCCCTAACAACGCACAATTTCTCTCCCGCCAGCCCACCCTTCCTGCTGCTCGGCCATGTCCTCTCTTCGTCGTCGCCTCGCCGGCGACGCGTCCGGTTCGTCGAGTGAGCCGTCGCGCGAGCCGACGCCCGACCCGGCCCAGGGCGAGCAATACCGCGTCGTGTCGGCCGAAAAGCTTCACCAGCTCTCCGCCGCCCGCCAAAAGGCCCGCCAGAGCGCTCGCGGCAGCAAGAGATGGAACCTATTCGTCTTGGGCCTCGGCGGCGTCATCGGCATCGTGGGCGCCGGCTGGTTCGCCCAGAACAACGACATGATCGACTTGCCCGCCATCGCCGACATCAACCTCGACTCGATCGCCGACATTCTTCCAGCCGGCCTGCTGCAAGATGCCCGGGACTTGCAAGTAAGCTTCCAAGTCGGTAGCGATTTGCCCTTTTGCTTTGCCGTCTCGTGCAGTGCCCCGTATTGACCGTTGCCGCCTGCCCGCAGAGACATGAGCGCGAGGCCGTCGCCTACGACTCCTTCGCCGTCGGTCTGCACGCCCGCTCCCAGGGCGTTGAAGCCACGCATCCCGTCATCATGATCCCCGGCGTCATCTCCACCGGCCTGGAGAGCTGGAGCACCGTCGAGGACTCGCGCCAGTACTTCCGCAAGCGCCTGTGGGGCAGCTGGAGCATGATGCGAGCACTGGTCATGGACAAGGCGGGCTGGAAGAAGCACATCATGCTGGACAAGAACACCGGTCTGGATCCCCCCGGGGGCATCAAGCTACGTGCCGCCCAGGGCTTCGATGCCACCGATTTTTTCATCACCGGTTACTGGATCTGGAACAAAATCCTCGAGAACCTGGCCACTATCGGCTACGACCCTACTAACGCTTTCACGGCCGCCTACGACTGGCGCCTTTCGTACGGGAACTACGAGGTTCGCGACCAGTATTTCACCCGGCTGAAGACGCACATTGAGACCGCCGTCCGCATCTCCAACAAAAAGGTCGTGCTGCTCTCCCACAGCATGGGTTCCCAAGTTCTCTACTACTTTCTCCACTGGGTCGAGGCCGAGGGCTACGGCAACGGTGGCCCCGGCTGGGTCGATGCCTACGTCGACTCTTGGATCAACATCAGCGGCTGCATGCTCGGCACCCCCAAGGGCATACCCGCCGTGCTGTCCGGCGAGATGAAAGACACGGCCCAGCTCAACGCCTTTGCAGTCTACGGCCTCGAGAAGTTCCTGAGCCGCGCCGAGCGTGCCGAGATCTTCAGGGCCATGCCCGGCATCAGCAGCATGCTGCCCATGGGCGGCGATGCCGTGTGGGGAAACCACACTTGGGCTCCGGACGACACTCCGGACCAGAAGCACAGTTACGGGTCGTTCATCAAGTTTAGGAACAACAACTCGTCCGCCACCGCGCGCAACCTGACCGTTTCGCAGGCTTTGCCGTACCTGTTCGGGCAGAGCGAGGAATGGTACAGCACCCAGGTCCTGAGCAGCTACTCGTACGGGCTGGCGAGCTCGAGAGAGGACGTAGAGGCAAATCAGATCATCCCCTCCAAGTGGGCGAACCCCCTTGAGACGCGCCTGCCCCTCGCCCCGAACCTCAAGATCTACTGTTTCTACGGTGTGGGCAAACCCACCGAGCGAGCCTACTTTTATCAAGCAGATGAGGACCCTCTTTCCGCAATCAACGTGACGATCGATACCACTTACAGTGAAAACGAAGCTGATCATGGCATCGTCATGGGCGAGGGCGATGGCACGGTCAGTATTCTCAGTTCCGGCTACATGTGCACCAAGGGGTGGAAAATGAAGAGGTACAACCCTGCCGGGGTCAAGGTGACGACTTACGAGATGCCGCACGAGCCCGACAGGTTTTCACCTCGTGGCGGCCCTAATACCGGTAAGTGAGTCCGAGATGCCTTGCCGCTGAATAGACTAACACGAAGCAGGCGACCATGTTGATATTCTCGGCCGGTCGTCTCTCAACGACCTCATTCTGAAAGTCGCCGGCGGAAAGGGCGACCTCATCGAGGACAATATCGTTTCCAATATTTTGGACTACGCCGACAAAGTTCAGATTTGGGACGACGAGGAGTAACGGTCAAAGATGTAGAGATTTAGACTCTTGTTAGATGACGTGATGTATAATGAGGCGTTTCTTGCGGTAGATTTGTCGATACTCTTGATACCACTAGATTTTAAACTATTACATTCTTAAGTCTAATGCGGAATTTTTGTGTACTTTTCTGACTCTTGCCTACTGCAGTGAAGTGCGACGATACCGGCGGGTGACGAACACCGCTTGGAGTGGGCAAGCAGGTCGTTTACACATGCCTGGGTTGCTGTTCGGAGCAGGGCGCAGAGGCAACTTAGAGAGGACGTGGCAATTACCTGGTACTCGTGGAGTGAATCGACTATCTGTCGCGCTCAGAGATTTGTCTGGCGGAAATGAAATACTGAGGCCATATCCGCTTGCAGGCAGATTTCGTTGACGAGTTCGAGAGGCAGTATGTTAAGTTGTCCAAGTGTAGTTGTGAGGTCGCGGAAGGTGGAGGAAATGGAGGTTGCGATTTTGGCGTGTTCGCGAGGCGGAAACCACACCACTACTAAATCAAAGTCCTTCCGGTGGGAGGCAGTGACCCATGTAATGACCTCGGCTTGCGCTGGAGGGACAACGTAAGCCCTTCTGGAGTGGTAACCAGGTATTGGCGCTCGCGTTGGATGTGGCGGCCCAGAATTATGTTACCTTTGATGGTGCCGCTTCGAGCGCTCTGTTGACTATTGGTTGTATCGGGCGAATGCAGAGCCTACGGTATCTCAGAATTGGTTGCTTGACTCCGGGGGCGAATACGGATGTTGTTATTCTTGTGAGTCTTAGTAGTTTGTTGTCTCGGAGAGAGCAGATGTTTGGAAGACGCGATCGTGTCGATTTGCAGAGAAGAGCTGCAGAAATGGCACATAAGGGCGGAAGCACAAAGCACAGGAGCACAAGGTGAGAGGACGTGCGCAGCGTCTGACATCATGCTGGTGCGCGTCTTCCTAACGCGTGCTCACGTGAGCAAAACAGCAAAGGAGCTCCAATCCTGAACTCTACAACCCAACCGCTGCCCCTGTTGTCGTCGTGAGCTGCCTCTCCATGAGTTGCTACCTCAGTGGTGATATATTTATCGTTAGATTAGTTGTAAAGATACGCAAAAATTTTCTATTTATGGCAACTACTACATCTGGTGGTCCCGAAATATCGAGAGATGGCAAATTTACAGATGACAAGTCAATAATTCTTCTGTATCTTCCAGTCAACTTTGCGGCCCTCTTCTCCTGCTATCCATTTCTTCTTCTTTCCCATCTTTTCCACCTTTGCAATCGCGTCCTCCAAAGGGTCTGTAAGGAAGTCTTTCGAGACGGAAACCACCAGCGCGATCCGGTCGTCCTTCGCTGACGAGGGGTCGCGGTTGAGGAGGATTCTCGTGTCGGCGTCGGTGGACATGCCGGAGGGGTAGGCGATGCCGAAGACAGCGGCGACGCGGCCCAGGTAGCGCAGCCACCACCGCTTGTCGGGCTCGACGAGCTGCATCAGGCGGTCGAACTGCTGGACGTTCACGGGATCGAGGTCCTTCCTGCCACCATGGCGCTCACACAGTGCGATGGCTAGATGGGCGCGGTCCGTGTGGCTCAAGCCGTGCGCTCCAGCCAACTCACCGGTGATGGGAGATTGCAGCGCTGCGGCAGCTCTAATGTCTTTGTTCACAGGGGAGTGCTCGTACATGATGTTTGCCAGTGCCATCGAAATGCTTGTCAGGTCGGGACCGTTCGACATTTTGATGGTGGCCGTCAGCGCGTTGGCCAGGGCGGCGGCGGAGCCGCGCTGGACCCGGCCTCTGGACGCATAGCGCTGCGTAGCCACCACCAGCGGGCTCTGGCTCCGCACAAGTGGGTTCAGATCCGAGAACAGACGGCCTTCGCGTACGCCGCCCTGGCAAAAGTAGACGTTGCGAATGTCGGAGGGCAGGGCCTCGGAAACGCAGGCCACCAAGTTGGCGACGGCTGGAATCTGGGAGGCGCGCCGCTCGGACACGCGGTGCATCTTCAGCGGCTCCGCCTGCTCGGACGGGGCCCCGACAGCGGCGACGATGGCATCGGTGTTTCTAAAAGTGGCGGCCGGCACGCAGAAGCCGTTGATGATTGGAATGGGATAAGGCTGCACGTCTGGGTGATGATGCATCAGGGCGAATCCCCAGCCGCGGAAGCCTCCGCCCGACAGGTACAGGTTGAGATTGCCGCGTGCGCCGAGGGATGTCAGTTCTGCTGGGAGGTCGAGCTTGCCGTACGCTTCCCGGAGGTCGGCGAGCATCTTTTCCTGCGCGAGCGTCAGCATCTGCGTCCAGCCACCACGGGGGTTGCTACTCTTTTGGGCGGATTGTTGGTCAGAGCGGCAGCTCCGTAGGGCAGGCTGACGGCCCCGTCGGACGTGCGCACTTGGCCGCTCTCGGTGTAGATCCAAGAGAGCTGGGTGCTTCCTCCACCCAGGTCCATGCACAAGCCGCGCACCTCGTCGAAGCTGCTTGCGATGCCATGGGCGCCGAGCAGCCCCTCTTCCTCTTTCTTCAGAAGCGTCACGGTCCAGCCGGTGGCTTCGTGAAGCTTTTCCATAAAGTCGTCGGAATTGGGGGCGGTACGAGTGGCCTCGGTGGCCAAGACGCGAACGTGGCCCTCGTCGACGCCAAAGTCTTGACACACGGTTTTGAAGCGCCGGAATGCGCGGGCCACTTGGTTCATTGTCTCGGCGGGTATGGGCACCCTCTGGCCATCTTTCCATTGAGCATCGTATAGCGAGACGCTGAGACGCTCGGAGAAGACGGTGGGCAAGCAGCGGGCAGTGTCCGGCGACGTGTCGGTGACGGAGAACCGGATGCCATTGCTGCACAGCGCGTCAGATCAGCGCGGCCGGTCGGTCGAAAGGCAGGGTTACCTTCCCATGTCCACGATGGCCTCATAAGCAGCCATGTTTACCATTGCGGCAGGGGGGTGGCACTGTAGCTAGGTTGAAGCGATGGCGAGCGCAGATCAAGATCGGACCCGCATAAGTACACCCGCGCCTCGCACTAGTGCCGATCGGGAAACCTCTCGATCAACGACACCTGCTGTCGACGCACGCGGCTGGCGCGCGGACGAGGTCCACGGAAGACCCCTGACTCCGTTCCAGTACGTCAATTTGTGCAAGATGTCAGTGCAACGCGGCATCGTCCAAGTGGTGCCCCGCCTCGTGTTTTGCCCGGGCCACACCATGTCACCAAGCCATCCATTATTTCTCCTGATGTATTCACAATACAACATAAATACCGTAGGATGGCACTGTCGCCAAGCGCGTGCCGCACTCTGCACTGTAAGCATATTCCCTTGTGCCTCGTCAGTCGACACTGAGTTGACATTATACCGGACGTTGTTACTTCGAGAGACGGCCATTGTCGAAGCTCTGGTGCCGGTAAACGTTTGCTCCAATTTGCGAGGAAATTCCGTCAGGTGAAACAGCTCCTGTCCTGAAGCTTATGTTAGGGCCATCTCCAGCTCTGAAAACAAATGAACACGGCTGGAGATTGGACGCAACCGACTCACACTTGTGTCATAATGTTACCCTTTAATGGTTCTTCATTCAACTAGATCGTTCAAGATCCACCGGACTGAATTTCTAGCGCCCACACACCTCCATGACACTATCAAGTCACGTAGCGGTTGCGGGAAAAGTATCTGGATAAGATGAAATGCATAGGCCGTGAGAAGGGATTGTGCAGAGCAAGTCTCCAATGTTCGTATTACAATCTGTCCAGAAAAGACTTTCCGGCTATTTGTAAGAACACAGCGCCCGAGGATATCCGCCGTAGTGCAGATTTTGACATTTCCCTTCCCATTCGTAGACCACATGACAATAGAAATTAACGGAACGCAGCTCTCGCCGCGCCATCAATGCAAAGACAATTTGAAACTAAGATGCCGACCGGATAATGGAGCAAAGGGCCCCACATGCCACCGCGTCGACTCCAAGAAGACGAAGAATGGTGAACTCCTTACAAGACGTAAGCAGCGAAGCCGAGAAGGGCGGCCAGACCGGCGCCCGAGGCAGCGACGTGGTTGGCAGCACCGGTGCTGGACGCCGAGGCGCTGGCCGCCTTGGTGCCAGAGGCCGACGCCTCCAGGGTGGTCGAGAGGGCCGGCTTGCTGATGCTGATGGTGCCGTTGGTACTGTTGCCGCCGGTGGGGTAGGGCGCAGCCGAGCTCGACGAGATGACGGGCATCTTGTTGGACGAAGGAGTCGTCGGGAAAGGCGTGGCTGCGTAAGGAGTGCCGGCCACGTGCTTGGTGATGGTGCAGCCACCGTCGCAGTCGGTGATGGTCAACGTGGTTGCCGAAGAGACAGTGTAGCTGGGCGAACATGTGAGCAAGACTCTCCCCGCGTGGCTGCCAGGAACACTTACGTCTTGCCGGCCTGGGTGAAGGAGGTGGCGTAAGGGCAGTAGGTGGTGTACTCGCTAACGACTAGATGACAGAGTCAGCGCGATGCCGTCGGCAAGCATGGTATCAATCGTACCCTCGGTGACGTAGACATCGCCGGTCGAGTTTCCGGCAGCCTGGGCGCCGGCGGCGAGGGCGGCAGCAGCAACGACGGCGGAGAAGCGCATTTTGGAGATTTTGAAGATTTCAGTGTGTTTTTGGTTGAAGGCGGCGGTTAAGGCGTCGACGGGATTGCTGTAAAAGAGTGTACTCGGTGACGGCCGGTTGCAAGGGAGCGAGAGTGGGTGAGGAGCAAGGTGCGGCGGCAGACGGCAAGCATCTTTATAGCAGGCATGGCGTTTCACACCATCTGGGCTGGCCGTTGTGCCGGACGGCAAACTTGAGGCTTGCAGTGTCAGTGCTCAGGAGCACGGGTTGCGTCCGGTGTCGCCGAAACAGGTAAAGGGGGCTGTCGGGGAGAGTCTGGCCAGACGGCGAAGAAGCGAGATTAACGGCAAAAGCTGGGGCAGACGCGCATGTCCCCTGGCGCTTTCCTGCAATCGGCGCAGCCCCATTCTAGTGAGAGAGGTCGTCCGTCTTGCGCGACGCCACGGCAGCCCGTGCTACCGCAGCAGCGCCGTGAGCGTCGCGGCCAAACGGCTGAGGATGGCCGCGAGCCGCAGGGAGAGGCGGGTACGGCTTCCAGTGCGGCGTCCAAAGCGGCTCGTGCTGATCGAACGCGTCAATAATCAAGCATTGACTCTCCCGTCGAGCGCTGCAAAAATAGACGCACATCGCAGTGCGGTTGGACGGACCGAGCAAGGGCGGCGTGTACCTGCAGGCCAGGCTGACGTGCAGCGCTGAAGAAACGCCACTCAGACGCTGCCATGGTCTGGTTCAGCTGCGCCAGCTCCTGGCCGCGAGGGCAGCAATGGTTCGCGTTTCTGGCGAAAATTGCATGCCACTGCGCACCAGCCAAGTTGTTTCAACCCCAGTGCATGAACGCCTGGCCTTCGGTGCAGTCTCGAGGAGCGTCGGGCGGCCAGCTGTGGCGGTGGCAGAGGCGCCGAGCGCGGGTGGAAATGAAAAAAGTCGGCCGCCTGCCGAATCGCATCCTCCACACACGCTCGCTTGCCCTGGCGGCCTCAATATCCCTCCCCTCGCTGTCCACGCGGCTCTGCTCTATTTTTGCGACAAGCCCAATTCCGCTTGGCGCCTCAGACGTCGTCCAAATTTACCGTCGACGAGATCGGCACTCCCTCCCCTGGTCTCGGCCCGTCGCGACAATCTCGTGCTGCTAAGCTTCTCCTGCAAGAGCAAAGCTGCTGCTCGCCTCGGGCTTTGACCGCATAGTCGAGCATGAGCCCTCCAAAGTCGGGCGTTCCAAAGGGCTGGCCGCCGGCCGTGACCTACCTCGCCGCCCCGGTTTACTCGAGAGCGTGCACGGCGGACGTGATTGAACAGCTTCACACGGCGCCCCCGCTGACGCAGCCCGTCCGCCCGCCGCCTGCGCCGTCGCCCCTGGTCCGCATCACCAAGATCAGTAGCCCATCGCACCCGGCGCATGGCCAGCACGGGCTCTTTGCCGCGCAGCACCTCGCTCCCGATACCTTTATTATCCTGTACTTGGGCCTCACCCACACCCGCGCCGACGCAGATCCCGCATCTGACTATGACCTGTCCCTGGACCGTGACCTGGGAATCGGCGTTGACGCCACGCGCATCGGCAACGAGGCCCGCTTCATCAACGACTATCGTGGCGTGGGCCCGCCTGGCCCCAACGCCGAGTTCCGCGAGCTGTGGGTGGACGTGGGGAAAGATCGCTTGGAGAAACGCATGGGCGTCTTCGTCCTGAGCGCGGGAAAGAGCGGAAAGAGAGCCAAGGGCATCGCCAAGGGCGAGGAGATCCTGGTGAGCTACGGCAAGGGCTTTTGGAGCGAACGGCGCAAAGAGCAGGAAGGCTGACAGAAAGCCATGCATTCACGTGGCATTCCCTGCCACCGCCACCGAATATTCCGGAATCCCAGGACGTGACACAGGCCTCAGCCTTCCTATGGAGCACCGCCATCGACCAGCCGATTCACGGATTCGCCTCTATAGGCAGTTTGATTAGCCTCCATTGGTCATTCGGCCGAATGCCATCACACAACCAGATCTTCCACGGCTGCCGGGGCAAAACCTCTGGCCCATCAAGTTGCCCTGTCAGAGAATTTCCCCTCCACGTCATCGAGCACAAGCGTCACCTCCGTCTGCCATCATACGGCGCACCGCGGAGCCGTTCTTCTGTGATACCGGTCTCGGTCAGCGGCACGACGGCAGCAGGATTCGACCTAGGCGGCCCTCCGATGCATGACATCGGCCCACGCGACCGAAAAGGATGGACAGGAATGAGGAATTAAGGACGGATACCCTGGCCCGCGTAGGGCGCCGAGCACCGTTCTCTCCCGGAAGGCGCAGGCGGCTGGGTCAAAGCGATGGTGGATCGCTCGATGAGCTGGTGTTGAGTTTCTGTCGGCAGGCGCCACATGAGATCATGTCGACGATCATGGACGTGTAGAGGATCTGCCGCAGCGCGATTGCCTACAGCCCTTCCGTACTTGGGCACACCTGCGCGGCGTTGTCGCAACCGCGCAGGATAATCTGCGATTCGGCGGTGGCCTCCCTGAATTCTCCAGATACCGCCCTTGAAGGCGATCACACGCGGCTCTGCGTTCCGTGCAGGGTTCCGTGGGTCGTCGTCGCCGTCTCGGGCGAGCTCACGCCACGTTCGCGCAGGCTCTCCGCGTGCTCTTGGTTGCGCCCGTCGACGTCATGGCCGTACGGGTCAGCAGGGTGCCACGGCTCGGGCGGCGTGGGATTGGAAGCGTGTCAGTCCGAGCAAGAAGTGTTGAAACAGACGGAGCGTGCGAGGCTGGGGCTGGCGATCGGGAGAGAACGACTGCGGTCGTGCGTGTTGGGCGTCGCCATGATGGGTGGGAAACACGACAGCATGCAATGCGCAACCCGAGCTTGTTCTCGAAGCGTGATTGACAGGCACGCCGACCAGTCCCGAGTCGGGTCAACGTGCTGGAGCCCACCCGACCAGCTGAAAGCAGCATGATCAGCCAACCCGCAAGCCGCTTTCGGGCCTTGTGAGGGGCCATTCGAGCTTCCAGATGGCCCAATACAGCAACAAAGCCAACGCCGCTTATTGTTGCTCGATCGCCGGCGCCCGGGCTCGTGGCCGTTTCCTGGCAGGAGGAAGAAAAAGAAGCGTGGTGAGTCGGCGACGAACGGGCTGGCGGGTCGTTTTGCTGCAGCGGCTCAATAAACATGAAGATCGGGCCCCGGCGGCCGACGATCAGCATTTTTGGCGGGTCCCAGGATGGAGGCGACCGCTGGGCTTCAGGATCGGGCGCACAGCCGCGACGACGCTCGATGCACGGGGATTTCGGCGGGGGGTGTGAGGTCATACGGGCGGAGCTGGTTGGCGCTGGAATGGGCTTTTTGGTGGTGCAGTTTGTCTTCTGCGGCGCTCGGGGCAGCTCAGGCAGGCGGACCGACCCTCCAGGCGTTACTTCATCCCTACGTGCCGCCTGCCCTGTTCGCACGTCGCACGTCATCGCGTTAATGTATCTCTGGCGCCGCCGTCCCGGGGCCCCAGAAAAAAACTAATAACCGCTGCGAGGTGAAGGGGCAATGGGCAGCTCAAATAGCCGGCGAGTCCCTGAAGTGCATGTTGCGCGCGGTCTGAACGACGCACCTCCAGCCTTGTGGCGCACCCAAGCCCGTCCCGCTCGACACTAGCGCCCCAGACTGCCCGCGCTGCAGCCCCCCTGCTGCAGCCAGCCTATCACGCTATCACCGCCGATATACATAGCACCGACAATTCTCGCCCCCGGCTTCGTGTCGCTTGTGCATGCTCAATTCTCGCACCACTGCCGCTGCAACATATATCAGCTTGTCCAGCCACCTCCCCCAGACCCGCCCACCACCATCCGCCCCGTACTTGGCTGTCCATGACTGCGTTATTCACCCGCCTGGATCCTCTCGTCGCAATGGCCCCCCAGTCTCGCCGCGGCTCCAACACGGTAAGCACGCCGCATCTCCCTCGCATCCCACTACCTTGCTGACCCATTGTAGAACGACCCCTACCACCGCTACCTCCTCCTCTCCACCCAGCAGGAGACTCTCCGCCAGCGCCTGACGCTGCAGATCCCGCCCACCATGACCCACGAGCCGTCATACTCTCCTCGCTCCTCCTTCTCGTCGGACTTCTCGACTCAGTACAGTCCGACGCACTCGCCCTCTCAGACGCCGGCAACGCCTCACCACACGGCCGCGCCCTCCAGCGCTGCCAGCTCATCACCGACGCCCGACATGCCGGGTGTCGTGCAATCCGCCCACGCCTCGCACCACCCCCTCCGCACAGGCCAGCCCATGCCGGAGGACAGCCAGCTGTACGATGTCAACAAGCAGGTCAAGGCCGTGCTGACCGAGCTGCTCAACACGGACGGCGTGAAGCACGACGAACGTTTCCGCATGTGGGTGCAAGGACGCCTCATGGAGACGGAGATGGAGATGCGTCGTCAGCGCAGGAGACGCAGCAGCGTCGACAGAGAAGTGCTCGACAGCATCGCCGAGCATTTCTAAATTCGAGAGCCTACGAGAACGTGGCTCCGACAATGCATTGAATTGGGAAAACGGGAGGGAAAAGTTTGGCAGCGCCGGAATTTTTTTTTTTTTTTTTACTTCGTTTGGAGTTGTAGGTGTCTCTTGTTTACGATCCATCTGGACATGTGTCATGGAGCCTGGGCGGCGTTTGGATTCAGCGCTGTACTATACTGGGGCTCGAGGCTTCACAGAGGCATTGCGGTTTGCATTTTTCTTCATCTTTTGCTTCGACGATACCAGGCGCCACCGGGTTGCGCATTTTTACTTCTCCCAGTCCCCGCGTGTAGCTTGCAGTTGGTCAAATCGACACCATGTCCACAAACAGCACGTCAGCCCATTGGTGCCTGTTCTCCGCTCGAAATGTGTCATGGAAACGGCGCGAAGAGAGGTTCCGAGGGCATCACGCAATCTTGACTCGCGGAGTGCGCCAGCTCACGCCTCCAGGACCACCCAACGAACCCTCGTTCAGCCGCGGGCGCCAGTGCCCGCTTTGCTGGCCGCCGTCTCCCTTACCGTCTTTAGCACCAAAGCCAAAGGGCCTGCGACGATCATCCCATCCTACCGGCACCCTTACCGGCCAACCCTAGACGAGAGCCATCTTGGCCACCCCGCACCGGTAGCAGCCACCACCCACAACGGCCAGCCAACCAAGACGGGGCACGGCGAGTTATCTAGCACAGCCCGGCGCTAGTTGGAACAGCCCAGAGCGCAGCCTGGGGCCCGTCTTTCTGCGCCCCCCTTTCCCTCGTCCCACACCCCTTCCACTTTCGGCCGCGAACACCACCGCCTGTAGGCTGCGCGGAGGGAAGGGCGAAGCGGGCGTTCGTATAGGTAAGCCAGCGTCTGGGCAGGGTTGGCCGCCGTCAGACGCAGAGCCGGCAGCCAATGGCGGCTGCGCTATCAACTTATTTTTGATCGTCGGGGATCGGCCGTTTGGCAGTGGGGCAGCCTTCGGCACAGCAGTCGCGGGTACGGCCCTTCGCGTACCTTTTCGATCTCTGTGCGCCCCCGGGCGGCGGGCGCTTGTGTGCCATCGGGGCTGCGGCGCGTTTCGGGCTTCGTTCGTGGTTGACTGACGGTGGGGCCAGGGTGGAGTGAAGCCTCAGCTGATAACCCCGCCTTTGGGGGAGAGTGCGGAGTATCGTTATCTTCACGTGCCGTCGCGGGCGCCGTTCGGGGCTCCGCGGCCGTGGCGAGACTCAGGAACGCCCTCGGCTGTAAGACTACGCGTCTCCCCAACAACTCGCAACCAGACGACGCATGCGTCCGAGATTGCCTGGCGGCACCGCGCGGACGCGTGCGGATGGGGCAGATGCTTCCGCCACCGCGACGAACAGCTTGCTGACGTGCATCATGCTGCTGCACATGCAAAATTGGCTTTTCTGCTCTTCTTTTTGCATCCCATCTGGCCGGCTCCCGCCTCTCTCCGCCCTCGGCCGTGGCACCCGCCAGCAATTGGTGGAACCTACGCAGAAAGTCTCCTGATAGGCGTCTGACGCCGCAGAAAACCTGGGGGAGATTCCGGCCCGCCTGGATCGTTGGCGTGTGACATGCAGGGCCTCCGCATGGGGAACGAAGGGCATCCCCCTTGGCCCGCTGCCTCAACATGGGGGCGTTGCGATAATGCACCGCGTCATCTAGAGCGCTTGCCGATCCGCGTGTCCCGTGGGTGGCTTCCAGCCTGCATCCAACGGTTGCAAGAGTGGAGAGCAGCTGTTGATCGCCGGCACTTCTTGCCCAATCTTTCTCCATCTCAAGACTGCATATCATCATTGGAGCGCATGGCCGCACGTCCCTTTCCCACCTCCCTACTACTAGCGAGTCCCTGCCTCCGTCTCGTTTAGTACTCTGCCTCTCCCGTGCCTTTGCCCTGTTCCTAGGCCCCGTAGATCCTTCCGCATTCGATTACCCTCGCTTCTCATGTTCGACATGGTGTCTCCTGGAGCTATAAGTCGGGGGCCTCGTTTTTTGCAAGCTCACGCGCAAGTTCAGTCAACGGCTAATTCCTTACAAGATTGCTTTGAATCAAGCACTGGCTCGGATACTTATGACCAAAAACGGCTCAAAGTGCTTTCGCCACTTCGTCCACAACTCCGGGAATCCAGGAGATGGAGTGCAAGTCAACTCGCTTTTGAGTGTTGGCGACCACGCCACGGATACTTATAATCGTATTAAAGTTTTCCGAATCGGACTTTGTGACGGCCCAACAATCCTGTGTAGCAAGACAACAGCTCATGTTCCAACTCACTGCAACAAGCCCCTCGCTGATCTTTTTTTTAGGCAGACTTTTCCTGTGTTGTATTTGAGCCAAGCCAAGTGTATCGATCGAGGGTATTCATCATTCTGCATCTGATTGGGTATAAAAGTATGCTAGCTACGCATTTGAAATCAAGCCGCCCGCAAGCAGGCAATTTCCAAAAGGTACTGAGTAGCTAGGTTTATAAAAGAAGCAGATAGCTAGATACATACTATGCGATTAATTCCGACTCTACGCGTGATATTTACGCGGTGAGAGTGCTGCGGCACAAAATGAGGTGGACGAGTGTTGACTGAAGCTACTAGAAGAGAAAGGGCAAAATAACCCCTTGGCAATCCTCGCGAGAGGAAAGGTGATGTCTTGCAACCTCTACTTACGCTGTGGAGAGGAGGTATGGGGGCGAACAGTCGAGTATTACAACAATACCTCAACGGTGTCGACAACTCCGGCAATATATTTGTTACTACTTCTCTCCAGTCATAGCTATGAGATATGCTACATAGAGCTTTGACCTAACACCCAAGCTTCCCAGTCCTGAGATGGCCTTTTCGCTTGCCGAGCCGTAGCTTTGAATTTCCGATAACGACTGGATACAAAACTCGCACGGGTGTAACTAAGACTATACTCTTGCTTGAGAAACGAACCAATAGCCTACGCAATAACAACACTAACAGCTGTTGATATCCTTGAAGAAAGATTACTGGTAGTAGAGAATCTGTAAAAGAAATACGAGTGGTTTAAAAAACTTTACTAGAAAAAATTCTTAGAAACTCTAAAAAGATGTCGACAGTTTCTTAATTCTCATTATAAAAAGAATAAAACCGTATTATGAATTTTAAGAAAAGAGAAATTAAACTATACCCGAAGAATTTATTTTACATATTTATAGGAAAAGTCATGATTATAGTTCAGCTTGTTTTAGTATATCTTCTACACTCTTACTCTGCCAAACTGCTAGCAACCTCTGCTCCCGCATCCCTTATCAGGAATTGCCATGCACCAACCCTTGATATTATCTAGCCATTAACGGTGTTAGTATCACGACTCCGATAGATGCCCAGGGAGGTATGAGTGTAGGTAATAGCGGTCAGGTAGAAAAGGTAGTTGGCAATAGCCTCTCACTCATCGAGAGGGTTTAGTATGTACATTTACAATTATGTTAAGCCTGACGCCCCTTTGAGCTTATAATTTCGAAGAATGCAACTGCCAAGCGAAGGTAGCAATTATAGGAGAAATCCTAGAAACCCCAAGTGAACGGAACAATAAACTGTAAGCCATTGGGGGGCTAATTGCGAGAATCTTCTCAACGATATATTTTATCAACCAAAATACTTGGTAGACGTTCCGGCAGACCCTAACAAGCGGGTAACCCCGACGAATCCGACAACTTCCATCCATCGGTGAAATGTAACAGTTGGTAAACGGTCCGGTGGGATCGAAATCTCCATATACGACCCGAATTGTAGAAGGCCTTTGCAAACGCGTTGTTAATTATAATCTACTTTTAATACAAATGAGGATTCATCCCCCATAAGTTAGTTCTTCACCACCACAGCGATATCCTGTAGAACATTCTCCCCCATTTCCTCCTACTTCCCAGAAAGACGCCAGGTTATGCTTTTTTTTGTATGCCATTCCACGCCAATCTAAGCGAAAAAGAAAGCAAAAGTCGCCATTTGCCTCGAGCCAAATTACCAGTATCATCATCCAAAAAAGGAAACCCCTTCCTCCATTTACCTCAAGATATGCACGTGTCTGCAATCCTACTTGAGTCTTTCCGGAATTTCCGCTCCCTCCTCCCCGGCTGCAGTGTCCGTGACGGCGCTCATCATCTCTTTCGCGCCCCCTTCCTCGCACTCGTGTACGATGCGCTTCCAACGCAGTTCCTCCGCCTCGTCCTTGACGAACTCGATCGTGGGGAAGTAATGCTCGTTCTTCTTCATCGTCGCGACCCACGGTACGTTGTCGAAAGTCATGACCTTTAGGCGGAAGTACGTGTTGTCCGGGATCTTCTTGACCTCGCGCAAGAATGAAGAGAGGTCGGGTGTTGGTACTCCGTTGACGTGAGTCAAAAAGTTCGTGGGCGCGAGGCCGTAAGCGCAAGCGGGAGATCCGCGCATCCGACCAGAGACGTAAATGTCCGAGTGAACCTTGCTGATTTGCTGACGCACGGCGTGGTGCGGACGATGCAGGATGGCACCGCAGAACAGGACGGCACGGTCGGTCTCGAGATCCTCGGTCGGTACGGTCGGCACCTTGATGCTGATTTCTTTTTGCTTCCGGATGATGACGGCGTCCAGAAGCTCGTTGTCGTACATGATGTCGAGGTCGGAAACGCGGGTGATCAGCTTGCCGTTGAAGGACAGGATGACGTCGCCCTCGAGCAGGCCACCCTCGTGTCCGGAATCGACCTTGCGCACCATGAAGAGCTGGTGGCGCTCGGGATCCTCGTGCTCCACACGCTGTATCCATTCTAGAATGAGTTAGCCGACGTTCGCTGCGGGAGTGAGAATGCGCCACGTACCTTCAGAAACCCCCATGATGCGGGCCTTGTCCATCTGGACGGTGTGCATCTCGACGTTCAAGATGCGCAGCTTGGGCTGGACTCCGTTGCGGAGCTGGCGCAGCACGGGTTCGACCATGGGCGTCGAGAGACCGAGGTGGTACTCCATGTCTTTGCCGCTGTGAGACGCACGCTCACCGAGATACGTTAGCCAGATGGCCTGGACGGTGCCGTCCTCTGCGATCAGCACACCGCTCCCGCACTGCCCGGCCAGGTTCGTGTCCACGGTAACGGCGTCCAGGTTGATGGCGCGGTAGCGCGGCGTGGCGGCGCTCGCGGGGATCGCAACCGTCGTGATGTCAGTGACGACCGTCTTGGCCACGACGGGGCGAAGGTTCTGGTTGAAGCCGAAGAAGATGGTGTCCTCGCCCTGCTTGATGAACTTGTCCGAAAGCTTGGCCGTCTTCACTGGGGCTTGGACGAGCGAGGGATCGTACTTGACGATGGCGTAGTTTTGCAGGGGGTGGAGGAACACCGGCCTTCCCTCGACGACTATGGAATCGGCGATGGTGATTTGAATATCGCACAGGTCGTACGGCACGATAGCGCGGGAGACGAGCACGAGACCCTTTTCAGCATCCACGACGAGGCCGTAGCCGACCTTCCTGGACCGGGGGAATCCGTCGAGCTTGAGCGGCATGGACGAAGCTATCCGGACGAAGCTCCTCACGATGTCGACTGCTTGCGGGTGCTGGGCGTGGTCCATCCGGATGAAGTTTGCGCGCTGAGGCTCGCGCGGCTTGGGCGGGATGCGGTCCGCGAGATCCGAAAAGTCCCACAGACCGGTGGTATCGTTTCGCCGGGCCAGTTTCATCTTGTCGTGCCAATGGCGGTCGATGGTTAGGACGCTGGTGTTTAAAGTGTGCAGGTCGCGGATGTGTTTGTAGGTGACGACGACCCTGCTGCGGTCTGCTGAAATGTGAGCAGTGAAGTATGATACGGCGGAAACTACGTACCGGGAATCTCCTTCATGACTTTGACAAAGGTGTCGAGATCCGGTGTCTCCTTGTGGTCGATCGACTGGACCAGCCAGCCGTACTCGCTACCCTCGAACCGGAAGGACCCCGCCGCCTCGCACACGAAGACGCCCATCCCCTTGGTGGAGATGGCATACAGCCTGGCCTGCTGGTACGATAGCTCGTGGAACGAGGCGCCGGCGGCCGAAACGAAGCGATCCGGGGTGATGGCGTGCAGATCTCCGACCGACACCTCCACTTCCATGTCTAAGCCCTGGCGCTGGATCAAGAGCTTGATCGACCCGCCGACGCTGGAGTCCAGAATGTCGTCGAGGCGGATGAACTGCGTGATGAGCTCGCCGTTTACCTTGATCAAGATGTCACCCTCTTGAATCTTGGCATCCGCAGGGCCGTTCGGGAGGATCACCTCGGCGACCAAAAGACACGTCTCCTTGGGGAACTTCTTGCGGAGGGCGTCTTCCCAGTTGGCGGTCAAGCCCAGCCTGCGGCACTCGTCGAATGGCTTCAGGATCCACTGGGTCTGGATGGTGCCACGCGTCACGGGCTCGCCGTTCTGAACACACTGCAGGGCACGGAGCGGGCGGTCCAGCGGGAGGAAATAGTCAGTCGCAGCTCCGTCAGCCCTACCGCCCGCTTGGAGAGCCACGGCCGCACCGTCACGGTTCACGACGGGACTGCCGGAACTGCCACCGCTGGCGGCGGCGGCAGCCTGAATGTAGTTTGTGTTGAAGTCGCTGTAGCCTTCTCCGTACTCGGGAGCATTGCGGTCCAGACGGCTGATGACACCAGAAAGAATGCTGAGCTTCTCGCCGGCATCATTGCCGACGACCCTAATCTCCTCTCCAACGCGGGCAAGGTCCGGCCTCAGCTCCAGCGCCGTCAGGTCCATGTACTTTACGGCCTTGGGGTCGTACTTGAGCAGGCCGAAGTCGTGGACGGGGTCGCGGTAGACCGGGTGAACGTCGACCTGGCGGAACGGTCAGTCTCCTCGCGCGCGGTGCCGGGGTGTCCAGCCTTGTGTGACGTACCTCCTCGTGGTTGTCGAAGATGACGTATCCCCAAAAGGGGCCGGCGCCGACGACGTGCTGCGATACCGTCAGCTAGAGCTCGAAAGTGTCCCGGGGCGAGACACGTACCCTGTTCGTGAGAATGTAGCCCCGCTCGGCGTCCACGACGAAGCCAGTGGCTTCGCTGGCCAAGGCTGAGTCGGTGTCAAAGGCGGCCGTCTGGCAAAAGTGGATCGAGACGACGTTCTTGACGACCTTTTCGATGGTGCGCTGCCACTCGACCGTGTCGCCGGATGCGCCAATGTGGGCGACGGAGCGCATGTCGTCCGAGTCGTAGTCCGCGTCCACGCCATTGCCGTTGGCGCCGTTCATGGAGGCGTCCTGCTGGCCAGGCTGTGCCTGGGCGTCGCGCTGGGGGCGGCGCTGCTTCATGGGCCGGTCGTTGGAGGGCGTCGGGGGCTGTTTGCGTTTGCTGCGGGTGTCGTGGGTCTTGCGGTCCATGTCGACGGCGTGGGCGCGGCTCGGACGCGGAGTGGGCTGGGACAGGGAGCTCAAGGCGCGTCGCGCGATGGGCGCAGATGGCAGGCCGCGGGGGCGCAGGGCGGCGAGAGTGAGTGGCTCAAGCACGAGGGTGCTCGATGGACGGCGACACAGCAGCGGCCGGGGAAGGCGATGGTGCAGCGCTGGAGAGCCAATTAAGGAGCGGCACAGGCGGGCGGGCAGAGGGCCAGCACGCATTCGACGGGAGGCGATTGGCGGCTCAACACCCACTGCGACTTGTCAGGGCGGCGGGCTCGCGTGGATGGGGCTCTGCGCGATGAGGAGCGTCGAGGTGTTGACTTGCATTCCACAAATTTCAGGGCCGCCATGCGACCAGCGCCCGCCATTGGTCCGCGCGCCCGCTCAAGCGCACGACAACGTCACTGACAACCTCCCTTGCACGTCACTCGCTCCACGCCCAGGTGGATTTGCATGCTCCCTGTCGACTACCCACACCGTCGCACCCGTAAAACATCTGTCCCTGACCCCATGTGCCCATTAATTTCCACGCACCGGGATTTCTGAAGGGAGAAACGCCTGCTTCCACGAGTAACGGCACATGTATGTACCATTCCTAGTTCGCCAAGCGCGGTTGGAGCTTCGGTCACCACTTGATGCTGCTGTTGCACTTGATGTCCTGCCGTTGACTATTACTTGATGGTTGTCGCTATTGACCATTTGATATTTGTCTGCCATTGCCCACTTTTAATGTTCCGTCATCATTGACCCTTTTTTTTGTCTTCTGCCACCCTTGATAATTTTTTGATGTTTTGTTTTCCTGCATTGTTGACTTTTTTTTTTTAAAAAAAAAGAAACCCATTGATAATCTCTCCCTCTGAAATCTTGCCTTCCGCCAACGCACCTAGCTCCACCAACGAGGTAGACTAGACCCTAGCGGTGGATGCGCTGACATACGTCCCACTCGATGGCTGGAGACCCGCCTCACGTCTTCTTCCTGCCACGCTTGTCGCTCTCGTCCTCATCACCATTCGTGTTCGTGGCCTTAGTGCGTGGAGCGCGGGATCTGGCCTTTGTTGTGTTGTCATCATGACCGAGCTCGTCCTCACCGTCGCTCTCAGCCGCAACCTCTTCGCCTTTCTTTCCCTTGGCCGCCTTTTTCTTCGTAGAAGCTTTGGGGTACTTGGCGTTGTTGGGCTCCTCACCGGCCTCGTCGCCCGCGGCCAGTTTGTCGAGCTGAGGCCTGTAGGAATCTGCAAGCCGCCTCATCATCATTTTAACCGCGCTAATCTTCTTGCCCGGAGGCAGAGTGGCCTTGCTCCAGTCGATCGTGGCGGCTCCGCTATCGAAGAGGTGAATGAGGAACACCATCTGCGTTCTGAGTTGGTCAAGTGCGCACTCATGTTGGCGTACCACGAACGGAACGCACCTTCATCTCATTGGTCCATCCAGATGCAGCTTTGCCGTCGGCCATGGTGAGAGACTGCGAGCCGTGTTAGCCTTGAGCAAACATGATGCTGATCTGCTTCTTACTCGTGGTTGTTGTGGTGAAGGAGAAGAAGCTGGAAGAACTAAGCGGGAAGGGAAAGAAGAGCGAATGGTGTTTATAAACCCTCATGGCATCCACTTGTGGAAGGAACTGGACCCTGCATCGATTGTCCCTTGGAGTCAGTCTTGATGCCAACGTTCTTACATGTGAATATGGTGAAAGTTCTACGGCTTCTCTTTCGCTATAGATACAGCTTATCAAGCTCTTAAGAAAGGAGCATATTTTAGCCTAATCAACGTACGTATGGAAGTGGCTCAGGGCATGAATCAAGGGCAGAGCTCATGTCACAGAACCCGTATTAAACAAAAATGTATAATCTATACATTTTAAAGCGTTAAGGCTCTAACAAACTTAGCTTATGTATATTATGACGGTAGGGTCTCAGATTTTAGATACGCATCGAAACAAAATAAATATTTTGAGCGTGGAACCTTTACGTTTTGTAAATCATGTTCAGTAATTAATGAAAGTCCGATCTTAGACATATATGCACGTAATAGCCACGCATCAATCACTCGATAAGTGTAATCGTCAGATTCAATCCATGAACAAGACGAGCGTGTAGGTTTTGATGTGCTCAAGCACTAGAGATCTAAGAGAACGCAGGCCTCTAGGGATTTTATGTACGCGAATCTGACCCTCAATGATACTAAGATAGCTTCCAGTCCAGAATTGACCATTGCCAAAGCGGAATACACACGTCGTGAGAGCGACGTGGAGAGCCCAGCGACGCGGCCACAACATTTATGAGGGCGACTTGTACGGCGGGCGGGAGAAACTCCCGCCGCAAACGGGCGCGGATGGCGCATCCCCGCCGATCGCATCACCCTGGCCGTTTCCGCCGACGGAGAGGGAGACCTACGCCGTAAACCACCACCCCTCCGCATCAGCCGCCAACATGGTCTTGTCCTTCATCCTCATCCAAAACCGGCAGTGAGCGCCCCTCCAGCCTCCTGCAATCTACCGCTTCCGCAACGCTAACAGAGGCTCGTTGCTCGCGCGCAGGGGCAAGACCCGCCTGGCGAAGTGGTATGCGCCGTACAGCGTAAGCTCTCCTTCCCCACTGCACGCGCTGCTCCCCCGCATCGCGCACGCGCATCCGCTAAGCTTGCATCTGCCGTCTAGGACGAAGAAAAAGTCAAACTAAAAGGCGAGGTCCGTCTTCCCCTTCCCGCCACGATCCGTTGCTTCCATCCGACGTAGTCCCTGGCCTCTCCCGCCGCAATTCGCGAACAGCGTGCCGTCCAATCTTCCGACACACCTCTGACGCCTGACTTTTGTACCAGATCCACCGCCTGATCGCGCCGCGCGACCAAAAGCACCAGTCCAACTTTGTTGAGTTCCGGAACACGTCCAAGATCGTCTATCGTCGATACGCAGGGCTGTTCTTCTGCGCGTGCGTCGATACCAACGACAACGAGCTGGCTTATCTCGAGGCAATCCATTTCTTCGTCGAGGTGCTGGACGCATTCTTCGGGAACGTCTGCGAGCTGGATCTGGTATTCAATTTTTACAAGGTGGGTGGATGTGAATTCTACAACGGTGGAAATAGGGGCACAATTTCGGCGCAAGCTGTACCATCGATTTCGGGAAATAGTGGACATGGGATCAATTCGTGAATTTGTTGCTCGAGGGGCGGACAGGCTGACACGGTGGTCACGGCAGGTCTACGCGATTCTCGACGAAGTGTTTTTGGCCGGAGAGATTGAGGAGACGAGCAAGCAGGTGGTATTGACACGCCTGGAGCATCTGGACAAGCTAGAGTGAGCGGGAAGACGGGGTGCACGGGAGCACTGCTTCGGGTAGAGTTGCATTGGTGAAGGAGTCTGGCGTCGGGATTCGAGAAGTGTTGGCTTAAGCTACTATTCCCCAAGGAAGTCGACATGTTGTCAGGGACACAAATAAATCTATATTTAGCCTTTGAGACATGTTTCAGCATGTGAATACATGACTTTCCTGAATTCAGCCTCGAACTTAAAAGCACAATCCAACAAAGTCAATTAGATGCAACGCCCGGTATTTCAACGATGCCCACCGCGGCCTGCACTGTGCCATGCGGTGAGCTCAGCTCCTATGCGAGCGCATCTGGGATCAGATGGCACCACAAGCACCAAAATAGGCATCGTCGGCACGAGCAGTTCCATGGTAGTGGACCACGCGCGCCGGAACGCGCCGTCACGTTGTCAGAATGGAGCCAGGGAGACTTCTCGAAAGTCCGCGAGTAGCCGAAGGCTAGCCCTGTCAACAACTCCACTACGATGCTCAATTTTTTTCACCGGTACAATAAGCAGTGCAGGAGATGTCTCGGAGGAGGTGCAGCATCATGTCGGCGCATCTCGCGGAGCGAGGCGCCTGCTTGCCAAATGTCTCGCAGTAGGGATCATCACGGGCATCTGCAGGCAGGTGGCCGGGTGAAACCGCGTGCACCGGCGGGCGCTAGGTAATGCACGCTGCGGCGATACACGGCCAAATACATCTCGTAAGTGCGGGCTGCCAGGCACGGGCGTAGGGCAGTTGGGCACGGGAAGCTGGTGCGGGCGGGCCTAACCCAAGGCTAGTGATACCAAGCATCATCATCAATCGGTAGGGCCTTCGGCATCGGCAGCAACGTGATAGGGCCGGCGCCAGCGTTCCGGACGACCGTTTTGCCGTATGGAAACGGTTGAAGGGGCGGGCTGGGTGGCGGCAAGGTGGCTCCGGACTGGCCCGTGGGCATTCGTTGTCGACTCCAGCGCGGCAGCACTCCGACTTCGGGGCGCGGGCTTGCTGCAACCATGGCGAATTCAGGCGTCTGGACCCTGACGGAAGTTGCCCCCCCATGGAGTTCTTGTTCCAGGAAAACGTCATGGGAAAACCGGGCGCTTTGACAAGTGCTTTTAGCCATGGGCTGATTGTCGAACCCGCGCTGAATGGTCGGGCAGACTCGCAGCGCGCGCCCTACGATGAGTGACGCCGCAGCTGGCGGCGTGTGCAGCCGGAGGACCTGGCGCCGTGACGAAGCGTGTCCGTGTTCCACGCCCGTCGTGCCAGACGGGTGGCGGGCGTCGGCGAAGCATCCATGTGAAGCACCCCAGGCAGATGGGGGTCGGCTGGGAACAGGTACGCACGTCTCGCCAGCGCCGGTGGTCTTTTACGGAAACGGTCGATGTCGGCGCGGGTCCACGGTGAGGCTGACGAGTGGGATATCGCGGTGGGAGGACTACTTCTGTGAGATTTGGAAAAGAGCACGCCGCACCCTGCACGGGATTTGCTCACGCTGTTTCGCGCCTATCTTGACGGGGCCCAGCTCTCCGCGTGTAATGCCCACGAGGCGAGCGTGGAGAGTCGGATGGGCAGCATGGGTGGTGGGCGGCGCGCAGGCGATAGGCGCGTGGAGCAGACAGCAGGTATTTGTACACGAATTTCGCGGCCCGGCCTGGGCGCTGGCTGCATCGGGACGCGTTCCACGCGGATGGCAGAGCCGCAGATAGGCAGGCTGATGCCCGCAGCGGCCCAGCTGCCAGGACACGGCGAGTCGTTGCAGCACCCGAGCAGAATGGGCGTTCGCGGATGGAATTTCGAAGGCTTCGATTAGGCGTCGGTGAGCGGCGGGCGGTGATTGGCCGGGAGGGCTTATCTCTGGGCTGCGGACAAGCTCGCTCTTGGCGACGATCCAGAAGAGCGCTAGGCCGGATCAGGAAGGGGCCCATGTGGTCGCTGGCCAGTGTGGTCGCGGCTTGCATAAGGCGATGACATATCATCTGTGTCGCCAAAAGATAAGGGCGCCGCTGCAGGGCGCCCATCCGCCATCCCGTGCCAAGCCGATTCCGCCCCGGCACCGCGAGCTGGGCGGCAGCAGCGATAGCTACTGCCACCACGGCGGCGGCGGCGGATGGACGGACGACGGTGGACGCGCAGAGCAGTGCGGGCGGCGCGCGAGCAGCGAGGCGGCGGCGCGAGGGCTGCGTCGGGATGCCGTCGCGGACGTGGCGAGCAGGGCGGCGGAGCGGTGCCCAGAACCGCAGGCGCAGCTGTTCGCGGCGGCACCCAGACGCAGCGATCCCCGGTTGGCCGATGTTCAGGCTGCCCCGAGCGCCAGATCTCTGGTCGAAGCCACCCGGCCAAACCCCACGAGGCGCCCGCCGCCTCTCGTCTAATTTGCCGCAACGGGGCGCGACAAGGGGAGATAAGCAGACGGCGATGCGAACCCTTGGGTACTTTGACGTTTTCACAATACGTCGGCACAACCGAGTCGTGCGAGGCCACCGCGTTAAAATGCCACCCCGGCCCCGCTCCAGCCCGCAGATCCAGAGAAGCATTCGGAGCTTTCGTACTTCAACCTCGCTCGCCCCAGCGCTCCAGCGGACGCCTCTCCCAACCCACCCTTCCTGAGCCCGCAGCCCATCATGTCGTACTCGTGGGTCGGCGCGCCCGCGTCCTTCAACGGCACCGACACCGACCTCGGCGGTGATTCGAGTACGTCGTCTCGCAGCACGTGCCAGCTGATCCGTTCGAACTGACACACAGCCCGCTCGCAGAAACCGAGAACCTCAACCAATGGTACCAGTCGGGCGACCAGGCCTACATCATCGTGGCCTCGGCCATGGTGTTGATCATGGTCCCCGGCCTGGCCTTCCTCTACTCCGGTCTCGCGCGCAGAAAGTCCGCCCTCTCCATGGTCTGGGCCTGCATGGCTTCGTCCTCCGTCATCACTTTCCAATGGTACTTCTGGGGCTACTCGCTGGCCTTCAGCACAAACACCACCAACGGCTTCATCGGCGACCTGTACAAGTTCGGTCTCATGAGGACGCTGGGCGCTCCCAGCCCCGGTAGCCCGCTGATTCCCGAGCTGCTCTACGCTTTCTACCAGGTCAGTCCACTACCGCCCAATTGGCCGCATACCGGCCGCCTTCTGACCCTCGTCTAGATGCAATTCTGCGCCGTCACCGCCGCTATCGTCGTCGGCTGCGTCGCTGAGCGCGGCCGCCTGATCCCCTGCATGATCTTCATCTTCGTCTGGGCCACACTCGTCTACTGCCCCGTCGCCTGCTGGGCTTGGAACGTGAACGGCTGGTTCTTCGCATGGGGCGGTCTGGATTATGCCGGCGGTGGTCCCGTCGAGATCGTGTCCGGAATGTCTGCTCTGGCCTACTCGTGGATCCTGGGCCGTCGCCAGGAGAGGATGATGCTCAACTTCCGCCCCCACAATGTCTCTCTCATCACTCTCGGCACCATTCTGCTCTGGTTCGGCTGGCTCGGCTTCAACGGCGGCTCCGCCTTCGGTGCCAACCTGCGTGCCGTCATGGCCTGCTGGAACTCCAACTTGACCGCCATGTTCGCTGCCATGACCTGGGTTCTCCTCGACTGGAGGCTTGCTCGCAAGTGGTCCATGGTCGGCTGGTGCTCGGGAACCATTTCCGGCCTCGTGGCCGCCACTCCTGCGTCCGGTTTCATCACCCCCTGGGCCAGTGTCGTCCTCGGTATCGTGACCGGCATCGTCTGCAACTTTGCCACCAAGAGTGAGTCGATCCTCGTATCGATTTTTATCATTCACTAACGTCATTCTAGTCAAGTTCTGGGTCCGCATTGACGATGCTATGGATGTGTTCGCCGAGCACGGCGTCGCCGGCATGATCGGTCTCTTCTTCAACGGTCTCTTCGGTGCCAGCTACATCATCGGTCTCGACGGCGTCAACACCGGCCTCCTCGGTGGCTGGATCGACCACCAGTGGGTCCAGCTCGGCAAGCAGGTTGCCTACATCGTTGCCGTCACCGCATACGCTTTCGTCGTCTCCGCCCTCATCGCCGTCGTCATCGACAAGATCCCCGGTCTTCACCTCCGCGCCTCCGAGGAGGCCGAGCTCCTCGGCATGGACGACGACCAGCTCGGCGAGTTCGCGTACGATTACGTCGAGGTTCGTCGTGATTACCTGGCCTGGACCCCCGCCAAGAACGAGCCCGCCACGGCCGACCACCAGATCCCTCAGGGAGAGCGCCACGGCATTCCCCAGCACAGCCAGATGCTCGAGGGTAAGGAGCCCAGCGATTCGAGCTCTGGCCACGAGCACACTGGCGTCGCAGGAGACCGCCATGCCGTGGCCCTGGAGGAGAAGGCGGAAGGCGCAATGCAGAGATGAGCAGGGACGGGATAGTTCACATGCGTGGTCTTTTTTACGATTTTAATTTGAGCGAAGCACTGGCGTTGGATACCAAGAGATTGATTTGAATGGAATTATTCACCATCCTTATTTCTGGGAGCAAAAAGACTGGCAGAACGGGACTTAAAAGTACTTTGCAGCACCTTTTGACGCAGGCCTTTGTCCCCTCGTCAAGCACAATAATTAGCAAAGAGAGTGTTCCCTATTGATATTGCATTGTAGCTACGTACCTCGATTTTCCGGGCCGAGCCAGCTACCTCGGATACCTCAAAGTCCGGTTGCTCGGAGCGCTACGACGTGCCTTGATGGTCTAGAACGGACAGGGCGTCTACCCCACGACTTGCTTGACAGGAGCCAAGGACAGCGGAAGACGACTGACCAAAGCCTGCCCATTTGGAGGAGCGCGCACCAAGACTGCCTTATCAGTACGCCCCACTCGCGCCTTCATATCCAGCTTGCTCGAGCTGACGGCCACCACCAGCGGTTCAATCAAGATGCGCCAGCGACGGAGCGCCAAGCCCCCACGCCACGCCTACCGCTGATCTCTTGGTGTCTTGGTCCGCGATCGTCCAGAAGATCGGCAGATACGCGTGGAAAACCACGACAACTGTGGAAGCACTCTTATCTTCACCTCGGGGATTTCTCTCGAAAGCAGCAATGAAACACCACGACTTCCATGACATCATCGATTGTGGGGTGGGAGCGGGAGCCCGTGCGTGCGTGGGCTTGTCCACTGCAGATAATGCGCCCCGTCATGCACGGCAAATCACCCACCGCTGCAGCGGATTTTGCGGGGAGGGACTAGGATGTACAGCCCGTTCCCCTCCCGGTGGAGCGGGTTGTGGCGCCGCCGGTGTGAAGGGGCGTAGATAAGAAGAAGGTTGTTATCTGGAGGCTATCAGGGAGGGTGGAGCTGAACTGACTCGGTAGGTCCCGCGAGGTCTCGAACGTCAAAAGAGCAGAAATACGCCTTGGGAGTCCATGGGCTGCTTGATTCCGTGGTTGTCGTTCTATTGCTCGCTTCCCATGACAGGCAAGCTGCATACACGGAAAGGATGTGGCAACCTCTCATGGCCGCATATGGAAGTACATGACCGCCGACTTTCACGTGCGAGCTATGCCTCTAGGATGGCTCACGTTGCGATTGTGGTTTGCCGCGATGCTTTTTTTGTGTTCTTGGCGCGCTCTTCTGGGGAGACACCAGTTCAAGCTTGCGTTTAGCCCCCCAGTCGTTCGCTGTGGCGTACCAACTCCGCATCTCATCCAAAGAGTCTGCGTCACCTACCACACTTTACTTTGCTCTACTCATCTCGCTGTGTAGCAGCGAGGAAACATGCTCGTCTCGTTCAAAGAAACGCCCAGAGGCAACCACCCGGCGATGTTGGTCTTGAGACAAAGGAATCCGGCACGTGGCAGAGCCAGAACACCACCCGAGACCGTGGCTTGTGCCATGCGCTATTTGTAGACTCATCGAACAAGGACTCGTCGACGCAAGTGCCCAGGCGGTATCAGTGAATAATGAGGTGAGCGTGCGAGGCCGCATCTTCTTTGTCTGGTGTTTTGCCCTTTGAAAAGGCTTAATATCCTCCAACGCTCGAGCTTCGATGCTGCCCTTCACTGCTTGGACCCTCGCTAGTTAGATCGGTATTCCCTTTGCGCCTTGCTGGTCGATAAGCTACTCGCGAAGCTGGTCTTCGTAACACGCTCTTTTTACGCTTGAGATATCACTCGTTTACAATCTGCCAGCCAGAAGTATGCCGAAACCGCTCACAATCACGGCTGTCCCGTTCAAGCCCTCCAGGCTTTCCATTCCCCCATCCCCCTTCTCCCCCCGTCCGCCCCTGACTCCCTCATCTCCACCAAAGGCAGGCTTGCTGGTGTCAGCTGGAAACAAGCGCGAACTCTCATCTCCCAGCACGCCACCGCCATCACCGCCGCTGAAGTGGATCTGGCAGTGCCACATCTGCCACCGAGCCTACCCACTCGGCACGACCAGAAGGTGTCTGGACGACGGCCATTATTTCTGCTCTGGCGTGACCACGGTCAAGACATGGCGAGCTAGCGTCAATCGGAGGAGGAGCAAGAGGACGAAGAAACACCGGGCTTGCGCAAGCGAGTTCGACTACAGCGGGTGGAAGGCGTTCGGGGAGTGGCGGCGCAACGAGGGGGCCATCCGCAACGCCTCCTTCACTGACATTGTGGACTTTAGCACCGACGACGACAGCAAAAACAAAGTCGCCCGCAGTTGCTGGGATGGCTGCGACTTCCCTTCCGAATGCCGTTGGGGCTCGCATCACGGTGCCCAAGCCTCGAGCGCCGCGTCGCCCATCCTACCTTCTCCCGAAGGAGGGCAAGAAGAAGAAGACCCTCTGACCATCGTCGGCATCGAGCTCGCGCCGACGCAACCCTTACAAGCGGACAGCATCAAGCTCGACACCGACTTCACGCCGCCCACAACCTTCGACGACATCCTCGACCGCCATCAAGAAGGTGAGCTCTCGCCACTGTCGCCCAAGGACTTGCGCGACCGCTTCTGGGACGGCATCCTCGATTCGGCGCGGCAGCGCAGGTCGGCCAAGTCCGCCAAAGCGCACTCGCCGCTCGCACTGCACCCGGTCATGGAAGAAGATGAGGAGCCTGACAACCTCGTTCGTGCCGAGCCCGTCTTTCTCCATCACAACTCGGGAGTGCATCCGTCGTCCCGGTCTGCGGAAGGTACTTTCTCGCAGAGGCGGTTCGACGCGCTGCCAGAGGCGGAGCAAGAGTGGACCTTGCAAGTCCCGGAGCCAGCTGTTGTGGCGGGCCACGGCTTTGACTTTGGGTTCGAAATAACGGGCGACGGAATGGACGCCGGCATTCAACGTGTTGAGAGTGAGGCAAATGGGAGAAAGCTGAGGAGGAGAAAATAGGTTGTCGTTGTATTACAATTACATATGTGATCGAGATTCTCTCCCCCAGTGAATTGTTCCTCACACTAATAACAATAGAGACGTCTCAGTAGCTCACGCCAATGCTACTCTGAGTCTTTCCTCCAAGCTGGGGACACATGAACGGCTCAGGGAGACCGAAAAGGTGGTCGTCGTCGAAGTAGTCCAACCTGTAGTCACTGTTTACACACTTGGCACCACCGGTAGGGCCGACGTGAGCGCAGTGAACCTGATGATCATCAGTCTAATTGAAATGGCATGTGTAATCTTGGAACCACTCACATCCGGTCTGATTGCCGTGAGGAGTACGTGGATGATGCGGCAGACGACGTTGTCAGCCCATACTTCGTCAAAGGTGCCGAAAGGCTTCGCCAGTAGCTGAGCGGTGCAGTCGTCGACGTTCTGGTAGACCTGGTCTTTGCCCGTGCACTGCTTCTGGATAGTCGGGCAGAGCGATTGGACGACGGTGCCCTGCTGAATCGTCCTGTTCTCGAAATCGATGCCGTTGGCGACGCGCGTCCAGAGCTGCAGGTTCGGAATCCAGGCGTCGTACTGCTGAACGAGCCCCTGGGCGTCGAATTTCCAAAAGGCGATCTGGCGAAACGGTAGATGAGTACTAGAAATTTTCGTATCCTCTCGAACTGGGGGAACCTACTTGCTTCAACGTGGTTGTTGGCGACCCTGGAATCAGACCGCCGGTCACGTTGTTTACAGGACCTCCTTTGAGGTAAACGACGCTTGCAGCGACTTCGGGGCAACCGCTGGCAAAGGCGACGACGTCCGCTTCGTATAACCCGAGGCCTGCAGCGTTCGTCTGCGGCATGGGAGCAAGTCCGAAGAAATATTCGATGCTGTCCTCGAAACCGGTGAAGTTGCCCAGCGGCGTGATCCTGCCCGTAGCATTCGGGTCAAAGAGCCCTGGGGGCACCGCTGAACCACCCTGTGCTATGATGGGTGCATTGTTCGGGTAGACCTGCCTGTTCGTCAGCAGCCGCGCCGCTTGGGTTTTGGTGTGGAACCTACCGTAAGGTTGTAGATTGACTGAATCGTCCGCAGATTGCGCGCTGCAAAGTCTTCCTGGGCGTGAGCAGCACCTGCCAGGAGCAGCAGCAGTGACTGTACCAGAAGTCCTGTACGGGAGACCATTGTGAAAACTTGAAGGAAATAGAAAATCAACAAGCTTAGAGGTGGTCTCTCTGTTATTATATCCTGACTGGTGTTCGGTTGCGGGTAAAGCGATGCGCATCTAATTTCTCATATTGACTTTAAGCTCTTATTGGGGAGGGACTAGCTTCAGCATATTTAAACGCCGCAGACTTCTTCCCGAGCATCCGAGGATTGTCTCAGTCCTGGCTTGCGGCTGATACCGTGTTATTGATCTGGTGATAACTCGTGGAAACCTTTTACTACTTGCCGAGGAAACCCTGGTCTAATTCTACCCTGTACTGGGCTCCGAGGTATTACGTCCACTTGTACTGCTTTGATTGTGGAGCCGCATGCTAATCTCGAAACATCACCTTAAAGGAACGTACCTCTGCAGGCTTCGTTTCCCCTGGCCGGATGCGCCGGAGGCCGGCGGACGGTAAGTGGGAGGCCTGTTTCCCGGTGTCTTCGAGCCTGAGTCAGTATACTTTCGGTAAATGCCATGGCTATAAAGTTTCGTATGACTAGAACTTGTCCAACGGCTATTTTGGGATGTGAACTATCTTTCAGAGACACGGGTCACGGCACTTCGTACATGAGCTCGTCAAGGACGAATGAGTCGTGGTGTGAAAAAATGAAACAGATATACACATTCTTGAGTTGCTTGTAGCTAGTAGACGACAAGCATCTCGACCACAACAGCCATGACCTCTAGAGCTATTGCAGTAGCTTCAACGCAATATCACCGGTTTTCTTGAGCTGCGGTTGTTGCGAGACGCTGAGTGAGATGTGCCAAAGAAAATGCATCAAAGCCAAATGGGTCTGCTTGTTGAACTGTCGATTTCTCATGAATCTTGTACAACAGAGGTTTTCTGCAGACCAAAAACTCTTGACCGGACTTATCATGAGCTTTCGAGAGGCAGACTGCGGCTCGAACCGAATTACGTGTTTCTCTACCAGAGGGAATCTGCAAGGCTGCTTGGCGATATGATTGGCCGATCTGTCAACGGACGGGAGGTAGCCGTTGTGCGATTAGTTTTGCCTTTTTGGGTTAGTAGTGTCTTGGCGGCCCGCTCCACCACGATCCCGACCGATCGACGGACCAACGACTGACCGCCAGCGACCTACCCAACGTCATCACTCATAAATGCTCAGTTACTGAAGCCGAAAAAGAGGCTCATATGGCCGGTGCATCGAAGCGTTCAGCGTTTTAATGGTTCAAAACCATTTTCAGTCCCCGGCCACCACTTTTCCCAAAACAACATCTCCCCCTTTACGTCCCCTTCACGATGCACGCAAAAAGAAAGGTATAACCCTGGAGTCAAACCAGGACTACTGGATCCGCCGGGAATCGAACCCGGGACCACTCCCACGTTTCTAATGTTGCTAAGGGAGTATTATACCACTAAACCACAGACCCTGCTGCTGGTGGGTGTTAACCCTTGCTGCTTGATGGTATAGGAAACGGAGCGCATGCAATATGAAGAAAAAACTTGACTCACTTGCCAGCCGGTAGCTAACGATACCGCTGTCTTAGGTGAACGAGAATGCAGACTCGAATGCTCTTCCAGATAATGCTGTTACGCATCTCTGGGGAATTTGTCCCACTTTCATCTGATATGGGCTAGGTCTAAGTAGAATCGAGAAACGGATTGGCTGGAGAATCTGACAAGCAGTTAGCGGAGATACAAAATTTGATACTCAAAGCAGGAACCGTCTTTCTACATAGGGTGGTCGCTTCTGGCCACATAGAAAGCGTACTCACATGAATGGAAAATCCTCTTAAAGAAGCAACTATCAGGCGTTGCAATTGAAGTAGATTTGTGCATGTTGAAGTAGTTTGCGTTGAAGTGTGGTGAATCTCGACGGTATATTTAACTACGTACGATGCTCTTAAATAGCCAATTAGTTGGTAAGCGGGAACGTTAATTCAGTAGACCATGAACGTTATGGTAAGCCTAGTCAGCCGTATTGGACTACCCCTTGGATTACATCCACTGTGAGAAACCAGAGCGCCCGGCACGCATGAGACGAGATGAGGCAGGGATACACAAGACTTTGTCTTCGTGGCATGGCATGATTGGAAGTTGAATTTATGGGTCTGCTGTATTACAACGTGTCTTTGCATTACAGCAGCGTGTCTTGCATTACAATAATGCACCTGCTGCATTAATGGGCTCGAAACGGTTCACCGGTTGAGGGGTATATTGAAAAGAAGCTTGAACAGTTCACCGGTTGAGGGGTAAATTGAAAAGAAGCTCGAAAGGCTGACCGGTTGAGGGATATACTGAAGAATAGGCTCGGACGGCCCACCAGCTGAGCGGTAATATTGAAGAACAAGCTCGAACAGTCCACCGGTTGAGAAATATTGAAGAGCAGATCTGAACAGTTCACCTGAGGAATATTGGACAACAGTTCACCGGTTGAGGGATTTGAATAATCTGTTTAAACAGCTCACCTGGATGTCGAACAGGGTCTCTTGGATTGTGGCAAGCGATTGTGTGAGGAAAGAATAAGCGACAAAGGACGGTAATGAACAGTAGACAGTTCGAAAACCCCGCAATCACCAACTGCTCTCCAACGCTCTTCTTCTCTCGAAGCAACTGCGTGGCACCGGTGCAATGCAATTCATCACTCCCAATCTCCAAAATCTCAATTGACTATCTGGCTTTTAAATAGGAACCTGCCCAAGTTCTTCTAACCACAGGTTCTACTACAGGACTCCTGCGCTACTGGTGCGTCACACTGCCGTCTTCTTTTACTTGCAAGCACTGCTCATTTCAAAGGTATGTTACACGGGTTTCAAGCTCAAAACGGAGGCAGGTAGAAAGGGTAACCGCCGTTCTTGATCCTGAAAACGCTGAGCAGGAAACTGTAGCACAGGAAGAGCAGACCACCCCAAATGATGACGGCGGTCTGCTGGGTCTTGGGGTTCGCGATGCGGGGAACCTTGAGGGCGAGCGAGATGGTGGCAAAGGAAAGGACACCGTCTAGGATGGTCAGCATTCCGGCCCCGCGGGACAGGTGCATCAAACTTACAGATGGCTGCGACGATTTGCGTTTCCATTCCGAACTGGTTCTGGAAGCCGCCGGCAAAGTAGCTGATGCCGCCCTTTCCGTCGCCGGCAACGTAGGGCACCTTTCTGATGTGGTTGAACATGTGGCCGCTGGTGAATAGGAGCACCATGATCAGGCTAAAGGCGGCCCACAGGTTGCGGTTCTGGATGATGGGCAGGATGTAGGGCGCAGCGACGGTGATGAAGGTGATCAGGCCGAGCACGGCGGTGGTCACGGAGACAATCTTCAGGTAGTTGATGGGGCGGACAATGGGCGGGTGCGGGCCCTCGGGGAGGTTGCGCGAGATCCAGGCGTGGATGCCGTCGGCCGACTGCGGGCTACACGGGGTCAGCAGGGACTCGCATCGCGTCAATTGGAAGCGTACCCATTGGCAAAGTCGAAGCGCTTGGGCTGGGTGTCAGCCCTGGCATTGATGCCGGAAGTCGGGTGGAAGAGCAGGAGGACGGGCGCGGTTTGGAGCATGAGCTGGCGAGGACATCAGCAATTGAACAGGCGGCGGGGCGGCGGGGTGGCGTACGGATTGGAAGGTGGCCTTGCCATCGACAAAGTCCAGAGTCGCGAAGATGGTGCGGCTCTCGGCGTCCTTGTCGCCCTTGGTCCAGCTCTTCGCCAGCAGGTTCCACTCGGGCTGGAATTCCTGGCACATCTGGCAGCCGAAGCGCGGCTCGAGGGCGGTCAGCAGCACGGCGACGGCGTAGTCGCGCGGGGCCGAGGTCAATTCATTGAACGAGGCGTCGTCGAGCTTCAGCGGCGAGCCCTGGGCGCGGAAGGTGTGGAAGCGGTCCTGCGACGGCGCCTTCTTGGCGGCCAATGCCGACAGCGGCAGCAGGAGCTGGGTGAAGAGCGACAGGAACCGCATGATGGCGAGCGTTTCCGAGGCTGCGGGAGTCTTGGAGCAGCTGTTGCTGTCGGCGTCGTCAGCTACTATGTACTCATCTACGTAGCCTCAAAGCTCCCGGGGATGGCCCGGCTGGCTGGTCCGTGCGTGCTGCCGGGGTGAGCGATGTTATGTTTACTCGTCCCGCGCGCCCTCAAACTCCGCACACAACCGCCATCTTTACCGCATCCGCCGTCAACACCCTCCCCCTCAAACATGGAGGCGCACGCCGAGAGCGACGCCAAAGAGGTCAATGCTCTGTTCTGCAGTCCGCGCCCGCTGATGCTGACCGCGCGTAGCTGCACCAGGCCCTCCGCACCGCCGAATGCGAGCTGGAACTCGAGCGCAGCCAGCGCATCGTCGAGTCGGTCAACCGTGACGAGGAGATCCGCAAGCTGCGCTTCCAGGTCCTGCTGCTGGAGGACGAGAATGACGACCTGCAAGACCAGCTGCAGGAGGAGGACCAGCGCTGCGGCAAGCTGGAGACCGCTCTGGACGACGCCCTTGCCCGCCTGCGCGAGAGGGACGCCGACCTCCAGCGCGTGTCCAACGAGCTGCGCATGAAGATGCGCGAGGCCGAGAACATGAAGGTCCGTCAGCGCCCCCGCCCCCGTGCCCCCCACGCTCACCCTCGACCAGACCGAACTCGCTTCCATGGAGACCATTTCTACCGACTCCAACAAACTCCTGACCGAGAAGCTGGCCCTGTCCCGCGAACTCTCCACCTTGAAGCCCGAGCTGGAACACCTGCGGTCGCAGGTCGCCGCGCAGGACGGCCTCATCTCTGAGAAGCTGTCTCTGCAGCGCCAGCTGAACACCGTCGAGGTCGAGCTCGAAAACGAGAAGCGCGCCACCCAGCGCGCCCTCGCCCGCTCCGAGAAGCAGAGCGAACGCGACGCCGAGCACCAGAACCAGATCAACGACCTCGAGAAGCAGCTGGCCGCCGAGAAGCGCGACCGCGAGAAGGCTGAGCGGGACGCCCAGAAGCTGCAGCGCGAGCTCGACTCCGAGAAGAAGGCGGCCGAGCGTGCCCAGACCAAGGAGCAGCAAAAGGCAGAGCGGGAGGCGAAGGACAGTGCAAAGGCCGACGAGCTCAAGGAGGAGCTGGCACAGAGCCAGCGTGAGGTGGAGGAGCTCCGAAAAGAAATGGCAAAGGAGAAACGCGAGCGCGAGAAGGCCGAAAAGGCCATCAACAAGACCCAGATGGACAACGAAGCCCAGCTCTCACTCGCCACCGAGCGCGCCGAAGCGTACAAGGCCAAGCTCAAGACCACTAAGGAGAAGCTAAAAGAGGCCCAGGCCGAGCTACAAATGGCCCAAGCCGCTGCCACCGCGAGACCCCCCGTCGAGGAAGTACCCAAGCCCTCCAAGAACCTTCGGAAGCGTGTCGCGCAGATGGATCTTGATGCCACGACGCTGGGCACTCCGGGAGACGGGCCAGCCGCGAAGAGATCGCGCAGTGCGGCTCCGGGCGACAAGTCCACCTTCTCCATTACGCCCTTTCTCAATCGTACAGCCAGCGTCGCCCCATCCAGCCCGATTCCGGAGGAGGAGTCCGAGCACGAAGGGGACAAGACCGAGGAAGTCGTCGCTGCTCAGGCGACACCCACCTCGAAATCCAAGAACGACAAAAAGACCAGCGCTGCCAAGTCTAAGCCTCTGGCACCCGTATCTACGAACAAGTCGTCGAACAGCAAAGCGTCGAAGCGTCAAAAAGCCGCTGTGCCATCGTTGGAGAAGGTTGCTGAGGAGGCCAACGACGAGGACGATGAAGAGCAGGAGAGCACGCCGCCGCGACCTCGACCTGCTAAGCAAAAGGAGAATGAGAAACCCGCTGCCTCCAAGGCGAAAAAGTCCACGACTGGCGCGACGATGCTGAAGCCAAAGGCCAAATCGGCCGCGAATCAACCCCGAAAGTCGCTCGCCTCGTTCCCTGCCTTCAACGATGATGATGATGGCGAGCCGGCCAAGAAAAAGAAGCGCAAGCTCGGTGGTGGCGAGAACAGCGTCCTTGGCAAGCCGACCCTCTTCGACATGGAGGATGAGGACCCTCGTCCTGCCAAGCCCATCCCTGGACGTGGAATTTTCGCGGCGAGGGCTTTGAACAAGACCATGGGCCTCAAGGGCAAGAGTGCAGCACTGGGAGGCACGCTAACGACTGCGGATGGCTTTACGTTCAGTCCGTTGAAGAAAGATAAAAGGGCCATGAGAGAGGCGTCTTACATGGCCTAAAATTGATTTGTTCGTACTTTGGAGTCTGGCATTGGGGCGGCGTTTCCCGGTTGGGTCGGAATTGTGGCTGGTTGGATGAATTGGAGTTATATCGTTTGGATATCGGATGGGACTGGTATCTCATTTATTGTTTCAATGTTCAAGATGTTCGAACACGTCTGTCCACTCATTGGTGAATCCACTCGGTTAGCTCTTTGCGGCTCATGCGAATGTTCTCGGTGCACACTGTGCTCAAGTCCTCATTCGCGTCCAGCTTCTTCAACTCGAAGAAACCTCCAAGCCGGGCCACGACAGACTAGAATCATAGTGGCTTCTGACGAGCCTACAATTGCACATGAATACGATCTTTATCAGACGTATGGTGCGGAAGCCTCGCGACTATATCAAGCGCCGCCCGACATGTGAAATTTGCTCTACCAAGAGGTATCTCCCTTATAGAAAACTGTAGCCAATACAGGCCACCAGAAAACTTGATGTAATGTACACGAATCTACCCCCAAAAAATGTATTGGCAATAACGTGCAGAGCTACAAATGAGGCCTCTGAGCTTGGAGTTTCGTAGCATGCGACAATGTAGTATCACCCATAAATGGATGGCCAGACCAAGAGCAACCAGACGGCGGAGGTCGCAATCCAGTGCCACGTAATTAACCATCCCAAATCAACATGGACGGAAGCGACCCCATACATACAAGCATCCGCGTCGCGACAGCAAGGGTTTCCCACAGGACTCGAACATCAGCAATGAGTGGATTCACTATTTTCCTTACAGAAGAATTCCCGAAGAGATACAACTCTTGCCTTTATGGCTATATCGAAGGTTCAACGTGTAGAGATGCTGATTGATCTCGAACGGCGCGAGACTGGATATTCAACTGGTCCATCAAGACTGCTTTAAGAGACTATTCTCCAGTTAAAAGAAGGCGCCGAAATAGTCACTGGTAGGTTTATCCATGATCTCAAACGCGAGACTCAATAGATTTGAAACTGCGTGTGACCTCCACATTAGTCAGTGCCCATGATCTCTCAACGCAAGGCTCAATGAGGCGAAGCGTAGTCTCCGTAAGTGACATAAAGAGGGGAAGCCAAGCAGGGCCTCCGTAACAGCAAGAACAGAGGCTTGAGGCCGACATGATGAAACTTGGCCAAAAGCTCTCCCAGGAGCAACTAATCTCTTAAACCAAGCGTCCGACTGATAGAAGAAGCGTCAGAGTTACATCAGTAGTTTATACGAGGTGGATTTTTAGAGGCCGTCTGCACTAACGCTCGAATTGTTACCTTAGTCCTATCACATGAACTAAGAATTAGAAGTTTATATATACATAAATAGCTTCGAGTTCGAACTAGAATTAGAAACCAACCACTTATCTCGTATATGCGCCACTGTTTTTTTTTTTTTCAAAAAAAAATATGGGAAAGTAGAATATTACGAAACTTAAAGTAAATCGTATATTGCAAACGTTTAAAGGAAAGTCGCGTTAAATTTTGGCAACATCCCATGTGCTCCTAGAGTGTGTTATTGTACTACTTGGTACATAGTTCAAGAGGAACGATATGAATATATTTCCTCTCACACTAAATCATCAGTGCTGTCAGTAGATACCTTTTTAGTCGAAAAACATTGCGAACATCTGCATTTCCGTCATTTCGATGTTGAATGCATCCCGCCTACGCAAGCTGTTGAAGTAAACGTCTAGACCTGGGATTTGAGTGGGGCATAGTTATATCTGGATCCTTACTATTCTTCACGCTAGCCTTCAGCTGAGATGACCCCCATGTATACGCTAGACCAGAATATGCGGGTATCCATCGATGACTGTATACGTATTTCTCGACGGTGCCTAATGGGAGGATCCTAACCCTGAATGTACGCCAAGGACCTGGACAGCAGCTGAAGGAAGTCGGAGGTGGGCCAAGCATCGAGCGACTGCCGGCCAGAAATAGTGACGGAGCGGCACATCTCAATGACTTCGGGCGCGGCGCATCGCAAACGGCAGGGGGCGATGCCGGCACCCGCAAATGCATCGACCGGGAGCAGCCCGGATCCTTGTGATACTATGTCACAAGTTTTCAGGTTGTTTCATTTTGAAGACGTCTCCCGGACTTGGAACAGCAGTGGCGACGAGGTCCGCGCTCCAGTATTGAAGATGCGCAGGATGATCCATGGAGGCAGAGATGTAGGAGCAAAAAACATATCGTGTTCGAAATGGCCAACCACTATCTATACGACGGGCTAAATCTTGCCCTGTCACGGAATTCCGCACCCTGAAAGTGTAGCAAAATTTCAACGAAGATAATTTCAAGCGTATCTTCATTCTTAAGGTATCTAGACACCGATGAAGATAATAATTCAAAAGCGAGAACCTTGACTTGCATGGTTCAAGGAGCTAGATCTGGCCCCTTGTAATTGGTCATTTTGAACAAGATGTGAGGGTTCCTTTATAATCACCCCTGGAATATACGTTGCCAGGTGGCTAATTACTAGGCGAAGTTCCTTTAATGATCAGTTAAGAAAATAAGGATTGATGCTGCAGCAGTATCAGTGCGGTACACCACCATGGCGAGGATACTCAAAGAAAAAAAAAAAAGAAGAGGAAGAGGTGAATTCCTGGGTTCAGCCGCAAAACAAATCTCTGGGCAACGGACTAATCGCTTGTCAGGGTACATTGTTCCCTTTTGCCGGGTGCGGGCCCGGGGAGATGGTCATGGGGTTACACCAAGACTGCATCCCGGTACAGGGGGACGCATGGCACAGTGGTACATGTTGCGAGACGGGCTGCAAGACCGTATCCAAGCTCTCGCCTGGACGTTTGTTTTGGCTCACCAAGCATCTCTTTCTTCTTCATTCCGGTGCAGCTCGAGCAGGAACCGTATTGCTTTGTGCTGCACGACGGGCCGGGGTTTTTTTCCGGAAGGGGAGAGAGGGTGTGGAACGACACATTAGCGTGACGCCTCAACATGGGGGTTTTCAGCCCGAGATCTAAATGCGAACCCATGTGATGCGAGGATCGATGAGCTTTGCTGCGGAGCTGACTCGCAATCATGCAGCTGAATGTCTCGGCGATGATGGGTCATGGATGCGGCTCGGGAAGGTGCAGATGCAACAACCGACCTCTCTCTTTTTGGAATGGGGCTTGCTGGATGTGTTAATGCTTATCAAAGTCCGACTGGGAATCAGGCTTGCACCCTCCTGTACGACGCACGTGATCATCGAAGCACATCATTGCCCGACTTTGAGAAATGTGTGCCTGCAAGGACGGCCGTTTATCGCTGAGGTTATACGCATCTATCCTAGAACGTCCTGGTTAGAAGGGCTTGGATGTGGACTGACGAGGTTTTGCAAATCCTGATTGAACATCCGCACGTGGATTAATAAGGAACCTGACGGGAAAGGTGACAGTCTCCAGTCTATCGACCGCGTTTGACCCCTGCTAAAGATACAAAAACTCCATCATGCTGAACCAAGTATACCATTGCGGCGATGGAAAAGGAAGGTTCCCTAACTATGCTCCCCAGCAGCACTTTCCGGTCGGCTCCTGCCATGCATCCCATTTCCCCCAAGCGCCGTTGCCCAAAAATCCGCTTCAAAAAGCAAATACAAAATAAACGGGTTATTTGCCCCCCGGAGACGCTCGTCTTACCGAGTGTAGCCTGTAGCAGATTGCTTCTCCTGCATGGGGCCAAACAAGAGACAACGTTGCTAGCAAAAGGCCCATAATATCTGGCGATATCGTTTCCGGCGTATGTGAGAGCGGCTGGCCTATCGCCGGGAGGCCGTGCACGTCCGTTGCCTACAAGTTCGATCGTCATCATTCGTGTCCTATGATTTCATCAACAACACTGGAAAGAAGCGTGCAACGCGACAGCCTCAGCCTGAGAGATCCACGTTGAATTCCCAGTTGCCTAGTCTCCGAGTTAGCACATCGCTTCCACTCCGCGGCCGAGTGTAGCCCTCACCTGACTTCAGATTGTCTGCCGTATCACTGAGTAGAATCACCCGCCGGCGGTTGCAGTACGACGTCTTGTCCATCATCTCGACCTTGAGGTCGGCGAGCTGATCGACAGGCTTCTCGAACATCTCGCTGAGGTTCTCGACGGCCATCTCGAGGTCCTTCTGGTTGTCCTCGAAGATTTCGGTCAAGTTGTTGCGGGCAAGGTAGTATGCGAACGCGTACGTCCACTTCAACGTCTGGCGGCATTGCTGGAGAGCCTGTGACGCCTGCTCGAGGAACTGCACCTCAATCCACGACATTCCCGACGACGTTTGGAGCTGCGTCATCTTTCTCTCCGTCTTGAGGTAGATGTCCTTGTCGAGCTTGGCGGATTGCTCGTGGTTCGCATAGCGGTTGTAGTAGTGCAGGTAGCGTTCGAGGGACTGCCGCGACTTGGCCTGCGCGTCGCGCGCCTCGTGGCCGCTCTTCTCCTCGTAGCGGTTGCAGTTGTACCAGCTGGTGCCGTGCTCGGACCAGACGCCCATGCACATCCAGCAGAACTCGTGGCGACACTTTCGGCAAGTCATGTGATTACAGCCTCCGTTCTTCTCAATCGTCGAGTGGCACTTTGGGCATTCCTTGGTGTTGGCCGAGATCCAATTGGCCGTCTCCGAGTCGTCCTCGCACTTCTTGAGCCACTTCTTCACCAAAGCGCACGGCGCCGGCTGGTGGTCGTTCAGCGAACAACCGAAGCAGAAGTGGTGCTTGCAATCGCAGATGACCGTGGGCACGATCCGTAAGAGGTCCCTCTGCTTCACCGGGCAATCCACGGCGAACTCGCAGTTCGGCGCCGGACACCACTTCAGGTTCTCCTTGTCGTCGACGTACGTCCTCGTCAGCAAGACGTGGTACCTGCAACGCCACCGTTAATCCATGGCAAATTGGATGCTGCTGTGAAAAATCTAGCGGGACATACCTATCCTTGAGATCCGCGGCGACCAGCAACTCCAGAGACTTGGAGTCCACTATCCGGTTGCAGTCGGTGCCCGGGCACTTGATGCGCGCCGCTTCGCCCTCGTCCTTTATTTTGGTGTAGAGATATTGCTTCCAGCACGGGACGCAAAACTTGTGGCCGCACTTCATGGCAAACGTGTCCAGCTCCGCGTCGTCGTCGGCGCAGATGTCGCACATGAAGTCCGCGCCTGCTTTCGAGATCTTCACGACCCCCTCGACATCGTCGCCGAGCCCGGCGTCCTCGAGCAGCTCCTCCTGCTTGTCCATGTACTGTTCGATGAGCCGCTCCTTGTTCCACCGCGCGTATCGTAGGAGGATGGCGGTCGATTCTGCGGGCTGGCCGAGGATCTGCGAGACCTCGTCGATGACGCGGTTCTGGTATGCTTGGATGTCGGCGGGGCTGTAGACCTTGAAGTCGACCTCGTACGACTTTTTGCTCGGCTTGATGTCCTTGTCCTGCGAGTCGAACGCGACGTCGGCGTCCTCTACGTCGAGGTCGGAGTCTGCGCCCTGGGTTAGCATCAAGGGCCGGCTCGCGGAGGGGCGACTGCGGGGCGGGAGGCGACGTACCGTCCTGTAGGCTCACGTCGCTGTCATCGTCGACCATGAAGTCGTCCTCGCTCGACTGCGGGCTGTTGAAGTCGTCGTCGGAATCCATCGAGGGCGAGGCTGTGGTGAGGGGGGTGGCTGGGAGAGCCTGTTTGGTCAAACGCGTCGAGGCGGTCTCTGGGCGTTTGTTGGGTAGGGTCGATACGGCGTCGGACTCGGAGGCCTTTCGCTTCTTGACGGCGGAAGGCGTGGTGGGTGGTGGTCAAGGAGCCGAATCCGCCGTGATGACGGAATCGGCTGCTCGCTGGGACGAAGGGAGGGTCGGGGTAGGAGAGAGAGAGAGCGACGGTCAGCGGTCACGCGCGGTGTGCTGGAGGGTGGCTTCGGTGTGGGTGAGGGTCGTGTGGCGGAGAGATGCACAAGAAGGCGGGCTGGTGAGGTGGGAGTCAGCTGGAGCGGTTGAAGGGTTGTCAGGCACACGCTGGCTAGGTCATGACAGTACGGGCAGCGATAGACGCACTGGCGGGCACAGCCAGCCGCTAGTGTTCGCCCGGAGGCAACCGCGTCTGCCTGCCGGCTTCATTTCCGGGGCCGCCCTGCGCAGAACTATAGTGCGAGTCACCTTGCGGCCGATGCCTGGCGCATTCGTTCCTTCCGTTACATATTTTTTTTCTTCTCCCTGGTCTTTTTCCTCCACCGTCCGGCGCTGTCGCCACGGCTCGAGTAGTAAGAGTCTCTTCGCCGGACATGCTCGCATGAACCTCGGCATGTCTGCAGATCAAAACGCTATCTAATCTACTCGTCGTCCTCCTCGTCGTCGTCCTCCTCCTCGCTGCTCTCCTCGTCCGACTGTGCTAGGAAATCGATAAACTGCTGCGTCTTGCCTCTGACCTTCTGTAGACCCTCGTTCTCGCTGGATTTGGGGTCCGACCACCACTGCTCAAACGCCTCGTCTTCCAACACGTCCATTTCGTATAGCTTCATCGATATGTGGAGCAGCATGCTGTCTCCCTCGTTGCGAGGTGCCAGGTCCGCCTGCAGCAGCAGTAGGAAGTCGATCTGGTCGACTTTGCTCGATGCGTCCTTGTCGAACATTGTCCGGGCGATGAGACTTTGGTGCGGGCTGAGCACCTGTTCTGTAGCCTGCTTGATGCCCTGTCCGGATTGGACAACCTCGGAAATGCGGCGCACCAGCGCTATGACGAGGGCGCGCCGCACCTGGTGCTCCGACGCGTTGGTAGTCATGCGCAGAGACGCCAGCTCCAGCTGAATGTTTGCCGAATCGTCGCCCTTTCGGAACGAGTCGAGCATGCTGTCGACCGCTTCGTGGTCGAAGTTGGCAGCGTGGTGGCTCGACGCGTCGGAATTGATCGAGACGAAGCTTCCTGCTCTCGACCTGTCGTGGTGCAGGCCATCACCGGAGATGTCCGACTCGGAATTGAGCGTAGAGATCGACTCAGCGGACAAAGAGAGGTGCGCAAGATTGTAGACTGCATCACGTCAGCAACACGCCCGCCAGGCGCCCGTTCGGGGGGCCACTTACTCGACTTCTTCGGCACGAGGCCTTCGACGATCTCGTCTACGTCGTCCTCGTCCGGGTCGACATATTCGATGCCGTCGCCCTTTTCGCCGACGACCTTGGGGTCCGGCGCCGCCCTCTCGACGTCCTCGCCTTCTTCCCTCTTCCTCTTCGCGCGCGTGATCCTGCTCGACCCGTCGACGGTGATACCGTCCGCTATCCGCACGCCGTACGAGATGAGAGCCCCAGGTTCGACTGTGCACTTTTTGCCGATGCTCGCCTCGTTGGCAATGACGGCCTTCCTGATGACGGTGTCGTCACCAATCACCGCGTTGTCCCAGATGTACGCCCCTTCGATGGTGACGTTCCTTCCGATGTAGCACATGCGGCCGATGATGCTGTTCGACACGACGCTGCCGTCCCCGATGCTGCTGTCCTTGCCGATGACCGTGCCGCGATTGATCACGCATGACCGTGCCAGGATGACGCCGTCCTCCTTGTAGATGTTGCCCTTTTGAAACCGGTACGTCTGGCCGCGGAGGAGGTTGCTGTCCGGGCAGAGCGGATACGCCCACCGGGAGATGACGTCCTGGCTCACCGAATCGTACGCGTGGAGATTCCGCACGCGCGCTGCGTAGTGATCGTCCACGATGTGGGTGTGGATCGTCTTGCCGTTCAGCTCGTAGTCTTTCAGCACGCTGTGCAGGAAACCCCTCCGTGGGGCTTGGAAATCGAAGTTGTCGCTCCACAGCGCGAGGACGTCCGGAGTGCAAATGTCGATGCCGCAGTCGATCAGGTCGTTGCGGACCTCGAGCTCCGTGTTTTCGGCGAGTAAGTCCGGGGCGATGCTGACGAAATGCTTTTCCGAATGTTCTCTGGAGTGCATTTGCTCAAAGTGCAAGCAGCGATCCTTGGTCGGGTCGATGACGAAAACAGGCCGCGATTCCTGCGCCTTGGTGCGGTGGACTGCACCCGCTTCCCTCAAGACCATGGTCATGATTGCGTTCTTGTCCTTTGCCCGCCGCGCCCTGTGCGCTGCGAGCGCCGCTTCGAGCGGCAGGTTGCTGATGACGTCGCCGTACACTATGAGGAAATCTCCCACAAGGAATCCGCGGTGGTCGAGGTCACGCATGGCATCGCCGATCGTGTGGGAGGCTGACCGCACGAGCTCGACCTTCGAGAAGGGCGACGAGGGCGAATACCATTTCGAATTCCTGGCGGCTCCCGTGTCAGCGATGCCGCCGAAAATTCTTCGTCGATGCCGGCGGCTCCGTGGCACCTACTGAATGTACTCTTCGACGAGGTCGGTGTGGGCGCCGCAGCACACAAAGACCTCTTCGACGCCAGCATTTGCGAGAAATTCGAAGGTGTACTCGATGAGCGGGGTGTTCGCGAGAGGGAGAAGACACTACCAACGGCCGCACGTCAGTGTCTGTGAGCACGCCTGTAGAGCGGCGAGGCCGACGTACCCGGGGTCGTTCGAGGGTGAAGGGGTTAAAGCGCGTCTCGAACGGATCAGCGAGTATCTGGCAGCGAGCTTAGTATGACGCAGTGGTGGCTCGTTGCCGCGACGGAACTCACCACAGCCTGAAGAGGATCCTCGACCTCTTCCTCCGCGGACCGCTGCCGGTCATTGGAAGCGCCTTTCTTCGCCTTGGGTCCCATGGTGCGTGGCGGTCGGCGGACGGTGTTGTAGAGTCGCGGTGGTGTTTTCTCCAAAGCGCGGGTTGACTCAAAGCGGCGGCATGTGCATGACTCGTTTGTTAGCGGCTGCGCGGGGATGCTACAAGAAGACAATCCGAAAGATTAGAACTCTTTCGCCACAGTAAAATTCAACAGGCCTAGCCAACTTGCGAGCAGGTCTCGACTATTGCTACATGTTGAACGTTCTACACAAATGTACAGTGAATCCCGCCCTCCCTGACCATGCGCTTAGTTTCGAGCCGCTCTTATTGTGACAGCAACTTTGAAATGGCAACGGTAGATTGTCATCATCTGCCTCGATTGGTACGAGCAACGCCAAAATTGGACAATGGGCGCCTGATCCCGGAGACTCGCCTTAACCCCCGAAATACCCGATCCCGTTGACGCCGTTGCCGTTCGACCGCTCCCGGCGGCCCAAGGCCATGGTTCGCCTTTGCGTTCCCCCTCTAGATTTGGTTTTATTTCTCCGTATCGTAGATTTTCCCGTGGTATGCTCGTTCGACCGAAGAGCAAAATCCCTCCTTTCCTCCCTTGGCACAGCCTCGACGAGCTTGCTCTGGACAGACAAAATGGTGGAGCAGAAATTGAAACCAAAACACCAGATGCATCGAGGAAAACACCCAATAACATATCCTCCCTTGCGCCTGACGTATTGAAAAAAATCCCTACAAAAAATCCGATACCGCTTCCAGTGTTATCGTGGCCTCTGCATTGGATTCATGGCTTGGGGTTGCAGCTGTGCGTTGGCGTAGAGCTGCTGCCGCTTATTCGGTGCGTTCATGTCGTCTCCTCCGGATATTTCAGATATCTGTCTTCGGTGCTGAGCGCTCGCTTGCCGCGCTCCCATGGCCAACTGAGGTGACGTGTTATACTGCATGCCGGCCTGCAGAGGTGCAGCACCGGGCGGGACTCCGTAGGCCCCGGGGTGGCCGGGGACGGTGTTCATATACTCATCCGCAACGGAGCTTCCGACGGGCGAGACGCCTGGAATCTGGCTCGGGGAGTTCCAATTGCTGCCGGTCGTGGGCGACTTGGCGGGCGAGTCCTCGTCCTTGAGAGATGGCCTGTTGGAGCTCTGCGGCAGCGGTTGGGGCGCTTGCACCGCCGGGGGGACCATGGCGTCCATGCCGTGACCCGGCTTCTTCAAGTGCGCGAGATGCTTCTCGAGCATCTGCAGTAAACCCTCTTTCGTGAAAGGCTTTGGCAACACGTCGTTCATACCTGTCGAGCGTTAGCTGAAGACTTTGTGACGTTCGCAGGCGCACTCACCATGCTGAAAGTACATCGAAATGTCGTCGCTACGAATGTTGGACGTCATGGCAATGATCGGCGTCGAATCGAATTGCCGGATCAAGTGACAAGCGGACACTCCGTCCAGATTGGGCATGATGATATCCATGAGAACCAAGTCGTACTTCGAGCCCTGGTTCATCTTGTTGACTGCCTCCAAACCGTCCAACTGGCCGAGAATCAGCATGGAAACATTCCGACCGGCCTCGGGCAAATACTTACCGCGCTGTCGATGGCGCAATTGAAAGCGTAGAGAAATTTGCTCCCGATGCGTCGGCACGTGTGATCATCTTCGACCAGCAGGATCTGAGGCTGCCGGATCCAACCCGGATCGACTTGAGCGCTCTTCTTCCGCTGCTCCGCGGTACGGAATCTGTGGTCGTTGTTGCCGCTGCTGCTGCCGCCGCCTCCGCCGCCGCTGTTGCCTTCGACGGGTTTGGTGGGCATCGGATAAGGGATGTTGTTGATGTGTTCGCTGTACATGGGATCGATGCCGTTGTTCTGTCCAACAGGGTACACGAGGGAATCGATATCGCCCAGCCGCATGGAAGTGGAAGAGCTCGCCGAGTGGGGCGCGGCGTTGCGGCTGGCCGGGCGGTTGCCGTTGCGGAGCAGGTCCGGAGGTGGTGTGGTGAGGGTCCCGTTCATGCGCATGGCCAGCTCGTTCATGTGCTCCAGGTTGCGCGGGTTGAGCATCACGTCGGCGTTCGTTTCGCTGAGCAGTTTCGAAGCGTGCTGGAGCGGCGAGGCGGGACCATCATCTTCCATGGACGGCATCTGCTGATTCGAGGGGTCCATGTTTCCGTTCTGCGCCCCGGAACCGTCCCCGGGGAACGGGTTGACCAACCTGCTGTCCCTCCTCCGTTGAGCGTCGACCGAATGCAAGAAGCTCATGACGCTCTGCATGATGTGCTCGTGGTTGACAATCGTCTTCTGCATCCCCATCAATTCCTGGAGGAGCATCGAGTGGTGGATGCTCAACTCGTTGTAACGCTCCTGCAGTTGCTGCAGCTGCTGTTGCGTCGCCATCAGCTGCGTGTTGAACATGTCCATCTGCTGCGTCGGAATGACCATGTCCTCGGCGTTGGTGGCGGGCTTCCTCGGCGCAGGCGCTTTCCTTCGAATGTTATCCAGGGCATCTTTATTGTTCATCTTGAAATCCGGGTGCTTGAACTCCCAGGCCTGGTTTCGCTGCGCTTAGCATCGTCTTGCGTCACGGCCGTCGACTTTGTGTACTCACTCCTGCGCCATAGGGCGACTGTCCGTTCTCCTCGTTGTTGTGCCGGACCTTGTGGAAATCGTACTTGTTAAGCTGTCTGACGAAACTAGCGAAGTTGCTGTGCTTGAAATGTTTGGGCAGTATGTGCTTGGTAAACTTTTCGTTCTGCGCCCAGAGTCGTCAGTACCGGCGCCAAGGGGGCGTGTGGTCGCGGCGGGCCATTACCTCCAAAACGACAAAACTGTCACCCTCGTTTCCCCATCGCACGACACTCTCGTCGGAGGGGTTTTCCAGCATCCTGCAGCGATGGTCAATGGACGAACTCAAGAGGACGAAATCCAGCCCAGGAGGGGACGCACTTGTACAGCTTGCGAACCTGTTGCAGCGGGTTAGCAGGGCGGATCGCGCGGGGGGAGAGACGGGAGGGCACGCGCTCGCGCGCGCGCGTGCGCGTCTGCGTCTGCGGGAGGGCATCACTCACGAAGTCGCTCGAATTGGAGCCGCCACCACCGCCGGCGCCTCCTTGACTGGTCGTGTTGCTGGAGTCCATGGCGTCTCGGGCTCGGATGCGGTCGCGCGCCGTTGGCGGGTCGTTGGAGCTTCGCGGAGACAGCCGCAGCGGGCCAGCGTGGACGGCAACGCTCTAGGACGGGATCGATGCCTGGACGCAATGACGCTGGATGGGGTCGCGAGCGTGGGTTCGGCGGGCGCGACGGTCGGTCGTCGTGCGGCAGACGGGCCGTCGCAGGCAGGGGTGCCCGTCTACGTCAAGAGCCCGACGGCCAGGGACGGGCAGGCACGGGAATAAGGTTGGAGAGGCTGAAGCCTGTCGCAATGCGATGGGATGCGCGCGGGATGGGGTCCGGTGGATGCAGGACTCGAAGAGCGAGGACTTAGAGTCCAGAGGGATGAGGTGGGCTCGGAGGAGGCAGGCGCGAGCCTCGACGGTATTGGCGGGCGGCGGCCGGTGCTAGAGGAGCGCTACCAGATGGACACGGCCTCAGCTGCGCGGCAGCTCTGGCGAGCGAGCTTGGGACGCGGGGAGGACTCGACAGGCTGGGACGCAGCGGGGCCTTGGCGTGCGATGCGTGAAGGGAGAGAGAGCGCCGTGGGCCAGCTGATCGGGCACAGAAGGGCTGCTGGTTCTGGGAAGGCGCGTCGAGCGAGCGCCTTTGTTGCGCGCAACAACGACCTATGGCGGCGGGCAGTCAAGGCTGACCAGCACGATCGGCGCGGCAGTCGAAAGAGAGGGCCGCTGCCACGCTGGTTTGGATCGCGCAGCGCGCCGGCGACGCTGAAAAGTCTGAGGCGACGCCGTGACGCCTGCAGCCCCCGCCGATTCGCCAGTGAGGCGGCGTAGCAGCGCGCGGCCGCGCTCCCGGGAGATGCGGGCGGTGCGATCTTCATTTCAGATTGCCCCTCTCGATCGAGTTTCCAGCAAAGTGTCAGCGGTGCGTCGTCCTGAGTCCCACCCGCGGCACCTTGCCCGGCCTGCGCTCGCTTAACAGCCCCGGCAGCCCTCTCCGCCTGCCAGCGCTGTGACGTCTAGGTCCGGCGCCTGCGTGCTCGCAACACCGCCGCCACTCTACCACGATGCTTGCTGCCCGTCGTATTCCTGCCGCCCTGCCGCGCCTCGTGCGCCCCCGCGCCGCCCAGTTCCACGCCTCTGCCCGTGCCTGTGTGCGCGTGGGCGATGCCGTGCCCGACGTCGAGCTCATGGAAGCCAGCCCTGGCAACAAGCTCAGCATCGCCAAGGAGCTGAAAGGCAAGGGACTTGTGAGTCTTTGCGCGCCCCCCGGCTGCGTCCTCGCCCCGCCGCCGCCCCGCTGACACTCTTTGATCGCGCCCCAGATCATCGGCGTCCCGGCAGCGTACAGTAAGAGAGTTGCTTTTTCCGGAGCTGTGTGACGGTGCCGGTTGCTGACCCCCGTCCCCTAGGCCCGGCATGCTCGTCGAGCCATATCCCGGGATACATCTCGCATCCCAAGCTGGCTGCTGCCGGCCAGGTGTTTGTTGTCTCAGTCAACGACCCCTTCGTGTAAGGCTCTCTTGTCTCTCTCGGCCGAATCTTCAGCGTTGTCGTACTCACTAGGCCCAACAGAATGAAGGCGTGGGGCGATGTTCTTGATCCTGCCGGCAAGAGTGGCGTATGAATCAGTCTTGCATCCTGCTGTTGTATCCCTCCATTGACGGCCTCCCAGATCCGCTTCATTGCCGACCCTGCCGGCTCCTTCACCAAGGCCCTGGATCTCTCCTTCGACAGCCGTGCCATCTTTGGCAACGAGCGCAGCAAGCGTTATGCGCTTGTCGTCGAGGACGGTAAGGTTAAGGAGGCTCACGTCGAGCCTGACAACACCGGCGTCAACGGTACGAGTCTTTCGAGCGCCTCGTCAGCATTGTGTACTAACGAGGATGGTAGTCTCCGCGGCGGACAAGGTTTTGGGTTGATTCATCTAGACCAATTATGCGCCAATGGAGATGTGAAATATGACAGTGGTGCCTTCAAAGTGTACTGTGTGCCGATCAGCCCGAACGTGACGTTGGGAAACTACAGAGGGGTGCTGCAGCCGATGGCTAGCGCGAAGAATAGCAGGGTTATAGAACATAGCGTAACTGTGCCCCAGCTCTTTCTTAGAAAAAGAGCATATGTGGGCAGCTGAAGCTATCGTCCGGACGGGTATGTAGAATTTTTAATTCGACATTCTCGTCCGGACGATAGCTTCATCTACCCATGACATGAGCAAAACACAAACCCACGCCAGCCATCGGCTGCGAGAGGGGACTGTACTCACAAGAGGTCCCGACCCCCTGAGCTTTGAACCGGGAACGGCTTCAAGGGAATGTAGAATGCTTTGTGCTACGGGGTGACAGACCCTGCATCGTGCTACAGCCGCAACGATTCTTCAACCTTAATTCCCAGAGACTTTGCTGTTTCAATTCTCGGGAATGAAGTTCGTAGCAACAGCCATCGTGTTGCCGTTTTCGAGTGGAAAACCATGGCATCGCATCGACCCCCGCTGGCCGCTCCCTCCTCCATTCGACCAGAGCAATTCGCCAAAGGGCGCTTCGAAAAGGCCACGCCAGCTGTAGCGCCGGCCATTGACTGAAGGATGCTGACGTCACTTCTCTCCGCAGATAATGGCACCACCCTTGCGGGATTCGGGGCCTGCCTGGGCGGTCCTCGCTAGCGACAAAGCGGAAGTGGGGTCCTGCCAGTCAATTCCAGTAAAAAGACCCATTCTCGAGACGAGTGTTTGCAAGTACCTATGTGGTATCGCACAATGCGTGTGACCTGAGGCTGCGCCAACCTGGCACCTGGTTCAAGCGGGCAGCTCGCCGCGCCGGCGCGGCCCGTTCTTCCGCCCACCGTGCTGCGCCTATGAGACGCGTCGGCGCGTCGCCCAGCTCCACGCGTCAGCACGTCGCACAACATGCTCTCAACATCGCAGCTTCCAATGCAAATACAAGCTGCTTGATGCGACTTCTCCACACTAACCTACCGATAGCGCTTACCACTGTGCTCAGCAATGAAAACAGACATACGCGCATACTTTGCGCCTAGCCGCGCACGCTCGTCTCCCACAGCGAATCTCACCAACAGTGACAACGTTGCTAGCAAGGCGAACAATAACAGAATGTCCAAGAAGCGCTCAAGTGCCCAGGCGCAACTGCCGCCCGGACCAATCGGAGTTTTTACTCACGTTGCTAGTACGTACCACGCTTTCCCTATCTCACATCGTGTGGACGACCAAGGCCGCCAGCCATAATGCCTGCGTAGTAGTCTAAATGACACTGACGCTCCATTCGCAGTCCCTGTTCGAGCCAAAAGAGTCAAGCCCAGCGTCGCATTCCACGTCGAACATGCGACCACCTCTTTGCCAACCCCACAAGGTTCCTCGGATGAGGCAAAACGTCCTCCGTTACGCCGTGCTAGAAACGGACGGGTGTCATATGCCGAACTGGCTCCCCCACCTGACGAGAGCGACGCCGGTGACGCTATTGACGATGACGAGGAGTCCGACTATGCAGAGCCCGAGGCCCCGGCTTCACCTCCATCTGAAGAGTTTGATTCGGATTCAGAACCGACCGCGAGTGCCGAGTCCGACACCAGTGCAGATGAGCGCGGCGCCGAAGTCATGGACCTGGATGACGAGCCCGAAATTTCCGTGCAGAACGCGCCTCCTAAGCCTCAAAGAGCCAAGAGGAAGGATGCCGCCAGCAAAAGGCCGGCTAGGCCGCGCAGCATCGACGCGAGTCTTCCGCCATTGTCAAGCATCGAAGAGATCTTCAAGGACATCACGGAGCGCGCGATGAGCAAGGGTCTCCGCAAGACGTTAAAGGCACTCAACCGTCACGAACTTCGAATTGCTACCATGTGTTCCGGAACAGAAAGCCCGGTCCTAGCCCTTCAGCTCGTGTCCGATGCCCTGCAGAAAAACGGCAACGCGTTGGGCCTCAGACACGTCTTTAGCGCGGAGATTGTACCAAAAAAGCAGGCCTACATCGAACGGAACTTTCACCCGCCAATTATATTCAGGGACATCCGGGAGCTTACGAAAGAGGATGCATTCGAGGCGGGGGCGTAAGTATCACAGACTACATCTGCATGGGTATGTGCTAACAGGTCCCAGGACAAACGTGTACGGCGCAAAAGTGGCGATTCCGGGAGACGTCGACCTCCTCGTAGCCGGTTTCTCTTGCGTCGATTTCTCTGCTCTCAATAATAAGGGAAAGACATTAAACGAAAAGGGAGAGTCTCGGGATACTCTCGAGGCGATCTTGAGCTACGCCGAAAAGTGGAAGCCCAAGATCATCGTCTTGGAAAACGTCTACGGAGCACCTTGGCCAAAGTGCGTCAAGCGTGCGGAGAAGGTTGGTTACGCGGCGGATTTCGTGCGCGTGGATACGAAGGACTACTATCTGCCGCACACCCGTACGCGTGGATACATGGTGTGCATCCACAAAGAGCAGTTCCCTGGGCCTGGGAGTGCGCGCACGGCTGTGAGCCAATGGAAGGACCTAATGCAAGATTTCAAACGTCGCGCGAGCGCCCCGGCGTCCGATTTCCTCCTACCTGCTGACGACCACCGAGTACACCAATTCAACTCCCAGCTCACTACCCAGTACAGACAAGACGCAAAAGACAGGACGGTCAATTGGGATGCCTGCCGCATTCGACACCAAAAGGTGCGGCGAACGGATGGCCTCGGCAACCAACGACCAATTACCCAGTGGATCGACGGGGGCACATGCGTCACTTTTGAGAATGCACACAAGATGTGGTTTCAGAAGCAGGTCGAAAGGGTGTGGGACTCGATCGAGATTCGTTTTCTCCGCGCCGCAAAGGACAACGGTAGCAGCGCGCCCGGATACGATCCCGCGTTCAAAACCTCGATAATGGAGTTGAGCCAGAACGTGGACAGGTTCGCCCAGGAGATGCCGTTCGGCATATGCTCCTGCATCACCCCCTCTGGTATATTCTATCTCACCGATCGCGGTGGTCCTCTGACACCCTACGAAACGCTGGCTCTCCAGGGGCTTCCTTTGGACAAGATATCCTTTACCATCGAGACTATGCGTGAGCTACAGGACCTTGCGGGCAACGCTATGAGTTCGACCGTCGTCGGCATTGCACAGATAGCGGCCCTTATCGTGGCATCCCCAATGCTCAAGCAAGCCAGTCCGCCGGCGACATCCGAACCGGCGACATCTTCCCAAATCGATTCGTCCATGCGAGGAAAGGGAGATCTACGACCGGTAGAGCACAAAGACCTCAATCCCTCGGAATTCTCCGTCGGTCGGCTCTGCGAGGACGCATCGAATAGCATCCGACTCTGCCGTTGCGAGGGTCGATTTGGGAGCACGGACCAAGAAGTACTCGTGTGCAAGAAGTGTGAGCATACCGTATGCCGTAAGTGTAAAAGTAAACCATTACATGATCTTAAGACCGGACTGTTCAACCGCACAATCACCGCTCACGAGTTCGAGCTGCGCTGGAAACATCATTTTCCCTCGAAGCTGCGGTTTACAGCGAAATGCCACCTCCCTAGCCTGAAAAATGGGAACCAAGTAGACGAGGGTCTCTGCGATAAGTATTTTGACATGGTGTCCGAGGCTCTTGACGAGCAATTCGAGTTTCAACATTTCCAGCGAACCTCGAAATGGGCTGTCCATTACGAGTCGCCCCGGGCCATCTTGAAGCTTGAAATTGGCCGCGAAGCAGTATGGCTTCTGTTCGTCAAGGCTCCCGCCCATTTGGCTGGAGACGATCCGCTCAGAGATCTCCTAAGGTCGCCCGTCGCTCGTGCCAAGCTACCGATTGATCTGGACACGAATGGCCACGACGATTGTTGGGCGGATCATTGGGAATGGTTCGTCCCTTCGAGCCGCCGTTTTCAAGTCTCTGTCCAGGGAAGTGAGGAATTCAATCGATCCTGGAGGGCTGTGTATGGGCTTGTCGAGTACCAGAAAGAGACGGTGCCACAGCAGCTCAAGGTGTCAATTTCTGCAGACGATGCAAAGCTTTTACCCCAGGATATTTCTGGGACTTACGAGCACCTGCCGGATTGTGGCACGGCTTGCTCGAGTTTGTATCGTAGGTTGTCCTGTTCTGACGAGGTCCCTGAAGCCGCCCCCTTGTACCTTTTCCTAGATCCTTCGCCGATTGGTCCTGTGGATCAGGACTCCATTGTATTTTCTAACGGACACGAACGTCTGGAGAGCAACGAGCAAAGAGAAGTGGTCACCCGTCTGAAGCCTTCGTTCCGGCCCTGGAACCGGAAATCATTCGAGACCGAGGGCAGTCTTGCTGGGCTCTGGGTACAGGAGGACGCGTCAAAGCTTCACGCGTCACGCGACATTCTCGTCGTCAAAGGCCCGAACAGCAGTCGTGATTGGGGCACGAAAGTGTCTCAAGAATGCTCGCAAAGTCTCGCGGTTCTGAGTTTGAAGTTCCAAGTTGAGGAGAATAACGAATTAAGGGAGCGCCGTTTCGATGAGCGCAATGGAGCAGCGTTCATCAAGAGTTTTTCGTGGGTTCTCGCGACCAACGCGCACCTTCCCAGCCTGAAAGAGTGGCGAAGGCTCGACATTGGTGATATCGTCGGACTTTGCGATACGTGTGGTCCCGTGCTACCGTCAGTCCGGTGGGCCCTGTCAGACTCCGGGCGAGGGAAGACCAAGAGTACCTTTGTCGCTCAGGAGGACCCCGAAGAAGCCGCTCGGTACGAGCTCGGCATGAAAGCGCGTCCGCATATTCTCGACATGACAACGGCGGTGAATGGGTCCAACATCTGCCACTTGCAGATCGGGCTGAATGTTGTTGCTTTGGCTCACAGGGCACTCGCTCATCTCCATCCCCGTCGAGGGAACCCAGTCCTCGCGTGGAAGCTGACCACCGAGTACGTGCCTCCGGCGGCGCCGGACCTTCGGCCTTTTCGACTGTTGAGCAACATCCTCGATCGTGAACACGACCAACCGAGGAACTTCCGCCTCGACCTTCGGCCCGCTCAGCGGAGGTCCCTTTCCTGGATGAGACAGCAGGAAAATGGCAAGCATTTTGCTGTGCAGGAAATCGCGGAAGAAGTCATTGAGCCAATGCGTTGGAGAATGGAAGCCAAGGCTGAGATCGACATGACAGTCAAGGGTGGTGTCGTCGCCGATCAAGTGTCGTATGGCAAGACCATCACATCCCTGGCGCTCGTTCACGCGGGGTTTTGCGAATCTCAAGACGTTCCCAGCGGCGACGAGGGATTGATCCCTTTGAAAGCAACGCTGATTCTTGTCCCGAACAACTTGCCCAATCAATGGATGCAAGAGGCGTTGAAATGTCTGCCGAGCGAAGACTACGCTTCTGGGGAAATCCTGAAGATCAGGAACGCTAACGAGCTCAAGAATTTGCGTATTCAAGACTTCAGACGCGCGAAGATCATCATCGCCTCGTTCTCTCTGCTTGGCAAGGATTTTTACGCTCAGCAGCTCGCCAACGTCTCGGCCGTTCCAGAGACACCCATGTCGGAGGGGCGTCAATACGATGCGTGGTTAAAGTACTGCCTCAAACGGATCCCGGACGCGAATGACCAGCTGAGACGCCTTGGTGTTTCCTCGTTCAAGCGGTACCTCAAAGACGAACTTGAAAAGACGAAGTCCCTTAAAGACTTCACCGGAATCATGCCCTCGAAGCGTACGAAGGGGGCGAACTACAAGAGCCTCGAGGAGCTAGAGGGCAGCAGCAAGCAAACGGCCAAAAATAGCCATCCCAAAGCGCCGGCGGCTGTCAATGCGTACGCGCCAAGGGATGACTGGGAGCGGTGGGAATTCCCGGTCTTCCATCAATTCAGCTTCAACCGCATAATCATAGACGAGTTCCACTACCTCCGCGATAGAGATTACACTGCTCTGGTCACCCTGTCAGCGGAGAAAAGGTGGATCCTTTCTGGAACGCCGCCGCTTGGAGACTTTGCAGATGTAAAGCGTTTCGCCGCTTTCTTAGGAGTCAACCTAGGGATCGACTTAGACACGCCAGGCGTAATAACGCGAGAGAACTCGAAGCAGATGCGGAAGGAGAAGACGAGCTTCGAACTCTTTCAGGCGTTCAGCGAGAGGCGCTCGCCGACGTGGCACGAAACTCGGCACCAACACGCGCAAGATTTTCTGGATTGCTTTGCTCGCCAGAACTCCGCCGACATCGGTGATGTCAAGTGCTACGAGAGTCTGCAGTCTGTCCCGTTGGCGCTCGACCATCGCGCAGATTACGAAGAGCTGTCCTCGTACCTCAAGGGACGGAACATGACCATGACTGGCCTCTCGGGCGCGGAGATAGGTGACCGAGCGAAAAAGATACGGCAGAGTATGCGCGGTTTTGAAACGGCCGAGGAAGCGCTTGTCAATTGCTGTAGTGTGCGCACGGCCGAAACGAGCGATGTATCAGCATGTACAAACCTCATCGGGCAGCGCGGAACGGAGTTGAACGAGCAGACGAAAAGGCTGTGGGACTACATCCTCGAAGCAGCCACTCTCGCCAAACGTAGCGGGGATCCGAACTCAGAATGGAAGGGGTGGACAGAGAGATACCGAGGGGAATTGAGCACAACTGCAGACCCAAAGTCTCACGCCGAAATCAGAAAGATGATCCTAAAAGCTGAGAAACAATGCGCCGGGGTTGTCAACACGCAATCTGCGAATGCTGCAGCCAACTTGCAGAAGCTCGTGCGAACCAAGGTTGGTGGAGAAGCCCGCAAGTTTACAAACATGCGCAGGTCCGTTCGCTACGCGCGCTCTGTGTTAAAGGTTAAATCAGCACTCTTGGAGGGGAAGGACTTGAAGTGCGAATGCGGCGACGCTCCTCACACGGCACCTGCCTTGTTCACCTCAATCATCGTCGGGTGTGGTCATGTTGTTTGTCACGATTGCCTGGACGATGGTATGGCCAAAGAGAGATGTGGCGTCGTCGGGTGCGAGATGGAGATTCGAGAGCACGGAGTTCTCGACGCAGAGACTTTGCGGAGGTGCGAGGACACTGCTCCTCGTGTAGAGAGCTTCGGTTCGAAACTGGACAGCGTGATCAAGTTGCTGAAGTCGATCCCCGACGAGGAACAGGCTATCATCTTCGTGCAATCCTACAGCATGATGTCAAAGGTCGATGAAGCACTTTCGGCCCGAGAAGTTTCTCTATACGCCATTGATCGAGTGTCTGAAAGCGCAACTGATAAGATTGAAGCTTTCGTGAAGAACTCGCGGTACACGGACAGCGATAAGACGAAGCTGAATAGTGAGTTTGGCAAGGTCCTGATTCTTAACTTGGGAGACGAATCGGCCTCTGGAATGTAAGTTTTTAAGAGCGATGCCGAAGATTCAAGACTGACACAGCACAGGAACCTCGTCAACGCGAATCACGTAATCTTCCTCTCGCCGCTCCTCACCAGTACGAGTCAAAAATACCACGCGGCCATGATCCAGTCGATCGGACGGGCGAGGCGATATGGACAGCAGAGACCAGTTCACGTGTACCGGTTCATTGCACCGCACACGATTGACGTGGATATTCTGGAACAGCGGGAGCAGAGAAGCGAAGCGTTGGGCTCTCAGCCTCAAGAAATGAGGATGCCGGGCGACACGGCGCATGAACACGTGCAGGTGATTGAAGATGCCAAAAGAGGCATGATGGTGGTGCCAAGGTCATGGATCGAAGACATAGGTCAGGCACACAGCCACGGGATTCTCACAAAGGTTTCCAGCGCCGAAGAAGTCGAGCGGTTCAATTCGCTCTCGAGATTCTCTGACGCATTCGCTGAAGAAGCCTAAAGTCGAGGCGTTCGCTGAAGAAGCTTAGGATTGTAAAAAGTCACATGGAAGCAGGATTGTTTTGTTGTGGTGGTCAAGGCGTTTGGAGGATTCATGGATCGGGCGGCGCGGTGTGGAGCATTGTCTGCGTTGTCAACGAGCGAGTCAGACCGCATGTCCGGATACCGCCACGCTTGCCCTTCTCGGTCGGGTGTGGCTGGGCGGTCATGCGCGCAACAGGCCGGAAACATGGCATGGAGGAAAAGCGTTCGGGGTGGTTTCAGGGAATGCGTTTGGAATTCTCAAGGATAGCTATAGCGCGGGAGGGAAAAGCTTGAACAACCGGGCCGTCTTTTGTTGTCGGCACAACAACAACAAACAATACTATTGACACCATCGCCCTCTCGTGGGACTGCGACTCGCGGATGCCGTGCTGCTACTCGTCGCCTTGTTTGTCGGTGCCCAGCAGCAGCGCTCAGACGTCGTAGCCCCGGACCCACGGCAATCCCGCCGAGAGATCTGGTTTCGCACCAAGGTCAGCAGGGAACCATCAACTGCCCAGTCTCAACACCACCGCCAAATGAACCGTCCGGCTTTCCCCGCCGTTCTCCGTCCGTTTTCCTTGCCGCGCCGCGCCCGTCGCCCTCTACTTTATCCCATTGCGTCACACCTCATCGGGTAACGGATGGTGCGCTAGCACTTCGGTTGTGGCACGCCGCACGAGCGCCGGCAAACAACATACAATCCTTGAGTAAGTGGTAATGCCCAATACCCGTTCCGGAAATTGCGATTGTGAAATCCTTCGCGAATGGTGCACTGGAGCAACCGCTTCAAGCTCGGCGGTGTATTTTCTGATCACGATTCTTATATGTACTGTACCTGCCTCGCCAGTTCGAGGAGGAGCGTGGTGTCTTTCCCAGACTCGGGAAGAGTGCATTTAAGCAAGACTTGGTCCGCCATCGTCAGCATTAATATATCATCTTTACTAACGGACTCTCAAGTCACAATCGGTCTTTCTGGAGTGAAGCCCGACCATCTGAATGCCATCTACCACATTTTTATGTCCAGGATACGGCCTTTCGACGACTCATCTCCTGGCCAACATGGATCCAGACGCTACCCAACCGCCGTTCACCGCCAGCACGGACACTATACCGGAGCAAGATGAGCCCAACTCTGCGGACCTGTCATCCGCCTGTCAGAAATTTGCAGATGACGAGATTAGCGTGATCCGGCTGCGGCCATCAACGCAGAAGCCGTGCAACAGCATACCAGATACCACCTCTTGTGCGGCAACTGCACCTCCGTCCAAAAGTTACAGTCGGCGCAGTCCATCCAAGGGGCGGCGCAAGTCCATCGACGGCCGGCCACTCACCCGCAGCACCACCAGGGTATCGGTGCGCATGAAACCCCGGTCGACTCCAGCATCCATGGCCACAGTCACTCCTCAGCCGGGCCCGGAAACTTCTACGGTTCCTCCCTCTGGGTCCCCATCGTCCAGGAAAGAGCAATCGTCGGCATTTCCGCGAAAGGTGTCGGCTGCGTACTTGAGAGCGGTGTCTTCATCTTCGCCGGATCAGACGTCGACGCAGGCTTCGAACGGTCCCTCTCCCATTGGCAGGAACAGTGGCAACCTGGGATCGTTGAGAGGAGCAGGAGCATTGCGTCCACGGTACTCGGTGTCGTATCGTCTCCCCAAAGCGCCACGAGCCACGGCCACTGCTGCCGCCGCCGACAGCGCCACTGGAGCTTCAGTGGCTGAGCCTTCTGCAGATATGACCGTGGAAGCAGAGCACACGGATGCTACCGCCACGAAGGACTCTGCAGGAAAGGAGGATGGTTCTTTGCCGGCGAAGTCCACGGCACTTCTCGATGAGGCCACGGCTCTGGCAGCAGCGTGGAGAGAGGTCCAGCGCAGAGAGCGAGACCTCAAGGTCCGCGAAGACGCGCTCAAGCTGGGCCAGAAGCGCCTCCGTCACGACCGCGAGGTGTTCGAGAGGGAAAGGCGACAGTTCCAGGAGCTGTTGAAAGCGCAGCAGCAGACATGGACGACCACTACCACGACCACCACAACCACCACTACCACGACTTCTACTGATGCTGCTGCTCCGGTCTCTGCTGCTACCCCTACTACCACCACCTCTGCTCCTGCTCCTATTGCGACCCCTGCTCCTACTACGACTCCTCCAGCGACTCCTCCTATCAGTACTTTCGCTACTGCTGCTCCTTTCGCTGACCCGGCTCCCACCACTCCCCCGGCTCCTACTGCTTCCCCCGCTCCGTTCGCAGCCTCGGAGCCCGCTACTTCGTCGGGCCCTGCCACTGGTACTACTGTCCACGACGAAGCCAACGTCCGGAAAAGACGATCGGTGAGGCGGAGCAGAAGCAAGCCGCGGGGCAAAGTGGTCCCTGACGACAGCTGGCGCCGGGACCATCGCCAGAAACCGGCCAAGGAGAAGCAGCAGCAGCAGCACGACTACCGCAGCGCGTCCTGGTGGTCCGTCAACGGCAGCGACACGTCGCGCCACTCGTCGGCATCCTACCCCTCGGACGCCGACAGCATCGCGACCGCCACCACGAGCACATCCTCCTCATCCTCCCCTCCCCTTCCTGCCCCCTCCAACCCCCAGACCGCACCCGCGCCCAACCCCACGCCGGCAACCGCGCGCGGCCACGTGCGAACGTGGTCCCCAGCCGACCTCAAGCCGTCGCTCGCCGCCTACAACGCGCGGTGGTCGTCGCTGGCGCCGCGGTCGGCCAGCATCCCGTACCCGGCGCCGAACCACACGGCGGGCGAGCTGGTCGACATGAGCCACCTGCGCTCGCTGCTGCCCAAGGGCATGATGGAGCGGGTCGAGGCGATCCTGGGTGCCGCCAGCAACAACGGCAACCACGACGCCGTCGTGCAGTACAACGCCGTGCACTTCTTCCTCGTCGCGCGCGGCGTCGCGTGCCGCCCCGTCGTGCTCGACGACGCCGCGGCTGCTGACGGCTTCACGCCCGCCGCTGACGTGCTCGTGCCCGACTACGGCATCGGTTTGCGCGGCGTGCCCGTCGACGCCAAGGTCGGCAGCGACGTGTCGCTCAGGGTGCTCGTCAGGGAGGTGCGCAGGGAGCTGAGGCGCTGGCATGAGGACGGCTTGAAGCACCGCTGTGAGGGTGATGGTGAGGGCGAGGGCGAGGTCGGCGAGGGGCTGGCTAAGGACGAGACGGCGAGGGCCGTCTTCAGGGCCTTTACCGAGCTGAGGGACGAGCTGTTGGCCGAGATCCGGTGGAGGAAGGATATTGGTGCCGGTGGCGGTGTCGCCGCTGCAGGCGAGACGGGGAGAGAGGAGTGGGCGAGACCGGGGTCTGGTCAGGAGAATCGGAGCGATGGAGGAGTGGACTGGACGGTGCTATCCGAAGCTATGTTGTAGGACGAAAAAGGGGAGCAACTTGGACGAATGACGATGCTAATAATTAGGTGACACGAGAGATGACGGTATGAATTAGATGACTGCTCCGCGAGGAGAATCCGACAACGGAGGCGTTTTGTTTGAGTTGCGAAAGAGTCTTGTGGCAATACCTTGGGCGGCACAGTTTGGATTTTTAGTAAATGTAGGCTTAGTTACTTGTACAGAAGAACATGGTATATTCGTTATTCTTTTGGCTCGTCGCTTCGTGACGTCGTTACCATCGTAATGTCCGGACTAGGCTATTTTATCGTCAAATCTTCAACTCCCTTGCTACAGCTTTACATGACTTCCCGTTCGGTTTGGAGAATTGTACTTTCCGTGAAGTCCTGCTTCTAATTCCGGGCCCCCTCACTGCACAAGCCCCCTTTCGTCAAATTCCATTACAACTCGATTGGGCCTTCGTCAGCTGCCCATGGGGGTATCATTTTTGCGGCCTGAAAAGCCACGCGCAAAAAGCCTTCCAGGGTCCTCCCTGCAGACTTTCCACCATTTTTTCCTCCTTGCTGCCAATTCAGTTAGTCCGTTATTCGCTGTACGCCGGCAAGCTTCACCGCCGGGAGGGCTCACTCACCCGCAAAACTATGAGCAAGTAGGTACTCGCTTACGCTCGCATTTCAAGGAGTCCCCCATCCGTCCTGGAAGGGCCTCACGGAGAAAATGCTGCCGTCGAGGTACATCATCACCTCGCGCTCGTACACGCGCTGCAGACAGATCTCCGAGTCGCGCGCGCGGATCTCCCGCAAGCTCTCGTTACGGGGAGAAAACTGGCGGCGGAGCATCCGCCCGGGGGTTGGCGGCGATGACGAAGAGTAGGATGATGATGAGGAAGAGGAAATCGACGCCGACGATGCCGTCGACCCTCGCCGCTGCCGTGGCGGCGACAAGGGGAACACGGTGGGCGGAGCGGGGCGGTAGTAGTCTGGCACTGCCGAGAATCGGGGAGACTTTTGTTGTCGGCGGGAGGAGGTGCTGTTGGTGTAGTAGAGGGCATCGTCGATCTCATGGATGATGGCGAGCACGCTCTCGGACCCGTCGCTGCAGGCGCTACACGACCGGGACGAGGCCACCGACGACGATGGAGAGGAAGCCCAGGTGCCAACCTTGGGGAGTCTACCTGGAGGTTCGGGCAACGGGCGCGGAAGGCGGCGGCGGAGGGGCGAAGGGGTGGAACGAATGTCCGGGAAGTGAAGAGGCGGGGAGGGTGAGCGGCATTCCATGGTGAACAAGCATGTACCCGGACGGGAAAGAGGCGATGGTCTCGAGAAGCTGAAGGGAACACACGGCGCACGGTGGACACGAGCACGGACAATCAGCCTCGGAAATCAAGGTGGGAAAGGTGAATCAAGGGGAGGGGTGGCGGGTAGAGGTGGGCTTGGAGCTATATAGACGGCCTGCCACCACATTCTTGGGCCGTGATCTCAGAGGGCAGCGCTCTAGGCTGGGCTTTTTCAGGCAGGGCTGGAGTGGCACAAGACTGGATTTGGGAGGCCGAAGGTTGCTCGAGAGGTTGGGCGTGGGCCTGCCACCCAGCCACTCGGGCAAGACGACGCGAAACAGAGAGCCCTGGGGCGCGTGAGTAGGCGATAAGATGAGCGATATGCTGCGGTGGAGCAGCGAGGCCGCAGGGCTCGGTAAGCTGATGTCAGTGGGCTTCTGGGCCGTCGTGGTGCGAAGTGTCGCGGCGAGGGTTGGTGACGTCGGGGTACAAGTCCTGGCCGTCAGGTGCGCGCTAGCGACGCGTTGCCGCGGCCACTACTACTAGCGCGGGCGGTTGCTGCAGGGAAGCGGGAGGAGCAAATAAGCTCTGCAGCCGCCCGACATCTGCTTCTGCTGGTCATGCGGCGCTGCAGATGAACTCGACCCGATACGTCTTCGTCTTCCCGCTCCCGTATCCACTTCTGAACCCTTCTTTTCTCCACCGCCGTACCTGGACTTTGCCGTCCTGATGACAGGTACGCAGGGGTGCTCCGCCTCTCGTCTGGCCTTGCCTCGACTTGGGCTGCCCTCTGCTGCGCACCTCACCGCCGCACACCATCTTCGACGCCGCACTCTTCGCCGCAAGTCACTCAGCTCCTTCAGCCCTTCAGCCTTTCATGAACACCATCCCATGATCCCCACGGCTCCCCGCCGGATGTGAAGTGCAGAATGTAACACAAGCCCGCAGCCATCATCATCATCATGACCCCTGCCGACCGCGTACCGAGGCACCAAGGCAGAAGACTCGTTATTCAGCCTGATGACTCGCAGCTGTGGGTGTGGGAACCACGGCTGCGGGCGGAGGATTAGCACCCGTCTCGGAACACTCGCATTCGGCACCAGGAGCACGTGGTAGCCGCTGCCAATCACCCCCGACAATACATATGCACGGCTTACGGCTGCTTATCTTTCGAATGCTTCTGTAGCAAAACCCTCTTCATCAAGTGTGACCTGATCCAGTTCATTTTTGGTGGTACGGCTTTTTGGGGGCGGCTCCTCTGTCGATCTGCACAAAATCGAGGTGATTCGTGGTCACTTGCTCATATTATTCTGCTCTTCAGTGAAAAGGCTGCCCTCGAAACAACCAATAGCCTATTTTCCTTGTGCACCACTTACCACTGCCTCTACTCCTTCTCTTTTCTGAAGGGGGCTCATCTCTAGCCAAGCCCGTTGCCACCCCTCCGTAACGCCTGAAATCATGTTGGTCTAACAAACGAGGAGCAGTCCAAATTCTGCTATCCAAAAGGGACGCTGCTTGACGCTTCAGGTGAAAATCCCCACGCCGCGTCCTTCATCTCGAAAGGAAAGTGGGAAAGCTTTATTCAGCCCTGACGCCGAGGTGCTGTTCAAGGAGGGGGTATCTTTGTTACAAACTTACGAAATTCAGTCAACATCCGACGCGTCCGTCTCTCTCCTCCTGTAGTTCCCGAGAGGGATGCCGTAATCGTCCTCGTCATCCCATTCGTCCGCCTCGTCTTCGCTCCACTGCCATGCTCCCGGAATCTTCTTCCCCCGCCGCAGCCTCCACGAATCCGGCGTGAACACCCCGGTCGCGATGCGTGCCGCGATGCGGAGCATGAGCGCGACCAGATGCGCAGGCGGCCCGATCAACATGCCCATCGTCTTCTGCATGATGGCCGTTCTGTACTCCTTCTTGGGATGCGCCTGCGCCGGCGGAGTGAACAGATTGGCCGGATGGGGCATCGGTGAGAAGGCTCGCAGATGCGACGTGCTCGTCAGGCGCCGCAGCCTGATGTTCTCCGGCGGGGGGTCGATATCTGGATAGCTCAGATCGACGGCCGAATCCGAATCGCTGGTCAGTGTTGGCGTCGGCGGCGCCGAAGTTGGCCGTTCGTCGGCACGAGGCGATGGCGTGAACGGTGACCGCTCATCTTCACTCAGGTGCGTCCGACCGGTGATGGTCAGCTCGGAGATCTCACGCTTATGGCGCCTGCCAGGGCTGGAATCCGTATTATATTCTGACGCGCCGTCTACCGACTGCGAAGGTGGCGATTCTCGACCCATCGATGCGGCGTCAAAATACATGGATGCCTGCCGAGAGTGCTGCTGTCGCAGATGCGATTCGTTGTTCAGCGAGTAAAATGAGTCCGCAGTCGAGTCTGCGGCCGACGAGATGCTTGCGGCATCAGAATGGACGTCTGACGACTCTTCAGCCGAGACGCCAAGCGAAGAACTCGACGTCGACCTGAGCATCGAACTTGACGCAGACCTCAGCCTCAGCCCTACCGGCGCCGTCACCGACCTCGAGCCCTCGGCGGGCCTCGTGTTGGCTTTGAGGGGCGGCCGCCGTTGGGCAGAGCTCTCCGAGGAGCCGTCCTCGGAAGGAGTCTCGTCCTCAACGATGGAGCTGGAAATCGACGACGTCGAAAAGACGCTACTGCGTCTGTAGGGGCCGGATGATGCAGAAATGGTGCTCGTTTCCGAGGTAAAAGATCTCTCGGTTCCCTGGCTCACCGGCCTCTGTCCGTCCTCGGGCTTCCAGATGCCGTCCAGCTTCCACTTCTTGGCCCTGCCGGGTGTCACGGGTCTCTTTTTACGCGGCGGCGTGGCCGGCACCTCGGGTATCTCGACGTGAAAGCCGCGCGTAAACGGACAGACGGTCTTTTCGTACAAAAGGACCTTCTCCATCACGGCCTTGAATTCCTCCACCTTGGCCAGGTTCTCCGCCCCCTCGCCGGGAAGCTCGATGCGGTAGTACGAATTGGGGCGGGGTATGCGCATGGCAAACTTGGACACGCCATCGACGCACCAACACTGCGACTTGGGCAAGATGGCGTGCAGCAACGAGCCCGAGTGTAGGAATGCGACGGATCCGGGGACGCGGTAGATTCTTATGGGGCCTGTGCGATGGTTAACAGCGGGCAGACGCAGCTACTGCGTCACACATACCAGCAGCGACGGTGCTCTCCGTTGGCGAGATCCAGGGGATCGTGTCGGCGTGGCCATTGTCCCCTAGCACCGTGCGATTGCTAGCGCTAGACGACGGCCGAGATAACGACGAGGCGGTCGTGAACAGCAAGATTTTGGCGAAGCTGTGATTGAACAGTATCTCGACGCCGTCGGCAGAGCCGGGCGATTGCGCCGCGGGACTCGAGCCGGCGAGGCGCGTGGGCAGGGTGAAAGAGCGGCGCACGCCGTGCTTAGCGGTTGGTTGCGCCGGAGTTGTGGTCGAGGGAGCAGGCGGGGAGGACATGGCGCATGCGGGCTAATCAGGTGTGCATGCTGACGCGGGCGTGGACGGGGTTGGTAGTGACTGCAGGCGCGAGGGTCGTGGTGTTGCGTGAGTGGAGTTTGTTGTGCGGTGGTGGGCGGGTGCGGGCACAGCAAAGAGCAAATGGCCGGTGACGAGGATCGACGGAGCCGGCGGCTGGCGGGCCTTCACGCGGCATGCGCGTGAGCTGCCCTACAGGGGCTGTTCAAAGCCATCTCCACCGCCCTCGCTATTGGACGCTCGTCAAACACAATGCGAAACGCCGCGGCACCACCATCACCTGTCACTCATGCGCGTCGTGTCCTGGCTTCGTGAATTGAGCTCTATGCTAGCTGTGCTCGTAGCGAAGTACAGTCCTGATCTCCCCGCTCCCCCAGCCCCGTCATTACGTCGCCTACTCCAAATCCGCCGTGACGTTGGAGAACTCGCCCTTCTCCAGCTTCGTCTTCCAGAAGATGGGGTTCGTGTCGTTGAAGCCGTGCTTGACCCAGCCGTCCTCCTTGACGTGGTAGAGGTTGATGAAACCACCCGAGTATGCGTCCCTGTGCGTGGCCGCCAGGATGCTGCGGCGACCCAGCTCGAGCGCGTCCTCATCCGAGAGATCGTACTTGTACTCCGCATCCAGGACACCGTACGCGAACGTCTGGCCGGAGCCGACACAGAAGAGGTTTCCGGCGAGACGGGTGCCATCGCTGTCGATGTAGTAGAGAGCCGGGCCTTCTTGCGGCGTCACGCCAGCACACATGGTACCCTACGGCCAATATATCAGCATATGCTGCACTTTCAGTGTTTAGATCCAGCTATTACCATGCTCAGGCCCATTCCCTTGTAGGAGTAGACCAGGTTCGCGAGAATCTTGGAGGCGGCGGCGACGGAGATGCGGCGCTTGTGCCTGAGTTCGTGGAGACGGCACTGCATGCCGAGGTAGGCGAGCCAGTATTGACAATCCTGATAGCGTCAGCGTGCGTGTTTCTTGTGCGAGAATGGTGCGGCTCACAGCGGCGCCACCGGCCATGGTTCCCAGCAGGCAGTTGTTGATCTCAATGACCTTCTTCACCGTTTGACTGGCGATCCAGTTGCCGGCCGTCGCTCTCGAATCGGTTGCAACGATAATGCCGCCCTTGAACCTGAATGCCAGCGTCGTGGTACCGTGAGCCAGCTTGATGGGGCAGCTCGGGTTGGAGTGGTCGTCGGTCATGGCGCGGAGCCATGATGCGGGCTGACGGAGCTGTTAGCACCACGAGAAGCTGCGGGCGGGAGCTGGAGTGCTCGACGTACGGCGGCGATGGGAGGAAGAGCGAACTTCAACGACAGCGGCGGGGAGACCTCCATGAGCTCCTGCTGTTCGTCATGACCATAGCCTTCGGTCTGGTGCGCCGGCTGGCTGTACTGCGCCACTAACGATTCCATGGTGCGGAGTGTGATCTGGCAGGACGGGTGAGGGAAGCAGAGGAGGCGGCCGAGATACGGATGCGGTGGTTGATGGGGTCGGAGGGTTGCGGTGGTTTGGAGCTTGGGTCTTGGTAGAGCTTCGGCTCCAGGCACGCAACGAGGCGCGTCAAGCTGACCGGGCGGCCAACAGAGCCGCACCGCCAAGTCTCGCCGCCACCTATAGTCAATACCGTTTTGTCAAAGTGCGATGCAAGACGTCAAACATGAATCTGAAATTGATTCATTGCGTCCATGGAGTCGGATAATCGTCTCAGCGATTTTCTTCGTCCTTGCCTGAGCCAAAGATATCTTTCCTGCTTCATCCAATAGGACGGCACATGAGACGGACAATTCAGAGCACAGCAACGCGTCAAAAGGCCATACACTGAACAGCACGCGCGAGATCAAGCAACTGTAGGCGATATTCGAGGGCAAGCAGAGCCATGATGCGTGTTCGAGATCAAGCAACGTGGAGATTTTAAACGCATTGAACAAGACACTTGCGCCGAAAGCAACGGCCATGCATAGGCTTCGACCGGAAAACAGATGGGAATCCCAAGGCGGGCTGCTTCCTGACAAGTTCTCCGGTCGTACTTCACCTCGCAGTATGAGCTCCTGCCTTTAGTTTGAGATGAAAGGCTCAATTATGACAACACATGCTACTTCGGAAACGCGCGCTTGCTGGCAGAATTCCAAGATCAATGTAGACAGCCAGCGCCGCAAGGCAGCAATGAAGAGGCCGGTCTTTCTCAATTTCGGGTCAGTCTGGGAGTGAGGGCAGCAGGCGAGACTTGGATTGTCAGCAGCGCTGGTCATGGAAGAGGATTTAGACGCAGTATGTTGCAGAAGATTTGGGCTCCGCTGAGGATGCCGTTCTCTTCTGACGTGGTTGAAGCAAATTTCTCGACGTAGACGTACGTTATTCACCTATCTACGAAGGTTCTTGATGCGACAAGGTCATTATCTCTTCCAAGTGAGCCGCCGCGACGCGTCGCGTCGCGTCGCGGCTTCCTGCGTTCAACAACACCGCCCAAGGCGATGTGTTTGCCTCCCCCAACGCGGCCCTTCAGAACGCTCGCGGAGCTTGTGGGTGGCTGTGGATTCTGCTGCGCTGGTGAGCAGCGGGCAGGCGCCTATTGCGATGGCTCGGGTCAAGTTAGGTCAAGGTTTGGGCGTACTATCGCGGCGGACGCTGGGATGGGCACCTCGCTGAGCATTGAGACAGTGGCTTCACGAGCGAACACGTACACACGAAGCTCTTGCGGGCAACTTGGTAGACCGACGCCATCGTGGTGAGCTGCAGCGCAGCGCAGCGCACCACTCATGGCGTCACAAGCACTTCACTTCAAACGTTCATGCACGACCACGACCAGACACCAGATGACTCTTCCTCGAAGTTCCGCGCAAGGCGAAAGCGACAACGAAAAGCTTTGTTCCACATGGGAAGCCATCAAAAATTGCGCCAGTGAAGCCCCCGAAGGAGATTCATACCAAGCCACCTCCGCGCTGTGCAATGCAGGGCAGCCTGGTAGGCGAACCGACTTCATGATCTCGGCAGCCCCGACAAGGT